GTTCGCGCCCTACCTCGCCCCCGCCATCTTCCTCGTCCTCGTGTCGGGCTCGATCGGCGACCTGCTCCCCGCCCTCGGCCGCGAGACGGCCCTCGCGCGCAACGCCTCCAAGGTCCTGCTCGCGATGAACGAGGGCATCTCGCGCGCGGCGCTCGCCGCTTCGGCCGAGCACGCTCGCGAGGAGCCGCCTCGCTGCCAGCGCAGTGCTCATCCGTTGCTCCTTCTCAATCAGGCCGAGCCCTCCCTCGAGGAGTCGCGCGGGCCATGCGGCGGGCGGGGCGGCAGCGGCGGGCGGGGCGGCAGCGGAGCTGGCAAGAGCGGTGGCGGCGGCAACCGCAGCAGCAGCGGCGGCGATGGCGGCGATGGCGGCGGCGGCGGCGACGACGGCGGCGTGGGCGCAGTCGGCAGCGGCGGGTGGCGCAGCGTTGTGTCGGCACTCTCGGCTGTACTCACGGCTGTGCGGCGGTGGAGGCAGCACTGGCAGCGATTGCGGCGGCGGCGGCGCGCTTGGCTGCGGCTGTTCTTCCTGCGCAAGCTGCAGCCGATGCTGGTCGAGTCGCTTCGCGCTGACCTCCCGTGGCTGCACTCTTTCGACGTGCGCGACGCCCTGGTGGTGCGCGAGGTGCTCGACGCGATGCTGGGGACGGACCGCTCGACGGACGGGTACCGGCGCGCCGAGGCTGCCCTCGCGCTCTCGTGCTACTTTGCGGCCTGGCTGCGCAACGAGCCAGGCGACGCGCCACGCGGGCGCTGCATCGTCGACTGGCTGCGCGACAAGGACCTCGAGCTGCCGACCTCGCGCCCGCTCCCCCTCGCCGAGCTCGAGCCGTACGGGTGGAGGATCGAGCGAGGAGGATCGCACGTCGTCTCTCTCCCGCTCGGGTGGGCCATCCTGCCGCCCCCGGAGAGGTCGCACGACGACCTGTCCAAAGAGGAGTGGGACCTGTCCGTGCCGCCGCTGCTCCACTCCAAGGCCAACCACGAGTCGCAGCGAGCCCGGCTCTGCACTCTCCCCGAACCGCCTCTGAACCGCCTCCGAACCTTCCCTTAGGACGCCGACACGTCGCACCAGCCGCGCGCGCAGAGGCTCTTCGCGTGCGTCGCGTACGGTTACTCCCCCCCCCCCCCCTTCCTCCTCATCAACCGCTTGAGAACCAACCATCGACCATCGACCATCGACCATGATCAACTAGGCTACTCCGCCCTCTTCCTCCTCATGAACCTCACACTCTTCGACGCGCTCATCCTCGGCGCGGCCCGCGACATGCCGCCGCCAGCCCTCCACAGCCTCCCCGCCCCAGTCCCGCCGCCCTCTTCTCCTCACAGGCGCGGTCCTCGACACGTCGCTGCCCGGTCTGCTCGAGCCGCTCGCCCGCGTCGCGCCGTACGCCCCTCCTCGGACCTGCCTTCTGTGTGAACTCAGGACTCATGGATCACGAATGAGTGTTCAGGTACGTCGTCCTCGGCCTTGCCATCTTCAGCGCCGTCGAGATTCCCGTCTCGCTCTCGCGCTACTTCACGCACACCTCGCCCTACGCCCCGCACACGCCCAACCTCGCCAGTTTCGTGTCGCCCGACGGGTGCGAGTCCTTGCAGCTCCTCCTCTCTGAGCAGTGATCCGCTCCTCAGTCACAGTGGCCGATGACTCATCAGGTACCACGTCCTGCAGCTCCTCTTCCTCGCACTCGCCTTCTCCATCGTCGCGGCGAGCGTCGCGGCGCTGGTCGAAGTCTTGCCTCATGCCACTTATTAGTCCGTAATCATTCATCAGGCCAGCGTCGCGGTGCTGGTTTGGTCGCTCGAGACGGCGCGGCTGGTGGCCAAGGTGAGACCCGCTCACCGCCTACCCCACAAGCACTCACCAATGCCCAGCCCCCCGCCTCCCCCCACTCACCCCCTCCGCCCCCCTCTCCGCCCCCCGGCCTGCGGCAGGGCCTCACCTTCGCCGAGTCGAGAGAGGCCTTCCCGTACCCGTGGTCGCACGTCTCGTCCCTTGACCACGCCGCCATCGACGCCGCGGACGAGCTGCTCGTCATCTCGGGACACGCCTTTGTCTTTTGCACCATGCTCTCGGGCGCGCTGCAGGTCGCGACGCAGACGGTGCACATGCTGTACCGCGGGCTGAGGGACGGCGCGCCACGCACGCTGACGCCCGCCGACGAGTCGGTCGTCTCGCTGCTGAGGCTGGTGCCGCGGACTGAGAGGAGGGGCGCGCAGGGCGGGCAGAGATGCCGGGTGGGGGAGGAGGTGGTGTAGTATGTGTGTGGCTGCACCGTGGCACGGTTCGGTAGTTCGGAGTACGTACAGTGCCTCTTGAGGCTAGTCTGTGAGCTCTCCCAAAGTACGTTCGCCCCGGTACCTGACTCACCGCCGCGCTCTCCCATGGGGGTGCGAGGTAAAACCACACGCTACCAGCGCTTGCATGGTCACATGTCATCGGCCCCGAGGTCAGATCCTTCTACTCTTTTGATGACAAGACTTGTCTACTCGCTGGCGCCGAGCAGGGCCCGGCGCACAACCCCTTGTGCAAGTCAGGGTTCACACCGCGTATGTGCTGCACCGACCACTATGCGAAATAGGGTCATCGCCACCCTGCTTTCGCGATCGCCACCTTGTTGTTGGCGTTGCGAGCGAGGTTCGCCAGCGCCCACGCGGCCGGCTCCTTCTGCCTGTCCGAGCCAGCGCGAGCCAGCGCCACCAGCGGCGCGATGCCGCCCGCCCTCGCGATCGCCACCTTGTTGTCGGCGTTGTTGTGAGCGAGGTTCCCCAGCGCCGCCGCGGCCCAATACTTCTGCCCGTCCGTGCCGCCGCGAGCCAGCGCCACCAGCGGCGCGATGCCGCCCGCATTCGCGATCGCCACCTGGTTGTCGGCGTTGTTGTGAGCGAGGATGAACAGCACCCTCGCGGCCACCTCCTTCTGTCCGTCGGTGCCGCCGCGAGCCAGCGCCACCAGCGGAGCGATGCCGCCCGCCCTCGCGATCGCCACCTCGTTGTCGGCGTTGTTGTGAGCGAGGTTCCCCAGCGCCGCCGCGGCATACTCCTTCTGCCCGCCCGTGCCGCCGCGAGCCAGCGCCACCAGCGGCGCGATGCCGCCCGCCTCCGCAATCGCCACCTGGTTGTCGTCGTTGGCAGCGAGGTTCGCCAGCGCCCCCGCGGCCTTCTCCTTCTGCCCGTCCGTGCCGCCGCGAGCCAACGCCACCAGCGGCGCGATGCCGCCCGCCCCCGCGATCGCCACCTTGTTGCCGCCGTTGGCAGCGAGGTTCCACAGCGCCGCCGCGGCCACCTCCTTCTGTCCGTCGGTGCCGCCGCGAGCCAGCGCCACCAGCGGAGCGATGCCGCCCGCCCTCGCGATCGCCACCTGGTTGTCGTCGTTGTTGTGAGCAAGGATCCGCAGCGCCGCCGCGGCATACTCCTTCTGCCCGCCCGTGCCGCCGCGAGCCAGCGCCACCAGCGGCGCGATGCCGCCCGCCTCCGCAATCGCCACCTGGTTGTCGGCGTTGCCAGCGAGGTTCCCCAGCGCCGCCGCGCGGAGAACCGCTCGCACGAGTCAGCCCAGAGGCGACCGATGGGCGGGAGAGGCCTCTGGCACAGACATACAGCTCGGGCCCGACAGACGGCGCGAGGGGGCGATCTCGCGCGGGTCCAACTTTGGCCTGTGTGAGGGCGTGAACAGGGGAAAAGCCCTGGTTTTCTTTTTTACTATGTAAAGGCAGGCTTCGCAGAGGGGAAATCTGTACTCTCTTCTGTACTTTGAGGACGGGTACTTACAATATATAAAGTAGCCCGCCGGCCAAAGTACAGCAGAGAGTACAAAAATAGATATGTAGGAAAGCCTGGGGAATCCACACCGCATCTTCGTCGCTCGTCACAGTTCTATCCTTCGTGAATAGCACGGACGCGCCGATTGAATAGCACGGATCTTGCTTGAGAGGCGCTGCGTGCGACGCTGCGCCTGCGCTCGGCCCTCGCTCCCTGCGCCTGTCTGTCAGCCTGGACACGCTCGCGGCGCTCGCGGCGCAGTCACTGCGGCTGGTCCGAGAGCGGGCGGCACGCGCGGCTCCACACACTGCCACTGCAAACTCTAGGCAGAGAGGAGCCAGTACTCCTCTGTTCAACGCATAGGCGATCGCAACTCGACCCCTGCCACCGCGCTGGCGCGTGCTGCCGCTCGTGTCTGCGCGACAGTTCCGATGAAACCGTGCTCCCCTCCCGTGACGGCCCGAGCCTCAACTCCAGGCTCAGCTGAGAGATACACTGCTACTGGTGGCTGAGCGTCGGGGGTGCCCTCTCAGCTATGTGTCTTGGTCCGTGAGGACAGTCTGCCAGCTCCCCTGGTCATGCGCTCGCCGTCTCGGCCGATCGGTCCCCGGCGGCCGTGTTTGTGTGTTGCTGCTGCGGCCTCGCAGTAGCCTTGCCGGGCTGCCCCCAGCGGAAGATGACTTCATTATTCACTTCAACAATGGCGATACGGCAGCCGCTACACGTGCATAGGTCATACGCAACACGTGGGCAGCCTCCCCCCCCCGTGAAAAGTCCATGAGTCGCCGTCAGGCCGTCGGACTGGGCGCCACGGGTGTGCAGCAGTGATTCCCGCAAGTCGCCTTGGTGCTCGCGATCGCCCTCGCCGCCCCTCATCTCGCCCCCGGGCCAAGCCTCCGGTGCCGTATCTATCCCACAGCCCCCAATTTGGACGCCCGAGGCTCGGCTGTGTCCAGGTGTGCATGAAAAACGAGAAAACAGGCCTTTTTGGGAAAGCCGACTTTGCCCCTTAACCCTGGTAGGTGGATTGTCCAAAATACGTCAGCCTCGCACGCCTAGCGCTAGGTCTGACACCCGACCGCCCCCCCCTCCCTAATATTAGCCGGTAGGAGCACATTTTGGCCGGCTAATGTTAGGGAGGGGAGGCCGAAAAACGCATACTTTTGTCCACCTACCAGGGTTAAGCGCCCACAGGCTATAATATTTTTGTGAGTTTTCACGACCCACACACCCAAGCATGGGTTGATTGAGGCAGGACGCCTCCGGTGTTCAAGGTTTGTCCAAGCATAATGGAGTCATCCCCGTCCGACGCTGCTGTGGCTTTCCAACGCGTGCTGAATAACCAGGACACCCTTTCCGACGTGCTCAACTTCCTGACCGCGAAGGAGCTCGCGCCCACGCGCCGTGTCTGCTGCGCCATGCTGCAGGTGGCCGACAGTCAGGTGCCGCATCGGCTGGCGCAGATACGGGCCAAACTGTCCGTGAAGACGTTGCCTGAGGCGAGCATGGCGCTACACGCGCTACATCTGGCCGAGGAGTACGCGAGGGGGAGCGAACTCCGCAACGCCATCTCCATGTACCTCGACCACATTCGCGTTGAGGCAGCGATGCGGGGCAAGCTCGACGAGTACCAGCCTCGCTGCGATGCTATCGAAGGTCAGTTTGAGCCGACAACGACGCGGGAGGAGTTTGAGCGCCTGCAGGCGGAGGCGATTGCGGTGGAGCGCGAGATCCACACGGACATGGTCCACGGCCTCGCCATTCTGACCCTCGGCCCCGGCCCCGGCACAAACGGCAATGAGGACTTGCACGCTCAGCCCCCAGGCGAGGGGGGCGGGGGATGCGTGATTGCGTGAGGCGCGTGCGACGTGGACTGCGCCGGGGATTGCCTAGTGACGCACCAATATGGGTGCTAGTATGAGTCCGACTGCAGTTGTAGCGCGCTCTTGCGCAGGGGCGGTTAGTCAACCGCTATACGTAAGGTACTGTGCTGTGTGAGGTGCACTCGCAACACGGTACAGACACGAGACAGCAAAGACAGAGTCGCGCAGGATGTAGGTAGTAGGGGTGTGCACGGACGGGATGCTTGCGCGGCGACCAGAAGAGCGCAGCTACATCCGCAGCCACCGCCCTCCCCGCCGTCCCGTGCGTGTGTTCGAAGTCCGGAACTTGCTCGCGCGCTCAGCTGGCGGCCAGCACGCCGGCCAGCTGCGCCGCCTCCTCGTCGGTGGCGGCCTGCCAGCGCGCGACGGAGCGCGCGAGCTCCTCGGGCGCCGGCGGCCTCTCGCACGCGGCGAGCGTGCGCCTGCGGAGATCGCCCGAGATGAGCCGAGCCTCTTGCACTCCCCCCACTCGGCGCAGCGCTCGCTCGATCTCGGTCGCGAGGCAAGTGGAGTGATCTCGGGCGTCTCGGGCAATCTCGGGCAATCTCGGGCAATCTCAGGCAGTATCGGGCGATCTCGGGCGATCTCGGGCGATCTCGGGCAATCTCGTGCCCAATCTCGGAGGCGAGGCAGTTGAGGAGTCGCTGCAGGCAACGCAACCGCGCGTGCGAGCAGCCGCTTAGTGCGGCGTCCGGCAGCTCGGCCGCCGCCGCCGCCACGGCGCAGAGGAGGAGCGACTTTGCGTCGTCGCTGTCTGGCGCGCCTACTCTTGCGCCATCTCGGCTCATCTCGGGCCATCTCGCTCCATCTCGGGCCCTCCGCATCAGTCTCGTCGCTGTCCGGCGCGCCAAGAAGCAGCTCCACCTCCCGTGATTGGCCTGCGCAGCCGCCGCCGCCGCCAAAGACCGACGCGCGCAGCGGAAGCGCCGGTACCGCGGCGGCACTGCCGCCGGCCCAGCCCCGCTCTCCACCTGCTGCGGTGCGTGACTCGTAATGACCGTGAGTACTACTACGCCCATGCCAAGACCCGCTCACCGCCCTCGACGCGCAGTGCGGAGCGAGGCAGCCCGATGGCAGCACAGAGCGCCTGCGATTCCTCAGCACTCACTCATTCCCAGCCGTCACTAGGCAGCCCGATGGCGGCATAGGGCGCCTCGAGCGAAGGGGCCGAGGCGGGCTGCAGCAATCTCGGGAGATCTCGGCTCATCTCGGCTCATCTCGGCGCCTCGAGCGAAGGGGCCGAGTCGGGCTGCAGTCGGGCCGTCAGCGCCGTCTCCCTCGCAGCCGGCCACGCGGCACTCACAGCTGGTTCGGCGGCGCCTACCCCTCCGAGACGACCCGAGATGGCCCGAGATGGCCCGAGATGGCCCGAGGCGAGGAGCAGCGGTGGATGTGCCGCCGCCGGCCGCGGCGAGAGTGCCCCGCGCCAGCGCCGCCGGGTCGATCTGCAGCCGAGTGAGCAGCCGGCGCCTGTTCACAGCAGTCGGCCTGTGAAGAGACGCGGCCCGAGAGCCCTTCGCTTGCTGGGCGGGTGAGCAGCCGGCGCCGCCACACCCACCCACCGGCGCCCGCGGGAGCGGCGGCGCGCGAAATGTCGGCGTGAGGCCCCCGGCTCGTCCAGCAGAGGAGGAGGCCGGCGTGCGAGGAGGCGAGCAGCGAGAGGAGGGGCGGCAGCGGCACCTGCGCGCAAGAGAGCGGTGACGCGAGAAGAGAAGAGGTGTGCGGACCAGGAGGAGGGGCGGCGGGTGCGGCACCGCCAGCAGCAGCTCCGCCGTCTCGTCGGGCAGCAGCTCCTAATCTCGAGACAATCTCGGGTCAATCTCGCGCGATCTCGGGGGCGCTCCGCCGTCGGGCAGCAGCTCCTCGATCACGCCGCACTGCGACACGCCAAGGTCCGCTGCGGCGTGCGCGAGGGCGGCGGTGACCAGCGCGGCCGCCTCCGTGCCTCTGTTGCGCACCTGCGTCGGGTTGGTGCACCGGGTGCCGGTGAGCCGCAGTACTGCGTGGTGTAGTGCACACCAGCTTGGTACACACGCCGCCGCCACCAGAGGCGAGAGATGGCGCACCCTGTGCGGCACGCACTGCCCCAGTGTGCCGAGGCCAAGAGTGCAGTGGAGAGCACAGGGGGGGGGCACGGCTGCAGAGACCGCCGAAGCCAGCCATGCGTGCGCTCTGGAAGGCTCGCTAGCGGGCTGCGCGCCGTCAGCTGCAGCTGCCACGCGCCTAGGGGGACGCGTGTCGTGGACGTGTGCTGGACGTGTGCTGGCCGTGTCGTGGACATGCATCCTCAGGGAGAGACGCGGCCGCGCGCCCGCGCTGAAGCGGTGCTGCAGGCCTGTAAGCACGAGAGGCGCCGCAGCCGCGCCCGTCTCCTGCCCGCCCTCCTCCGCCTCCGCGGCGGCGGCGGCGGCCTATGGACGTGTCTCGGACATGTCATGAGCGTCCTCGACATGTCCTCCTCGTCCGCGGCCGCGGCGGCCGCGGCGGCGGTGGCACGGGGCGGCGGGGGCGGCGCCTCCGCCTCGCCCACGGCTGACAGCCTCTCCGCCGCCGCCCACTCCGAGAGGAGAGGGGAGGGGGAGGCGTCAGCGGTGTCGATAGCGGCGGCAATGTCGGCGTGCTCCTCCTCCTCCTCCGCCGCCGCGGCGCCCCCTCCCCCCCTCCCTCCCCTCGCCTCGCCGCTTCGCCGATCTGTGGCGGAGGCGATCCGGCGCAGCGCGTGCGCGTACAGCAGCCCGTGCGCCCGCTGCGTCGCCAGGGCAGCCTCCACCGCCGCTCGGCCTAAGAGACAGAGACGGTCCGGGTGGAGGGCAGGAAAACTGGCGCGCCGCCACCCTTCTCCGCCGACCTGAGAAAGGAAAGCTGGCGATAGGCACACTGAATGCCGGGGTGGCGGCCGCCTCCACCGCCGCCGCGACCCGCGTCCGCGCGCCCGGCGAGAGCCGCGGCGATGGCGTCGGTGTGCTGCCAACGGCCCGCCGCCGACGGATCGGCCTGTTCACAGCGGGGTGCCGTGAAGAGACGCCGTTCACAGTGCCACCCGCCCGCCCCGTGCGAGTCGGCCTCCACCCGGGGCGCGTGGCCCGACGCCTCGACCCAGCAGCGCGCCTGTCCAGCCAGAGCCGAGCATCCATGACGGTGAATCGCTCCGCAGTCACGGACCTCGGCCCAAGCAGCGCGCCGCGCTCACGAGCACGCAGCCGCAGCCGCCACCGGCCAGCCCCCACGCCACCAGCTGCGCATGTCCGCACCGAAGCACATCGTCGGCAGCGAACGCGTCGGCGCCGGCAAGACGGCACACCTAATCACAGTCAGGGTTCCGGCTACTCGGTCTGACAATGACTCTCCCCTCGGCGCCTGCAAGACGGCACACCAGGCCGCCCGATGCGCCGAGGACGATCGCGCCCGGCTCTCCTCCCGCGGCAACACCCGCGCACCTGCGGGACATGTCTCGGACAAGTCAGGGGACGCGCCCTGGACTTGTCCTGGACTTGTCCTGGAGTGGCGCACCGCACGGCGAGAGACTCGTCGGCGGCGCACGTGAGCGAGAGTGGCTCGAGCCTACCGGACGCGTGGATGGTTGCACGTCGGGTCAGCATCAGTGATTGCGCGTGAGCGAGGCGGGCTCGAGCCGGCGCGGCTCTCCCGCGTCAGCCTAAAGTGCAGAGTCAGAGAAGGACTCAAGCAAGACGGGCTCGCGGCAGAGGAAGCCAGCCACCAACCCCTCGTCCGCCGGCAGCGAGGTGCTCCCGTCCGCGCCCTTGCCGAGGTCGAACACCGCCGCCGCCGCGCCCGCCGCGCCCGCGCCCGCGTCCGGAGCGTCCAGCGCTTGCTCGATCGCCGCCGCCGCCACCGAGAAGCGAAGCACCACCCCGCTGGCCGTGCCGAGCCACAGCCTTAAGCGCCACACGGAGCAGAGCGTCGCTGGACGAGGGACATCTTCTCGAGAGTGAGCCGGGGACGCTGTGGCTGCTGGAGCGGGAGACGACTCGCATCCAACAACTAACGACTCGCGTCTAGGAGGAGCAGCCTCAGTCCGACAACGCGCTGCTGCCCGCCACCGCCTAAGAGTCGCCCATGCTGCCGTCCATGCTGCCGCCCGGCACCGCCTCCACCGCCGCAGACGGCAGAGTCTGCGTCGCCTCCGCCGCCGCTCCACGACACGCGACGCGCCTGACAAAGAAGTATCCGCCGGTAGAAGCAAGGCTGTGCATGACCGCTCCGACAGCACGCGGCGCGCCTAGAAAAGAAATCAAGCTGGCACGCGAGCATGAGCGTGAGCGACTGCTCGAAAGCAGGCGGCGCGCCGTGGCGCAAGTGACCGCCTCGGCGGCGGCGCCTGTTCACACCTCGAGCCGTGAAGAGACGCCGCTCACAGCCGCGGCGGGCCACCCCTCGGCAGCGCCGCCCGCGAGGAGGGTCAGCACGCGCACGCACACGCCGCCCTCCCTGCCTCCCTCCCGCCCGACCTCCCTCCCTCCCTCCCTGCCGGCGCTGCCCGGAGGGTTGGCGCGGAGCTGCAGCAGCTGCAGCCGGGGCGGCGCGGCGGCGGGGCCGCGGCGCAGGCAGAGGAGAGAGGGCGCTTCGAGCGGTAGGCTGCCTAGGACCAGGTTCCGAGGAAGGTTCGTGGAGGGCTCCAGCAGGAGGCAAGGACGGGGCGAGCGGCAGGCTGCAGAGGAGGGCGTCATGCTCTCCCCACGAGAGGAGCTCGGGGGCATACCCAGCCGCCGCCCCTCCGCTCCCCGACCCGGGCGCGACGACGCCGCAGGCCGGCAGCCACGACAGAGAGCCTACGGGACATGTCCCGGACACGTCGCGGACGCGTCTCGGTAGGCAGAGGCCGCGAGCGACGACAGAGATGGCCGAAGGAGGAGGGGGGAGAGGGGCCATCGCCGTGGCCGTGGCCGTGGCCGTTGCAGTCTCCTGTTGCGTCGCCGCCTCCGCCGCCATCGCCACCGACAGGACCGCCATCGCCGCCGCCAGGACCGCCGCCGCCGCCGCCGCCGCCGCCGCAGACCGCGACACAGAGGATGGGTCCATCGAGGAGGAGGAGGCTCTCCTCTCGCTCTGGCGACGGAGGGCCGCTCGCGGCGGCGGCGGCTCCACGCCCGACGACGCTCGGAGACGCCGCCGCCTCCGCCCACGGCGCAGTCTCTCGAAAGTTGACGAGCCGGCGCGCCCGTACGTCGAGGATCGCGACGCCGTACCGGCGGCAGGGACCCTCGGCCCGAAAGCACAGCGTGGGAAGCCTGAGCCCGAAGCCTAGACACGCGGTGAGCAGGCGCATCCGTCAATTTGTGAGCGTGGAAGCTGTGCCGCATGCGAGTGGGCGCGAGTACCGTGGTGCAGCACCGTCGCCGCCGCCTCAAAGCGCCAGCCAGCTGCCGGAGGCGGCAGCGTGAACTCGGAGTGGGAGAGGCTGTCGGAGGCGACGGCGTGCTGCGCGACACGAATGTGGACGCCGCCGTCTTCCGACGATGTGATGAGGAGACCACCGAGGGCGAAGGGCAATCCACCACCGTCGACCATATGGCGCGAGCGAAAAGAATTTACGCAGTCGAGAAGAAACGTTCGCGATCATCTGTCCCGCGTCCACCCATACCGCGTTGGTGTCCAGTCCGAGCCTGACTGTTGTTCATCTTTCTACATACATACATAAAGGCGTGCCGTCCTCCCATCCCTCCCTTGCATTGTGTGTTTTCTTTCTTTCTTTTTAGGGTGGAGTTATTTGTTGAGAAGTGACCCGAGCCGCCGGGTGCCCCGCAGCGGCCTCGCTGGGCCAGGAGACCGGCCCGTGAGTGCTCCGCAGCAGCCTTGCTGGGCCAGAAGATCGGCCCGCGAGGTGGGGTGCTAGTATGAGACCGACCGATCCGTCGCAGTTCTCTTGCTCCAAGCGCTTGCGCTTCGGTCGGCAGTTAGTGGTGCACTAACCTCCGAGAAATCCATCGGGTCACTCCTCGTTGGGGAGAGAGAGAGATTTTCAATACCAAACAACTCTAACATGTTGTCTCGTTGGCGAGGGCAGGATGGTGAAGTGGCAGATCCACCTGGACCTCCAGTGTCCGCACTGCAAGAGGGTCCTCGAGACCTCGACCAGCTCGACGACCTCAAGCAAGGCTGCCTTTTGGGGACGAGTACGAGATCTCGGTCGTGCTGACCGCGCTGCCCTTTCATCACAACGCCTTCTAGTTCTACGCCATGGGCCCCATGCAGGGCGCCTGTAGCCGTTGAGTCCCTGGCTGGCATTTGGCCGGCGGGCCGGCGGCCGGCCGGCGCGACTCGTCGCGCCATCGACCTCTTCGCTCCGAGAGAACATGCATGGGTGGCGTTCCGAGCGTGTTCAACACGCTTTTACCCAACCATTAACAACACATAGGCGACACTTGACACGCGACCGCCGAAATTCGCACAATGTCTAGTCCGAGCATTGTGATCCCTGGGCGAGGGTGGTGGCGTCCCCGTCGGGTACGTCATGCGGCTCTACCCTCTAGGCGAGTTCATCGCGGGCCACTGCCACACCAGCGCGCAGCGGCGCGATGCCGCCCTCCCTCGCGATCGCCGCCTTGTTGGCATCGTTGACGGCGAGGACCGCCAGCGCCCCCGCGGCATTCTCCTTCTGCGCCTCCGTGCCGTCGCGAGCCAGCGCCACGAGCGGAGCAATGCCGCCCGCCTCCGCGATCGCCACCTTGTTGGCGTCGTTGGCAGCGAGGTTGCGCAGCGCCCCCGCGGCATTCTCCTTCTGCGCCTCCGTGCCGTCGCGAGCCAGCGCCACCAGCGGCGCAATGCCGCCCGCCTCCGCGATAGCCAGCCTGTTGGCGTTGTTGGCAGCGATGTTGAGCAGCGCCGCCGCGCCCCACTCCTTCTGCGCCTCCGTGCCGTCGCGAGCCAGCGCCACCAGCGGCGCGATGCCGCCCGCCTACGCGATAGCCAGCTCGTTGGCGTCGTTGGCGGCGAGCACCGCCAACTCCGCCGCCTCCGCCGCGGCCTCCTCCTTCTGCGCCTCCGTGCCGTCGCGAGCCAGCGCCACCAGCGGCGCAATGCCCGCCTCTGCGATCGCCACCAGAGCAGAGCTGCTGTCGTCGACGAGAATGGGCGTCAGGCGGGGCTCCGGCGTCGGCTCGACGAGGGGCGACATCGAGCGCCTCACCACCTCCGGCTGCTCCGCACACTCGCGCTCTTCGGTCATGTCGGCTCGCCCCGCCGCGCCGCGTGCCCCGCGACCCTCCTTCCCATCTTCCGGCCGCCCCTCCTCGGGTGGGGGGCTTTCGTCGGTGGCGGCCTCAATCTGGGCAAGCTCCCTGGAGAGCGCCGCAATCTTCTCCCTGAGCGTGGCCTCCTCAATCTTCTCCCTGAGCGTGGCCTCCTCAATCTTCTCCTTGAGCGTGGCCTCCTGCGCCCTCTTCGCGTTTCGCGCGAGGTCGAACAGCAACATAGAGGAGTCGTTTGAGTGCTCGGTCACCACGGCGGTGCCGCCATCGTCCGCCATCCGCTGGAAGCGCGTCTCTCTACCACGCTGGAAGCCCCTCTTGGCCACCCAAGCCACTGCCACCACCAACGCCGCCCCACACATAAAGGGCACGGCGGCGGCGCCACTCAGCATGCCTACGTCCCAAAGAGAGGACAGCAGCGACGGCGGCGGTGGAGACGGAGGCGGCGGTGAGGGCGGCGGTGAGGGCGGCGGCGGCGAGGGAGGCGCGGGCGGGCCCGGTGACGGTGACGGTGACGGTGGCGGGGGCAGAGGCGGTGACGGTGACGGTGGCGGGGGCAGAGGCGGTGACGGTGGCGGTGGCGGTGGCGGTGACGGAGCAGAGGGCGGCGGCGGTGACGGTGGCGGTGGCGGTGGCGGCGACGGAGCAGAGGGCGGCGGCGGCGGCAGAGGCGAAGGCGGCGGCAGGGGAGGAGAGAGGATGACGACACAGCCCACCTCGAACGGCGAGCGGCACGGCGCGCGCCGCTCCTGTATGCTGTTCGCGCAGCAGAGCTGCGGGTAGGCAACGGCGCCCGGGTGAGGGCACGCGTCGCACCCGCCGCAGCTCACGGCGCAGCACGCGCCGCCGCCGCCGCTGACGATGCCGCACGCGCACGAGGGCGCGTCCTCGCGCCTGCCCGCGTCGCACTGCGCCTTGCCAAAGGCGAGAGTGCCTGCCATGTGTGCGAGCGACTTGCGGGCGAAGCTCGTGTAGCTGGGGCTGTGGGGCGGGCCGGCGGGGGGCGGCGGCGGCAAGGGCGGCGGGGACGGGGGCGGCGGAGGGGAGGGCGGCGGAGGGGGGAGCGGCGGAGGCGAGGGCGGCGGAGGGGGGAGCGGCGGAGGCGAGGGCGGCGAGAGTGGTGGAGGCGAGGGTGGTTCCGGCACAGCGCAGCAGCCGCGGCATTGTGGGCAGGTGTCGTTGGCCCAGAGGTCGAGGAAGAAGGGCTCGCTGCATGAGATGGCGCTCCAGGACGCGCATTGACGATTGAAGCACATCTCGGTGCCGATGGCGGCGCACTCTGGCGTCGGCCTGCCACGGAACGGCGGCCGGTGAGGCGGCGCAGGCGGCGTAGGCGGAGACAGCGGAGGCAGCGGACGCGGCAGAAGCGGTTGAGGCGTTGGGCTTGCTGGCGGAGGCCGCGGAGGGGGCGGGGCGTGTGGCGGCGAGGGCTGCAACGGGCTTGGCGGCGGCGGCGGAGAGGGCTCAGGCGGGAATGGCGTGGGTGGCGGCGGTGGAGGCGGCTGCAAGGGCGGCGGCGGCGGTGGAGGCGGCGAGGGAGGCGGGGGCACCGGTGGCGGGAAAGGCTCGGGAGCCAAAGGCACTGGCGGGGGCGGAGGCGAGGGCTCGGGCGAGGAGAACGGTGGACGTGATGGTGTCGGCGGCGAGGGTGGTTGCGAGGGCGACGGAGGCGGTGGCCGCGGAGAGGGTGGTTGCGAGGGCGACGGAGGCGGTGGCCGCGGAGGAGCGGAAGGAGCTGGAGGCGCTGACGGGTGTGGTGGCGCGGGCGGCGCGGGCGGCGCCGGAGGAGAGAAGGGAGACAACGGCGGCAGCGCCGGTCTCCACTCGCTCACCGCGGAGATCACCGCCCGCCAGTTGTTGGGGTTGGTGTACGCCATTCAGTCGACGGAAGCCAGCTCGTCAGCGGCTGGTGTGCACTGGTGTGCACTGGTGTGTGCGGGGTAGGTGTGTTCCTTTGATCGTCGTTTGTTCACTGAGAGACGCCGTTCACATAAACGCACAACCCCGTTCACATAAACGCACAACCGGGCCCCGAAATCGCACAGTGACAGTCAGACATGCAACACGCCTCAGATAGGTTGATAAGAACGACCTTGTGATTGAGAAGGAAAACCTCCCATGCATCGCGCTGCGCGCTGGTCTCTGAGAGGTTACACAGTGATAGTCAGACACGCAACACGGGGTCCCGCGAGCGCAACGCCGACTCGGAGGCCGCGCATGCCCGCACCACGGTCAGGCGCGCAGCCATGTACGAGCAAGTCGGCACTCCAACGTCCAAGTGCTCCAAGTGCACCCGTGACCGCGCCCGCGCTGCGGCGGTGGGCCGGTTCGCGCCATGCGCGAGTGTCTTGTGAGCGTGTGTGCCTGTGTGTCGCTCACGCGTGCCGGCCGCACGTCACCACCACTCCTCCTGGAAGTCGGGCGCGGCGCGGTCAAAGGGCTCGAGCCCGTGAATGCCGTGCTCCTCGCGGTGCGACGTGGATCGCGAGAAGTCGTGCCGCCGGCGGTAGTTGCCCCAGCCCGAGTAGCCGTACTTGTCGTACTGTGGCGAGATGCGGCCGGAGGTCCGCGGCGCTCCCGCCTCCTCAGCCTCCTGCTGCCGCTGCGCCCACTCGTAGTACGGCTCGAAGTCCTTCTTCGGCGGCGGGAAGTGGGTCGCACTGCAGCCGGGCGGCAGCCGGTTGTTGAGCGCGGCCGCCTCGCGCTTGCTCAGGTCGGTGCCCGTGAGCTCGAGTGTGCGCAGCCCGGGAGCGAGCGCGACGAGCGTCGGCAGCGCGGCGGCGTGCGGATGGGCGAGCGCGTAGCCGTCGTCGCGGCCGCCCTCGAGCACTAGCTCGCGCAGCGGGCAGCCGCGCAGCGCGTGGAGGCACGCCGCCGGAAGGTCGCAAGACCCGGAGACAACGAGGGTGCGGAGGGTGCGCCGCGCGCCCAGCCGCTCAAAGAAGGCGGGTGGCGGCCTGCTGGAGCCGCGGGCGTAGTCGACGTGCGTGAGGCGCAGCGTGCGCAGGTCGGGCGGCGGCGTGTCGAGGCGGGCGAGCTCGTCACCTCCCCAGTCGATGTCCAACTCGCGCAACGAGATACAGCCGCTGATGGCCGCCCAGCCCTCCTCGGACAGGTGAGCGGCGGCGTGGACGAGCCGCAGCCTTCGCAGCGTGGGCGGGAGCGGCGGCAGCGTGGTGGGCGGGAGCGGCGGCCCGTCGGACAAGACGCAGCTGCGCATCGGCGAGGTCAGCGTGAGGTCCGTCACGTCCTGCGGCACGACGGCGGCTGCCGCGCCCGCCTGCGGAGGCCACGGCAGCTTCAGCGCGACGCGAGGAGCCGCCGACGCCGCCTCGGCACGCTCCTCGTCCGCCTCCTCGCGCAGTTTAGCTTGGAGCTCGTCGGCCGCCTTGCGCCGCTTCCTGTGCTCGGCCCAGTGCTCGCGCACCGCGCTGCCGCTGCGCCCCGTGCCCAGCCTCGAGGCCACATCCTCCCACACCACACCCTCGCCGAGCGCGTGCACGAGCTGCTGCAGCTGCGCCTCCTCGGCCGCCTTCCACGCCCCGCAGAACTTGCGCTCGGTCGCCTTCTGGCAGGGCACCGCCGCCTTGCGCTTCTTCCCGCCCGCCGCAGGCACGTGGCCTACTCCTCCGTCTTCTCCGTCCTCACGCTTGATCGCGGATGGGGCGGGTCGCGGCGCGCCGCCGAGCGCTTGCACCTGCGCCTCCGCCGAGATGACAACACTGACCCAGTAGCACGTTCCCTGCCGCGTCTGCTTGTGCGCTCGCTTCTCGGCCTCGGTCGCGGCCCGACGCGTGGCCTTACACCCAGGGTGGGTTCGCACCCACCGGCTGAAGTCCGTCCAGGACGCTGACGTAAGATGCACAGACGGTAACAGCAGGTCTGACACCAGAGCTGCCTCGCCTTGGATCACTGTGTCCGTGAGCGCGGCAGTGAACGAGGCGCGCGCGGCGTCCTCGCGGCGCTCCGCCGCACCCGACTTCCTGGCGTAGCGACCGAAGCGGCCGCTCCCGCCATCGTTGTCGTCGAAGCCGAGGCCGAGGCCGCCGAGGCCGCCGAGGCCGCCGAGGCCGAACATCATCGCAGCTTTCTTTTTCGCAAATCCGTTCCAGACTGATTCCGTTCCAGGATTCCGTTCTTCAACAAATTGGAAGAATTCTGATTTCCCCTTCCTTTTTCCGACCTTCATCGCGGGCTGGCGACGGCCGACGACATCGTCGTCGGCCTCTCCGACGGCGTGTCGGGTGCTTTTGGCGGGAAGGCGATGGGCAAGGTCATGGGCTACTCGAAAGACGACCGACGCGCGAGGGCATCCCACATCCTGCTGTCCTTCGATGCCTACCCGGAAGGGAGCTCGCCCGACTCCGAGGCGATGGCGAACGGGCTAAAGGCAAAGATCGAAGGCGGCGACTTCACGTTTGAGTTTGCGGCGGAGAAGTTCTCCGCAGTCTGCCGAGCGCGGTGGCGACCTGGGCGAGTTCAAGCGCGGCGCCATGGTGCCGGCGTTCGACGAGGCCGTCTTCAAGCAAGGTCGTGGAGGACGAGCCGCTCGGCACGATCTTAGGCCCGGTCAAGACGCAGTTCGGCCATCACTTGATCAAGGTGGTGCAGCGGGGAGAGTCATGAGGCGGGTGTCGCGGGACCGGCCGAGCGCTTGGATTGCATTCGGAGCAGGAGAGCAGTCGTGGCTTTGTTTGGATGCACACACGCCTCACAGTGGTGCGGCGCGCGTTGAGAAGGCGGTGCGCTAGCCGGCGGCTCTCGCGGCAAGTTCCAACCTTTCGCTCATCGCCCGCTCTGCGGCATGCTCAACCCTACAGTAGCTCCCCCACGGCATGTTTTGTACCGCCGGCGCGCTTCACATGTCAGAGTGAGAGAGATAACATGATCTCTACCCCGTACCCATAACTCTGTACAGTCATTCAGTACGCTGTCTTGTGTGTGTGACGACTGACGAGCGGTGAGGACGGCGAATTCGGATTGACTCCTCACATAACAAAATCGTGGCTGCTTTAACTCACGCGCCGTGTACGGCTCTATAGCGGATGACGGCCGTACTGCCTCGACGTGGCGCGTGCGGCATGCTACGCGTAGGCCGCCCTGCTCTGGCACAGGCTGAAGGGGCACGGCACGGCATGGGCAGCTCCAGCGGTGTGCGGTGTGCGGGGTAGTGAGTTTCTGAGTTACTGACTATATTCTCTCTGATACGAAACCAGCACGACGACACACACCAGTCCGCATCGGTTGCCACTCTCCCCGTGGGGGGTGCCCCAAGCAGCGTGCTGCAGTTGTAGCGCGACCGATCCGTTGTCGGCGCCACGAGCGACAAACTACCACTGCTACTATGACTGCCAACTGTGCTACGGAACCAGCCCCTCGCCACCACCACCACCGCTCCCTCCATCTCTGCCGCCGCCTTCTCTGCCACCATCGTCACCACCATTGCCGCCACCACAACCGCCACCGTCACCGCCGCCATCACCGCCACCATCGCCACCACCATCGCCACCACCACAACCGCCACCGTCGCCACCCCCACCCTCATCGCCGCCGCCCTCGCCGCCCCCACCCACGACACCTCCCTCTCCGCCTCCACCTTTGCCGCCTCCGCCCTCGCCGCCAACCTCGCCGCCACCGGCATTGCCACCTCCAGCCTCACCCTCAATTTGCGATGAGAGTGCGCTCAGCAGCGGCTACCAGGAGAGCCTTGGACCATGTTCCACGCTGGGTGATGATTGCGTTGGAGGGGGGCAGGCTCGCCAGCCTTATGAGTGGACCGAGGGGGGGTTCCGGATCACGATGACACAGAAGCACGACGTGACGTTTGCTGACGCCGGTGGCCAGACGTACCTGTGCAGCGTGCGGGCATTTGGCCCGTGGGGGGTGCCCCAAGCAGCGTGCTGCAGTTGTAGCGCGGCCGATCCGTTGTCGGCGATGGCTTTGCTCGCCCCTCGACCGCAGCCCTATGCGCATGCTCGCAAACCTCCGCAACGTCTCACGCGCGTCGTCCGTGTCGGCACACTTTCGGCGGCACGCCTCCACCGGCACTCGGAAGCACAAGATCGTCGTCGTCGGCGGTGGGGCAGGAGGTCTCTCCAGCGCCGCAATGCTCCTCCGGAAGGGCGGTCTGTCGGCAGACGTTGCTGTGGTGGAGCCGTCCAGCAGCCATTTTTACCAGCCTTTGTGGACGCTTGTCGGAGGTCCGCAACACGTTACCTGCCCAAGGGCCTGGCTAGCACCGTCCAGACGGTCTCTAGCAGTCGCCGCTGCACCCACGCATTCTGCTCCCCTTGGCCTGCCGAACGCTTCAGAGTCCAACACGGCCTTGCCTCACGCCTGCCCACTCGGCGTGGCCTGACGCCTGACGCCTGCCTGACGCCTGCCCGGCCCGGTCCCAGGCGGCATCAAAGAGGCGGAGGAGTCTCGCCGGGACATGGCCAGCGTCATGCCGAAGGATGCGACATGGATCCAATCGGCCGCAAAGACTATCGGTAGACTTGCACCGCCGCAATCATCTTTGTCGCCCCTGCACTGCTGAGATGTTGCGCATTCACAGCCCCCCCCCCCCCCCCCTGTCCGCAGATCCCGACGAGCAGGCCGTCATCCTCGAGTCCGGCGACAAGGTCTTCTACGACTACCTGCTCGTGGCCGCCGGCATCAAGGTGAACTTTGACTCGATCGCAGGCCTCAAGGAGACCATCGGCAAGAACGGTGTCTCTTCGATCTACGACTTCAACTACTGCACCGATGCGTGGAAGGATGTGGAGGCGCTCAAGAGCGGCACGGCTCTCTTCACGATGCCGAGCACCGCAGTGAAGTGCGGCGGCGCGCCACAGAAGATCATGTGGGTGGCGGAGGACTACTGGCGCCACCAAGCAAAGGTGCGCGACAACATCCACATCGAGTTCATGGCGGGCACCGGCGCTATCTTTGCGGTGCCAAAGTATGCGGCAGCGCTCGAGGGCATCCGAAAGGAGCGCGGCGTCGAGACGTCCTTCAAGCACGAGCTAATCAAGGTGGACGGGCCGAACAAGGTTACCTGGCGCGCCCTCAAGACAGACGCGTGAGCCTTCCCTGAATACCCTCACCTGTGAACATAGGTGGCCACCTTCCAGACGGACGAGGGCCCGGTCGAGCGCAGCTACGACCTGCTGCACGTAGTTCCCCTCATGGGTGCGCACGACTGGATCAAGGGGTCGAAGATTGCCGACCCCGACACTGGGTGTGCGTCCACAGACGCGTCCGCGCGCCACCCACATTCCAATCCCCGCCCGGCTTGGCCCTGCAGGTACGTGACCGTCGACAAGGACACGCTGCAGCACACCGCCTACCCAAACGTCTTTGCGATCGGCGACTGCTCCAACACGCCCAACTCCAAGACGGCCGCCGCCGTGACCGCACAGGCGTGCCGCGATCTAGGATACAAATTCAATGATCCACGCTGACGGGGTCATTCCAATCGCTAGGCGCCCGTTGTGGTGCACAATATGCGCCGTGTGATGGCGGGGAAGGCGCCCAATGCGACCTACGACGGGTATGCATCGTGCCCCATCGTGACGGGTCGGGGCAAGCTGATCCTTGCCGAGTTCAAGTACGGGAACGAGCTCGCCGAGTCGCAGAGCTGGTGAAATATAGCCGAGGTGGTGGAGGAGAGGGAGAGTGGGAGTCGGCGTCGTGTCAGTCGTGAGCTTCTGCGGCCGTAGGTACCTGGACCAGGGCAAGGAACAGCTCCCCTTCTTCTACTTGAAGAAGTACGTGTTTCCGTTCGCCTACTGGCGCGGCTCGCACACCCCATGCAGAGACGTTCCCTCTCATGCCTTGAGCCCCACTCTATGCCTACAGGAACTTTATGCTGCCCGGCCGCTGGTATGGCACGCGCACCATTTTCGAGCCCTCCTTCCCCGACCCCGCCTGAGAGGCTGTTACAAATGGTGAGCTGGGGGACACAGCGTACTGTTGAGTGCATGTACGGAGGTGGGTGCTGTGAGAGGAGAGAAAGCAATTCGCGCGGTTTTGCAAGCAGCGCCCGGCGATGTAATTGGCGCGTAAACTTCTTTTTGTCGCTTCCGACTGGTTTTTCACGTGCGCAAGTTTGGGCTGCTCGGGTGCGCTCTTCGCTGCCAAGTCGCCGGTTACTGATGCCCATCTCCGCCATCCCCAGCTCTCACACCGGTGCCGCGTTTTGGGTCCGTCTGCCATCGCCGTGCGACGCGGCCCCTGTAGTTTTGCACCGAACAGCTCAGCCGGCGCGGCCCCAGCCCGCTGCCATCGTGGCTCGGGCACGGCAGTCGATCCGTCACACCACATGCCCATTCCTGCGCAGGCGATGGGACTGAAGAAGCCAAGGCGGGGCGGAGCGCCGGGCACGCCGCTGCCGCTCAAGGTGCTGGCGGGCGGTGCAGCCACGCTGCTCTGCACCGCCGCGCTAGCCTTCCTCGCGATGCCATCGTCGGTGCAGCCGCCGCCGCCACAGGTGCGGGCGGCGCAGTCCTCCCTGCACGCGCTGAGCGCGCGCCGCATCGACGGCTCGCCGCTCGACCTCGCCACGCTTTCGGGCAAGGCGCGAGCAACACAGCACATCAGCACACACCAATACACGCACACACGTGGAGAGCCCCCCTCCCCTCACCTGCCCCCCGGGCAGGCGGTCCTGATGGTCAACGTTGCCTCGAGCTGAGGGTCGACAGACAGCGCGTATCCTGCGAAGGGATTCTTCTTCTTCTGACTGGCGGTTCGCTATATAGGTCGACGGGGAGCGCGTACGCGCAGCTCAAGCGGTGGCACGCCGAGTTTGGTGCCGCCCTCGAAGTCCTCCTCTTCCCTTCCGACGAGTGGCGGCAGGAGCGAGCAGGTCCCGACCATCATTCATCACGACTGGATGACAGTTCTTCGTTGTTAATCAGGAGCTGCCGACGGAGCAGATCCCGGCAGCGGTGGCGTCGCACGGGCTGCCGGCTGAGGCGCCGGCCTGGTGGGCAAGGCCTCTGTGTGTGTGTGTGTGTGTGTGTGATTGATGATGACTGATTCATTAGGCGCCAGGCTGCCACCTGATGGACAAGGTGACTCGATTCGACACCCTCCCAAACTCTCGTGAAGAGACTTCCCAGACCCCCCCCCTCCCCCGCCGCCTTTAAATATTTTATGGATTACGCTAAAAATAAATACCCTCCTCACGCCCGCCCCACTCCCACAGGTGGAGGTCAACGGCCCGCGCGCGGACCCGCTCTTCGAGCTCGCCAAGCGCTCCTTCCCAGGCGACGTGACCTGGAACTTCGACGGCGCTTTCGTCTTTGGGGCCGACGGCGCGCCGCTCAGCCGCACGGCATCGTCCAGCAGAGTAGCACGGACACGCGACTTGATCTCTCCTCTTCTAGGTGCGCCGCTCGGCCGCTTCTCGCTGCGCAGCGCGGACCTCTCCTACGCGTCGTCGCTCGTGCGCAAGGCTGTGGCCACCGCACGCTAAGCCGCCACCGCCCCGTCCCACGCCGCCCGTTTGCCCGCCGGCGTGGCCACGCGCCACCCTTCGCCAACCCCCAGCACTGTCTCCCCTTTGGAGGGGCGGCCCCCGCAGCACGCGCTGGCGCCGTCTCCGCCGGCCAATGACGCGAGCCGCGCAAAGCCCACACCGAGGGCGTCGCGGCCGTCGCCGAGGACCGTGCCGGCATGACGGCGCGGAGCCTGCCCGGAACGCCCGGGCTGCCGCGCTCAGGAAATTTTGCAACCTTGTAAACCGTAATTAGCAACCATCCCCGCCTGTACATGCACACCGCGCGCGATCTGGGGCGCACGTGTGCTCTCGGTAAACACCCAACTCCTGTCTGTCACTTGGCCTCGTACCACGTGGAGGCTGTGTTTGCGTCAACGACCAGATCGACGAGCAGCGAAGGCAAGTTCTCGTCGAAGGGCCGCTCCATGCACGCCACCACCTCGGCGCGCGCCTCGTCCGCGAGCTCCGCCGGCCCCTCGAACATCACCTCGTCGTGCACCTGCAGCAGGTTGCGGAAGCCCATCTCGCGCAGCTTCTCGGACCGCTGCAGCTTGATCATTGCGAGCGTCATGATGTCCGCCGCGCCGCCCTGGATGGGCGTGTTGATCGCGGCTCGCTCCATGTGCGCGCGCACGGCGCCGTTCCGCCCCTGGATGCCGGGCAGCGTGCGGTAGCGGCCGAGGAGGGTGCGCGTGGCGCCCGTCGCTCGCGCCGACGCGATGGTGTCCTTCTGCCACTGCAGCACCTCGGGCCGGTCCGCGTACCAGGCGCGCAGCATCTCCTTCGCCTCGTCGATCGAGACGCCCCAGTCCTTGGACAAGCCGTGCGCCGTCTTGCCGTACGCGATCGAGAAGTTGAGCGTCTTCGCGCGCCTCCGCTCCGACCCAAAGAGGTCCTTGAGCAGCGGCGCGGGAGGCTCGCCCTGCGAGTAGTCCCAGTCGAGCAGGCAGGTGCCGTCCTCCACGGCGCGGCGAACGTGGTCGAACATCCCCATCGCGGTGCGCGAGTGGAAGTCGCCCCCGAGCTTGAAGGCCTCGACCATCGAGGTGCACGCCGTCATGTGTGCGAGCAGCCGCAGCTCGAGCTGGCCGTAGTCTGCGACGACGAGGGCCTTGCCGGGGGCGGCGACGAAGGCGTCTCGGATGAGGTACTTGTCTTTCTCGAGCGCAGGCTGGTTCTGCAGGTTGGGGGTGCGGCTCGACAGGCGGCCGGTCTCGGTGTTGAGGTTGAGCGAGCAGTGGATGCGCGACGTGCCGTCGGCCAAGTCTTGCAGCGGAAGGATGAAGTTGGAGAGCATCGTGTCGATGGCGCCCATCTGGCAGAGCGCCTCGAGCGCACGGCACGCCTCCTCGCCGACCTCGCCCCCGCCGAACGCACCATACGCCGACCCGAACACGGGAGGGTCCTCGGACGGCCTGCCGGCGAGATGGCCCGAGATGGCCCGAGATGGCCCGAGATGGCCCGAGATGGCCCGAGATGGCCCGAGATGGCCCGAGATGGCCCGAGATGGCCCGAGATGTGCGGTGCGCGTGCGGCTTCCCGGACCTGCCCGCCAGCTCGCGCAGTGCGGCCGCGTCTGTCGCCGGCCAGCCGCTCTTGGTGGTCTTAGCGTGCTCGAGCTGGAGGGAGGAGAGCTCGAACTCGACCTCCTTCCGGCCGCTGTCCACGATGACGCCCTCCAAGGACACGCCTCCAGCCTCCACCACCGCCGCCGTCGCTGCCGCCGCCGCCTCGCGCGCCGCCGCAGCCGTCGGCGCCGCCGCCGCCGCAACCGGCGCGGCGGGCGCGGCCGCGGGAGAAGTGGTCTCCGCTGCCGGCGTCGACGGGCGCGGTCCCACCGCCTCGCTGGTCGACACCGCCTCGCTGAGCCTCTGCCGCAAGTCCGCCTTGAGCCGGAGCCCCTTGCGAGAGACGCCGCGCGCGTCGAGCTCCTCCTTGAGCTCGGACACCTTAAGCTTGCCCAGCCGCTCCCCAGTCAGCGCCGCACCGCCGCCGCCGCCCGCCGCACGCACCGCCTCCTCCTCCGCCGCCCGCCCCACCCCCGCCGCCGCCGCAAGCCCCGCCGTTGCCCCCGCCGCCGCCTCCCTCGCCGCCGCCTCCCTCGCCGCCGCGCCCGCCTCCGCACCGTGCGCGTGGCCGGTCGCGCGCAGCCTCGCCACGTGGAGCTCCTATTCACAACCCTCCCCCGATGCTGGCTCTCGTGCTTTCTTGTCTTCCGCCCTGGCCGCGCGGAGCTCCTCAAAGGCAGCTCGCTCCAGCTTGAACGTGCGCCGCAGCGGCAGCACCTCGGCCGAATTTCGCCTTGTCGCGCCGCCGAAGAGCAGGGTCTGCACCTGCGTGGCGAATAGTATGGGGAGATGTGGGGAGATGCGGGGAGATGTGGGAGATGTGGGGAGATGTGGGGAGATGTGGGGAGATATGAGCCGCCGGAGAGCAGGGTCAGCACCTGCGTGCCCGAGCCGACGTTCATGTACCACGCTGCCTCAGTGTACCTCGCCGCCCACTTGCGAAACGTCAGCTCCGCCGCGTCGCGGTCGGCCTGGGCGCGCGTCTGCGCCAGCGGCAGCTTGGACCGCACGTCCACCATCACTCCGGCGCGCTCCATGTCGGTGAGCAGCTCGCCTGGGAGGGGGAGAGGCGCAGAGACGGCTCCGAGCCTCGGCTCCGAGGCGGCGGTGTGGGAAGCTCGGTGGGAAACTCGCCGAACGGCCGCCAATACTCGGTGTAAAAGTCGAAGAGCGAGCGAGTGCGCAGCCACTCCATGCGCGAGAGGCGCGCCTACGGGCAAGGGGCCCAGAGAAGGCTGCCCGCAAGGCTGCCCGCAAGGCCCGCTCCGAGAGTGGGCGCGCCTCGAGCTCGCGGTAGAGCAGCCACGTGCCTAGTCTCGTGCCCTCAGCTGTGAGACCTCTCTCCGCATCAAGACCTGCCGCTCGAGCGGCGGCGCGCCCTTGGCGTCGTACACGGCGTACTGCACCCAGTCCGGCCGCGTCAGCGGGGACGCCTAGGACATATGGGGAGATCTGGGGAGATCTGGGGAGATCTGGGGAGATCTGGGGGCCAGTCCGGCCGCGTCAGCGGCGGCGCCTGAAGCGAGTCGAGCGGCGGCAGCTCGATGATCTTGCCCGGCGTGCCGTCCTTGCGCAGCTTTGGCTCGCCGAAGATCTCCTTCATCGACACCTTTGCCACGCCGACCAGCTCTTCGGTCAGCGGCAGGGACTCAACTCATACATGAATGAGTTCACTGCCTCACCTTTGCCCGGCCGACCAGCTCTTCGGTCAGCGCGGCGAGCGAGTAGCCCGCGAGGCGGGACGCGTCCCACAGCCGCGCCATGTGCATCGTGTCGCCTCCGAAGCCGACGACGTCGACGCCGTGGTTGTACAGCACGTGCCTGTCAAAGCCATAGTTGTGCCAGACCTTGAGCGCAGACTCACGCTCAAGCCAGGGCTTGAAGGCCTCGAGCACGCCCGGCTCGGTCGTGTCGACGAAGAGGGCCTTCCCGGGCCCCGAGCCGACGTCCAGGTCGGGCCCCGAGTAGACGGTGATGCAGAGCACCCTCCCCTGCCCGAGCGGCGAGCGGCCGAGGTCGAGGTCCGCCACCTCGGTGTCGCAGGCGTGGATCAGCTCGTCGCGAGCACACAGGAGGGCGGCGACGCGGCGCGCCTCGGCGGCGTCGCTCACCTCGTGCACGCCGACCTCCTCCTGGTCGTGGAACCCCGGCGTGAAGTCGCCCACCGGACGAGCACGAGCCGCCTCGGCCGCCGGCGAGGCGGCGGCGGCGGCAGTCTCGCGTGCGGCTGCGGCGAGGCGAGCACCAGCGCCGTCAGTCACGCTGGAGGCGTCACTGGAGGCGCGTGCCTCGCGCGATAGCCCGCTCCACCCGACGTCGTTCGCACCCCTCGCCGTGGCCGCGGCGCTGGAGACCCACCTGCCGTCCTCGGCTATCGCCCACGTGCGGCGCGCGCTCGCCGCCAGCCGCGAAGTGCGCGGCCGCGCGGCTCGCCCGACGAGAGCTAGGCCGCGCCAAGCGAGTCCAGGAGTCATCAGCAAGCACAAGAGGAGGGAGGTCGCTCGCAACACGAGGCCCCGGCTCGCCATGATGGCATTTTCCACGAAAGAAAGAAAATATCCGGAACACCAGAACAAGGCGCTCTAGGCCTGCCGTGCGTACTGTACGGCTTAGGCGAAATGTTCCTCGCTGCGGCGCAAGACGAGGGCACCTTCGGCGAGTTCCCGTTCGAGGTGGCAGCGGCGGCGACCGCCCGGCTGCTCAAGCCTCAAGGTCAAGCACCACACGCGCTCCGGCGCGTGGGTCGAGATCACGCCGGGCAGCCCTAGCCAGGCCTCACGCGCTGGCCGCGACCGCGACCGCGGCTCTCGCTTGAGCCCGAACTGCCCCGTCAGACATGTCGGAATTGTCGGAGAAAGCGACTAGCACACCTCTGTCAAGAGTCCCCAGAAACCCCCCTTCTCTAGGTGAACTGCTGACAGGGTTTGCGATGAGGAGCGATCCGAACCGCGTTTTTGTTGTCGCTTGGTCTGTGATCTCTCAATATGTTTAAATAATGGAGCCGGTTAAAGCCGGTTACTGACGTATGGCCTTATGCGAAATTATGCCTATTTTTTTTTGTCTTTTGCTCTTGATACTTCTTACTTGTGCTGTTATGTATGTGTAATGTTTTGTTCGTCGTACGCGCGTCCCGATCATCTCGTGACGTGCGGCATGGGTCGGACAATGTGCTGAGCACTCGAGGCACGCCGGCTCTCTGCGGGTGGACTGAGAGCGGGCCCGCTCGAGGGCTTGCCGTGCCGACCTCCACCAGCCGGGGGACCTCCGGCCGGGGAGCCTTCGCGCGCCTCCCGCCTGGAGAGCGGCGTGCTTGCGCAGACTTGCGCGCTTCGGCCCAGTGCGGGGGCGCTCCGGTGCGCCGCGCTTACCACTGGCGCCCGCCGCCGCCGCCGCCGTAGAAGCCGCCGCCGCCACCCTGGGCGCCGTAGCCGCCGCCGTAGCCGCCGGGCGCGCCGCCGCCGTACCCGCCGCCGCCGCCGTACCCGCCGCCGCCGCCGTACCCGCCGCCTCCCTGGCCGCCATAACCTGCGGGGCAAGGCTCAGAGAATCAGAGAAGGGGTTGAGACAGGGCGGGGCTAGAGGGGGCTTAGAGGGCGGCGGCGCTGCCTCCTCCGCCGTACCCGCCGTCTCCTCCGTATCCGCCGCCGCCGTACCCGCCGCCGCCGTACCCTCCTCCGCCGCCGTACCCGCCGCCGCCTCCGCCGCGCCGGTCCTCGCGGAAGCCGCCGATGATGCGCGTGGCGCGCTCCTTGCCCTGAGGGGTGGGAAGGGGGGGGGGGGGGCGTGGGCTGGGCGTGGAGCGGGCGAGGGCGTGGAGCGGGCGTGGAGCGGGCGAGGAGCGGGCGAGGAGCGGGCGAGGAGCGGGCGAGGCGAGAGAAAGGGGCGGGCCAGGGACAGCACGGGGCGGGGGCGGCGCGGTGAGGGAGGGGGTGGCGAGGGAGGGGGCGGCGATGAGGGCGGCGGCGGCGAGGGAAGGGGGCGGTGGTGGGGGCGGAAAAGGAGATGGCGGCGGTGGCGGTGAGGGTGGCGGCGGGGACGGCGGCGGCGGAGGCGATGTGGCGGCGGGGACAGCGAACCTTCTTGTCATCCCACTCCTTCACGAAATGGACCGCGCTGCCTTGGGCGAGCGCGTTGCCGTCGCTGATCTGCGAGAAGTGGCAGAAGAGGTCCTCCCCGCCGTCGTCGGGCGCGATGAAGCCGAAGCCCTTCTCACCGTTCCACCGCACCACCTTGCCCTGGATCATGCCCTCTGGCGGCGGGCCCGAAACGCCGCCGCCGCCGCCGCCGCCGCCGAGTGCATCCTCCTCGCCGCCGGTGACTTGCTCGGCGCGCTCCTTGCCCTTGCGCTCGTCGTACACCTTGACAAACTGCACCTGGGCGCCCTCCCGCAGCATGTTGCCGTCGAGGATGGACGAGTAGTGGCAGAAGAGGTCGCCACCGCCGTCGTCGGGCTTGATGAAGCCGAAGCCCTTGTAGTTCCAGCGGAGGGCCGTGCCGGTTCCCCGCGGGCCGGCGTCGCCCGCGCCGGCGTCGCCCGTCATCGCCGCATCTCCCATCATTGCCGGCGAGAACACACAGACGCCGCGGAGCTGCTCTCCCCGATGAGCGGAGGTGCCACCCACAGGACACGGAGAGCACGAGGAGACGAAATGTGGGTGCTTCGTGAATATGGAGGCGCTCGCCGCGTGCGGCAATTGAGCGCCTCCCTCTCTCTCCGGCTGCGCGCCTGACCGGTGCGGCCTCCGAGTCGGCGTCTAGCGCGCGCGATAAGGTTTTTGCTCGCCTTCCCTGGGACCCCGTGTTGCGTGACTCTGTGCAATTTCGGGCCCGGGGTTGTGCGTTTACGTGAATACGGGTATGCGATGAGAAGCGACCCGAAGGGTTTCTCGGAGGTTAGCACCACTAACCGCCGAAGCGCAAGCACTTGGAGCAAGAACACTACGACCTGGGTCGGGCTCATACTAGCACCCCACCTCGCGGGCCGATATTCCACAGCCTGGTTCCGTTCACACTTCTGCGCAAAGTGAGGGGAGACCCTTGCAGCACACACGGAGTACGACACGCTCCCACCGCAAGCGCAGCGAGAGCAGCAAGGCGCAAGGCCATGGGCTACGCTCCGCCTCGCTCTCCCGACACGCAGCCAGTCGGCGTCAAGAAGAGACGCTCGCCGAAGCCCGGCCCGAGCCACATCATTGACCTGCGGCCGGCGCTCGAGGCAGTGCACGTCAGCAGCGCCCGGTGCGCCCTTGCATATCTGCCGTGGGAGTTGGGCGCTCGACCCTCCACTCCAGAGAAGGAGCACAGGTCCGGGCCACCGGACGCCGGGCTAAGCCTGCGCAGCGAGAGGCCGCACGCTGGCGAGCGCGATGCCGCGCCGCAAAAGCTGCGTGTCTCGCGCATTTGTGTCGAGGACATTGTGTCTGCCCAGATTGACGCGTGCGATCCGCTGAAGACCCTCCCCGCGGCCGACTTCTGCCACGTGCTCTCCGAGGTGACGGACATCGTGGTGCGGGTCATGACCGAAGGCGAGCGCGCGGTGCGTGCCGGACCCCGTAGATGCTGAAAGCACGGGCCTCCCGACGCTACTCTCACTCAGGACTTGAGAATCACCGCGGCATCCCCGTGCAGCGCAGGTGTGCGACGGCGAGGACCTCGCCTTCATCAGGCGGCGCGTGCAGGAGCTGGTCCAGCCAGGGCCGGGAGCGTCGGAGGGCATGGTGGTGTACGATTACGAGCAGGCTAGCAGGCGGGGCGAGCGGCAGCGCGCGGCGGCGCCGTCGACAGAGCGCTTCCAGCGGTACGACCACGTGGCGTGCCGGCTGGACGGGGGCACATGGGCCAGCGGCGTCGTGCACCTGCACGCCAAGCTGCCCTTCGTGCACGTGAAGCTGATCGACCCGGACGACATGTACAACCACGGTCGGATCATCGCCGTGCCGGAAGGCGCGTGCCACCTGCAGCGGGCCGCCGTCTGCGATGACTCGGCGCTGTTTTACCCCGTCATCAACCTGCGGAAATCGGCATAGTGTGTGTAGCTAGCAGTATGTAGTTGGAGCGACTCTCTCTTCGTTCGAATGTGTGTGCTGCCTCTGTGTCGCCCCCGTCGATCGCGAGCGAGTGTTCCTTCAGGGATGTCCTGCTTATTCTATTTCTGTCTGAGCCCGCTTTCTAGGTAAGTCGCTCGAGTAAGTAACGAGTCGAAACGAGGTACCGGAGTACGTGGCTGGGTTCACAGCGATTGTAGGAAAGTGTCGTCGGGAACTACACGTTAAACGGTCGGGGTCGCGGCCTTCCGACTCGCGCCTCCGCCTCACTGGCACTATTGTAGCCCTGGCCGGTGCGCGTGTGAAGTTTAAGTTCCGGAGTGAAAATTCGAACGCGTTCTCTAACGGTGACCAAAAAATGTCCACCTCAGAGGCACCTCCGGAGGCCGGCCGCCGCACGCCGGCGACACAGTCAGCATTGGCCAGCCGGTGGCGCTGGCGCCCGCCTGGCCAGTGGCGCCGCTGCCGGGGCAAGGTCCGCCCGTCACAGCCGGCATATTCCTTGGCTCAATCGAACCGCAGCAGCAGGGTTTGACGGCCGAGGCTGCGATCCAGCATGCTGAGCCGCGCGTGGCTACGCGCTCCACGCAGAGCGTGTTTGCGTCGCCTGCAAGAACGTTGCGCGCATCCGCACCAGAACCAGAGCCCAGACAGCATCAGAGCGAGCCGAGGCGCCCACCCTTCGTTGTGCCGCCGGCGCAGTTGCTTTGGGAGCCCACAATGCCAGGGCCAGTGATGCCAGGGGCTGTGGTTCCGGGCGCTGTGCCGCCACTCCCACCATTCGTTGTGCCGCCGGCGCAGTTGCTTAGGGAGCCCACAATGCCAGGGCCAGTGATGCCAGGGGCTGTGGTTCCGGGCGCTGTGCCGCCACTGAGTCTGCAGATTGGCTCGTCGGCCGCCATGGCGTGCCAGCAGTACCATGGGGAGGCGAGGCCAATCAGACAACAGAAGAAGCGAAAGGCGGAGGAGATGGACAGCGTGGCTGGCAGCGCGGGCGCTTCAGCGGCTCCGACGGCTTCTGCGTCGCCAGCCGCTTCGCCAGGCGTGTGGACGGAGCCCACGCCGTCTCCCGCCCCTTCGCCCGCGCCGCTGTCTGCGCTGAATCCACCTGAGATGGTCTCAGCACCGCCCAAGGCTTCTGGAGGCGACACCGGCAGCGAGGGTGGAGATCAGGCCGCTGTCACCATCGCTGTCGCTGCCTTCGACGAGTCGTCAGCCATGGAGCAAGAGCTCTTTGCAGGCTGGCAGCTCACGCAGATCTGCACCGTGCACCAGCAGCGCCTTCAGGCAGGCGAGGACCTGCGGAACCACCACGCGATGGAGACACTTGCGGAGGCATCTGAGGCGATGTCTCCTACGATTGGACCTGCGCTCGGCCCGGCCGACGCGCCTTCTCCTCCTCTTTCCAATCCGCCGTCGCCACCTGCACCCCAAGTGAGGCTGGCCTCGCTCGAGGTTGGTCAGGCTATCTTTTGGCCATTGGCCATCGCCGTTGTTATTGTGGCGATGGCGATGTACGGCATAAAAGTGTGGCTTGCAGAGGCTGGCCATGTCGGAGCGGTGCCATCCTGCGAGGCACTGACTTCGTCGGGCATCGGGGCGGCGGCAGACGAGGCCAAAGCCATGTCGGCGCTGGAAAGAACTGTGATCGTGGTGCGCGGGCTCCTCATCGTGTTCGCGGCTCTGAAACTCACCGGCAGGGACCGCGTTGCTTCGGTTCTCGTATGTGTCAGCACGATCGGGTATCGGGACGGAAATGCACATGCTCGCCACGGTCCTCACTCTTACGCCCTGCGAGATGACGCTCATGTTGGAGATGCTCGCCAACGTGTGGAAGGCCAACGTCTTGGGACAGCTCGGCTTTGGGTCCATCATCGGCTACGATCCCATGCCGCGTGCCCGCCTCCTCGGCCTGCTTGCCGCCACGTTCCTCCTCAAGGCCGTCAGGTATGGCCTCGTCTATGGCAAGACGGGCGACGTCGCCGCGCTTGCCTCTCGGCTGCAGATCGAGGTCCTCCCGATGCTGCTCGGCATGCTCGTTGCAAACTGTGAGCGGCGTTGGAGCTGGTGTTGGGCCGCGTTCAGGCGTTCGGGCTTCCTTGAGGCGTTCGAGCTGCCCGGCCCGCACCTCTTCACGATGATGATGCGGCGGCAGCGGCGGCGGCGTCAGCTAGCTGCCGTCTGAAAGATGTGTTTCGTTTGCGCTTATATTCATATCGGTCTCTGCAGCTTCAGAGCCGCTAACTAGCTGGTATGAATGCATGCACTTACTCCTACAGTATGTCGCCCCTCCGCTGCCTCCGCTGCCTACCGCGGCGCCGCTCCACCTCGTCCCGAACCCGAACCCTGGCCCTGGCCCACGGACTGCCCCCCTCGTTCGCCGGACTGGAGCGCTGCGTCTGCTCCCCCTCCTTCTCCTCCGCAATCACCTCCATCACCTCCATGTCGTACTCCGTGCCCCGGTGCATCCCTCGCGCGGTCGTCCGTCGCGAGGAGAGGCCGTACATAGTCTCGATGGACGACACGCGCTCGGTCAGGTTATCGACGAGCCTGTGCTGGATGCCAAAGAGTAGCCAAAAGGACAGGAGGACGATGAGCGGGCCAGTGGACCCCTCCAGGTTACCTCGCAACCCGGCCCTCTCCTCGAGGCGCCGCAGCATCCCCACTCCGTTGCGCGCTGCCACAAGCCACACCCACCCCACGAAGAAGGAGAAAGAGTTGGAGACAAAGAAGCGCTCCACCGTTGCACGCGAGGCGATGTCGTCGCCGCCGTATACCGGCTCCCCCGTCACCACAAACCAGGCGACGGCAAAGGCGGCGGCGGCGAGGGCGAGCAGAACGTTGATGGCGAGGACGTCAATGTCGGGGGGCATGGCTTCGGAAAGGGTCGGGAAGATTACGATGGCCACGTCGAGCCACGCGCACCCAGCTACCCAGCTCATCGCGGCCTGCACCAAGTCGGAGAAGGAGCAGGCCGCCTCGACGACGAGGTCGCGGTGGCCGGCTGCAAGCTTCGGGCTGGATGACTTTATCCTGATCTCCATCAGCTCGAGCGCGGCGCTGAACATCGCGCCCGCGAAGGTGGAGACGCCGGCCCACAGCAGCAGCAGCTTGGTCGTCAGCAAGGGCCCGTCCGCGCCCACGAGGACGGTCCTGTACGACGCATAGTACCAGGCCGACATGACCGTGATCGTGCAACCCCGCGCAACCATGGACCACAGGTCGCTGACCAAGTCCTCGACAAAGTCGATGCACCGCCCGTCGCCCCACTCGATGTTTTGTGCCCAAGGCTGTATCTTGAGCAGCACAAACGCGCTCGTCACGGTGAGGAGAGAGGCGAACCCTATTTCGAGGCCGGTGCAGTCCGGCTCGACCTCAGGCACGAGCGCAGCAGAGTGGTTCGCGTTGAACACGCACGCTTCGCCCCTGAGCGTCATCGCGCAGAGGCCTGGGTGCGCGGCTTTCACCTCCCTCAAGAGCTTGTCGGTGGCAAAGGCGAATGCCCACCCCGTCGTGTACTTGAGCATCATGGGGAGCTGGTGGAAGCCTCTCCATCGGTCTGCCAACCCGGTCCACTCGGCCATGTGCTTGCCAAAGCCGCCAATGGGGACGCTGGCGAGCGCGAAGATGTACTGCGAGCTGGCCGGCGCCTCTGTTGTGCATGCCAGCTCCAGGTAGTTCTCGCAGTACAACGTCGGGTGCAGCTGGAAGATGGCATTGGACCAGAGATCAAACCACAGCCGTGACAGCACGAAGACCGTAGTGTCCTCAAAGAAGGTTGCAACCGTCGTCATCTCGCCCACCAAGGAGGACGCGAGCAGAGCACGCGCGTCCGCTATCCGTGGGGGCCAGGTCAGAAAGAGGAGGACGATAAACTGCATCGGCGTCGGGAGATCGGAGGCTTCACTCGTTGCACCAGAAGTCCTCACTGTGTCAGCGTCGTCCATGTTGCGCCGCGTCGAAATGCTAGTGTTCGACGAGCGCAGCCTCGGCGGTGGCGAGTCCCGCCTGCTCATTGTGTGAGGGAGAACGATGACGCGGAACCCTGCTTTTGTGTGAGCGAGGGAGAACGCTGCAGAGCTGCAGAGCTGCAGGGCGCGGCGCGCTGAGCGATACGTTCGTCCCTCGTCACTGTGATCCGCTAAAAACAATATTTTTTGGAGGAGCAACCCAGCATTAAAAAAACGCACGGAGAACATGAAGAAGAAGAAAGAGAGATGCCACTCGCTCTCGGGCCCAGAGCTACAGGCGGGAGATTTGTTTTTGAGCTAGCCTATGAAACAACGCAAAAGGGGAAAGAAAAAAGAAAACAGACAAGCAAAGGGAGGGATGGAAACGCAAAAGGGCACATCGCCGGCTCCAGAGTATATTTTCCCATACCACCCAAGCACCCAAGACAGCTTGGAGAGCTCCTGGTCCCGCAACATTTCGTAACGATAGTCCGCAATTGGCCATCTGAATCCTTCAGCCTCCGCACGCGTACCTAGCACCTACTACTCGAGTAGGGCTAGGCTCTTGGGCGGCGCGCCGCCGCCCAACACTTCACAACGGACCTGGTTGCTCGGCAAGGCTTGCGGTCGGCCGCCTGGTCGGCGAGCGGTCTGCCATGGCCTCTCTCCACCCGTTCCTAGTCCTCCTCTCGCTCGCTAGGGCGTCGAGCCTGGCCATCGAGGCGGGCCCGCTGGGCAGGGAGCTCTTTGTCGCCCGGCGCGCCGCCTCTGCCGTCGGCGGCCTTCTCGCGGCGGGCGGCGCTGTCTCTGCTGGTGAGGCCCTCCTGGCCGAGAGCCTCCGCGGCGCCGCGGTGGCCGCCGGTCGATGGGTCACCCACATCGAGGCTGGCGCCGTGAGCATCGCGTACCTGGGCCGGCCTCCGCCCTCGCTCGAGGACGGGCTCGGGACGGCACACACGGCGCCTCTGGTTGGCGTTGTGTGGCGTGGCGGCAGCGGCGGCGAGGGCGGCATCGGCGGCGACACGTTTTACGCGACGGCCAACGGGGGCGCCTGGCAGGTGCGAGGCGGGGGTGAGCCCGTCGAGGCGGCGCTTGGCGGCGCCTCGCCGGTTGCGAACGTGGTGAGCTGCAGCCACGGCGCGGACTGCGCCGAGGTTGAGATGATGGCTCGCATGCTTCGTGAGACGGGGACGGGGATGCCGCTCGAGATCCGGCGCCCACCCGCACGGGGCGGGGAGACCTCCGCCGACGTCGACGCCGACACCGCCGCCTCCGCTGCCGCCTCCGCCTCCGCCTCCGCTGATGTGCTCCTCGACCTGCTCACCGCTCGGGCCGACGTGCTGGTCGATCCGAGCCTGCTCGGAACCTGCTCGGAACCTGCTCGGCGCGCTCTTGTAGGCCGACGTCTTGGTCGCTCCGCCGAGCCGGTTCGCACCGCGGCCGCGCTACCCCCCGGCGGGCGTGCTCGCTGCGTTCGGCGTGCTCTTGCCGGAGGCGCAGCCAAGGGGGGGGAGGGGAGGGGAGGGGAGGGGAGGGGAGGGGAGGGGAGGAGAGGAGAGGAGAGGAGAGGAGAGGAGAGGAGAGGAGAGGGCATGGCGGCCCTTCATGAGCCAATCCACGACACGTCCACGACACGTCCCCGCGCCCGTCTGCACCAGGCGGGAGGAGCGCTCTGCGATGTCTACGGTGAGCCGCTCTGCCCATGTCCACGACACGACCACGACACGACCACCACACGTCCACAAACGGTCCGCGAAACGTCCACGACACATCCTCGACGACACGCCCACGACACGTCCGCGACACGTCCCACGACACGTCCACGACACGTCCCTCAGGCGAGCCTCTCGATGTGGCGGCCGCTGTGACACGTCCCACGACACGTCCACGACACGTCCCTCAGGCGAGCCTCTCGATGTGGCGGCCGCTGTGACGGCGCGGGTGTACGACTCCGGCTCGTCGTAGCCAGATGCGGGAGATCACCCCGTATCTCCTCCGATCTCGAGCCCCAGATGCGGATGCGAAAGTTTGTGCGCTCGCGGCCTGACTGTGGGAGATATGAGGAGATATGAGGAGATATGAGGAGATATGAGGAGATATGAGGAGATATGACTGTGGCGTTCTCTTTGGGGCGGTAGGCTCGTCTGCGCTGCCGGCGCGCGGGCTGCTCGCAGGGGCCCTAGATGCGGGACATCTCCCCATATCTCCCCATATCCCGAGGCTTGGGTGCGGGATCTCTCCCCACATCTCCCCATATCCCGAGGCTTGGGTGCGGGATCTCTCCCCACATCTCCCCATATCTCGAGGCTTGGGTGCGGGATCTCTCCCCACATCTCCCCATCCCTTAGGCGGAGGACAGATCCCAGTGCCTCCGAATCGCGCTCCCAGTGTGATCCGTCTCCGGTGTATTCTGACTCCAAGGCTGCTCGTGTTGCACGCAGGCCGGGGACGCCAGCGTGCTGCCCTACTTCGCGCGCTCCTCGCGCGCCGCCTTCCCGTCGCCGCGCGGCGCACTCGACAGCGTCCTCGACGAGATGCGGCGAGATATGCGCCGAGATTGGAGCGAGATCCGGAGCGAGATGGGCCGAGAGATTGGGCGAGAGATTGAGGCCGAGAGATTGGGCGAGAGGGGGCCGAGGGCCTCCCTCTGACCCTTCCCTGGCCCTTACCTTCTCGGAACCTTGCTGCAGGCTGCGCGGCGAGTGCGCTCTGCCCTTGCGGCGGGCGGCTAAGGTGGTCGACGCGGACGGCTGGGAGCTCGGCTTGGGTGGCGTGGGCGAGGGCGGGGACATGGGCGTGTGAGGTTGCGTGTCTCTTCGGGGCCAAGGAGCGGGGCGGGGGTGGAGGAGGGGTGGGGTGGGGGTGGGCGGGGTCGCGAGGCCAGAGGGCGGGGCGAGGGCGGGGCGTGAAGTTGGCAGTGGTGTGTCGTGTGTGGCCGTTGTGGCCCACGTGGGCAAGGCTTTGCTCTTCTTGCGGTGGCAGCATGCGCAAAGGGGCGCGCGGGGCATTGCAGCATGTCTTCGGCATGTCTCCATGATTGTGGCACCATGGTCCATGCCGGCTCGCCGACAGACCGGGCCTCTCGCGTTGCACGGTGCTGTGTTGTGAGTGGTGTGTGTGACTGCGACTCTGAGACACAGTCAGTGTGACGCGAGGGGGCATGATATCTGCAGTGCCCCCGACACTCTGTGCTCGGCCCACGTATACGTGTACATTTACTCCTACAGACATGTGGAAATACACGCGCTGAATGAACACCGCGCGCCAGAAGCCACCCCCCGGCGAAGAAGGGGCGCAACCGCAAGAACGCGCCGGACCGCGCCGCGGTACTCAAGACTTGCAACAACCCAACACATCGTGGTAACTAGTATTCGCGTTGCGCTCTTGGCGCACTGGTTGGGATTTCATGCAATCACCCTACTACAGCAACGTTATGCCGCCGGCCCTCGCACCGCCTCGAGCAGGTTGATCAGGATGTCGATGCTCAGGTCGCGCCCCGGGCAAAGGCGGTCGCCGCGGTCGCCGACGCCGTTGTAGCCGACGAAGCTCGCCTCCGGCCCCCACAGCGCGGACGCGCGCTCGTACGGCGCAAAGGTGCGCGGCCGAGGGTAGACAGCCTCGTCGAGCGCGACGTTGGCGTAAGAGAGGAGGACGGGGCAGCCCGGCGGGAACGCCCGCCTTATGTCGAAACCGGGCGTGTCAAGAGAGCTCAAGAGAGCCGTGGGAGAGCGTGCGGGGCAGTATGAAGGGCTCGGTCTTCCTGTCTCTCGGTCTCCCTGTCGCTCTGTCGCTCTGTCTGTCGCGCCTGCCGAGGCCTCCGATCTGAAACTCCTCGGGCTCGTACCTGTTCACGGCACACTCCTGTGAACGGCGCCTCTTTGCGAGCTGTTGATCCGAGGCTCCTCGGGCTCGCACGAGACAGCGACGGTCTCGGGGACCGGCGGATTGAGCCGCGCCTAGACACTTCCGAGACACTTCCGAGACACTTCCTCGGGGACGGGCGGGTTGAGCCGCGCCTGAAGGAGGAGGGAGGGGGGGAGAGAGAGGTGAGTGGTGGCCCGTCTCGTCTTACCAGTAGACTGCGGTGGACTCCGGTCAGACTGGTCTACCAAACGGTCTGCCCCTCGGAGAGAGGGAGAGAGAGAGAGAGAGAGAGAGAGAGAGAGAGAGAGAGAGAGAGAGAGAGAGAGAGAGAGAGAGAGAGAGAGAGAGAGAGAAAGAGAGAGAGAGAGAGCAGAGGAGTCACTGGCGAGGTTGCCCCGTGTCTCGCTGCTGGCAGGCGCCGGGGCGTGTGAGGAGCGTCGGCACGCGCCGTCTCGAGCACGACGAGCCGCATCCGATCGCGGTCGCCAAAGGGCAGCGCGAAGTCACGCGGCAGGCCCTTGCGCCAGCTGTCCGCGAACGGCAGGCCACCAGCGCGCCAGCTGTCTGCGTGCGGGCAGCCGCCGTCCGCCGCCGCCCCGCCGTCGACGCGCGCCGCCTTGTCGCCGTGCGAGTCGGTGAGCAGGATACGACCTCTCCCCCCCCTCTCGTGATCTCGGGCGATCTCGGGTGATCTCGGGTGATCTCGGGTGATCTCGCCTTCTCGCCGTGCGAGTCGGCGAGTAGCGCTGCCGCGAGGGAAGGCACGCCCTGCAGCGCGGCGATGTAGACCACGGGCAGCACTTGGTCGACGAAGCGGCCCTTGTCGGGGCACATTGGCAGCGCGGGGTCCACCTGCTCACGAGCCGCCTCCTCTCTCCCTGCCTCCCCGGGTCGCCTCCATGGGCAGCGCCAGCTCCGCCTCGTACTCTGCCAGGGCCGGGCAGCCAAGCATGAGCGCGTGCAGCGTCTCGAGCCTGGGGGCACACCAGAGTAGTCAGGGCGAGAGGTGTCGCGCGGGGTACTCAGAGCACCGCGCTAGCACAGGGCGACTCAATACAGCTGGATACAGCGGAAGGCGTGCCTCGTCTCGAGCACTAGTACTCGGGTACCCGGGTCTTCACTCCCCATCTGGGGCCCAAGATCTGGGGAGAGAGGGGGAGAGATGTTCCACATCTGGGGCCACGAGCTGCGGAGCGCTCTGCAAGCCGACAATGTACGGCAGGACGACTGCGTTGATCACGCTCATCGCCCAAATCGCTGCGCGGCACTCGACTGAGCTCTCCGGGCCGAGGTCGACCTGAGGGGAGATGAGCCCGAGACGAGCCCGAGATAGGCCTGAGATAGGCCCGAGATGACCCCGAGATGACCCGAGATGACCCCGAGATGACCCGAGCTCTCCGTGCCGAGGCCGGCCTGCAAGAGGCGGACCGGCAGCCGTCTCGGATGTGTCTGCGAAGTGTCTGCGAAGTGTCTAGGAGGCGTCTGACCTGGAAGACGGCCCAAAAGATGGTGCGTGCCATGTACAGCTGCGTCGCCGCCCTCAGCGCCGCGCTCATCTCGCCTCCGCTCTCGGCCGCCGCCGCCCGCACCGCCTGGAGCGCCGCTGCGACGAGCGGCTCGGTCGGCGCGGCGCGGGCGCGCGTGCCGTCGTTCATCAGGTAGCGGAAGAACTGCTTTCGGAACGAGGCGTGCGCACCTGGGGACGCGTCGTGGACGCGTCGTGAAATGTGTCGTGGGCGTGTCGTGGGCGTGGGTGGGCGAGGCAGGCGCCATTGTTTCCCGGTGCGCCATCGCCGGACGCGAGCGCGAGGGGAAAGAGCCGCTCTCCCGGGTAGGACGGGCTCATCGCAGTTGGCCGCACGTTTGGCTTGCCGATGTAGAAGCCCCGGTCCATCGGTCCAAGCAGCCGCCGATGCACCTCGGCCGTGCTCGCAACCGCCAGTTTGCCGCCGATCCAAAACGTGTCACCAAACCAGCGCTGCCGGTCGATCTCCGGGTCCGCGATCGAGACAGCGTCCAACTGTCCGAGCAGGAAGACTGTGCACGAGAGGCAGCAGGCACACGGCCCGCAAGGGCATACGCAGCACGAAGGCAGGCCGTTCGCGTCCGAAGGGCAATACTGATACCGATAGCTCGCCAGTCGGTTTTGGCAGCCGTCCTGGCAGCGGATGGCTCTCAGGCAGCAGCCGTCGCTGCACCCGCACGTGGCCGTGCGGCAAAGCGTCGAGCACGGCGCGACACACCACGGCCCGCAGACCACACACCCTGCCGTCGAGAGGCACGGCACGAGGCAGTCGGTGAGCGTTACGAGGCAGTCAGTCGGCGCACGTTTGTTCGAGGCGGGGCTACATGGCGCGTCCACGGGGCTACATGGCGCGTCCACGTCGCGCATGATGGACAAACTCTTCGGCTCTGCCATCATGCTTTGAGGATGGCCGGAAGCAACACGATAAGGTCGGAGAGGATGGCCTCAGCAGATGGCCTGGAGGCGACCAAGGTTGTGCCGTGTGTGTGTGAGCGATCTGTGATCTGTGAGGGTCCGCCCGCAGGCGCATTTTGTATACTCTGGCGGTGCCCGGTGCCGAGCGCAGGCAGAGCCCACAGGTCAGACCTTAAGACAGCGTTGTAGATCCCTGGGCGAGGGTGATGGCGTCCCCGTCGGGTCAGGGCTGAAGGCGGGGGAGACCAACCCGATCTCTCCGGCGTCCCGCGGGAGCGTGATTGACACCCCCCCCCGTGCCAACAGCCCCATGGAGGTAGGCCACTCGTCTAGCCAATCAGCCTTAAGCGAGCGGCCTGGCCGTTGGAATGGCCGGGTGGAGAGAGGGGCGGAGTCGGCTCGGAAGCGCGACTGCAGCCACGGGGACTGCCCGCGCACTCTCGTCGGGTTGAGGGGAGGACGACTGTCTCTGACGGCGGACCTCAGTTACGAGCCGCCCTCCCCTCGAGACGCGAGGCCAGCGCACTTGGGGCCGAGCCCCAGCGTGCACCGCCCCACACGCCTCACGTTCTGAGTGAGGTAATCCAAGTGGGAGATAAGCCTCCAAAACGACACGCTATTACCTACCCTATCCCCCTGCCTACCTGCCCTCAAAGCGGCCTGCGGGCCTTCTATTACCTACCTAACCCCCCCCACGCGCGCGCGCGCGCGTGCGCGCGCCATCGAACGGTTTCACGACGGCGCCGGCGAACGGCGCACGCCGAGCGCGTCGTGTACCCCGCGGACCGCGACCGACCGACCGATGTCGACGGCCTCGCTCGCTCGCATTCAGTACGAGCTGCTGCGTTGCGTCCGACGCGAACCGCAGCTGCAGGCCGAAACCCGGCGCATGGCTTGATTGGTGGCGCAGCCCGGTGCGGCCGACACCGCAGCCGGACCTTTCACGGTGGTCGTCGTTCACGGCGCGCCGACGCCACCCTCCACTCACTCGCCCGTCTGGTCCCCCCGCGACCCGCTTGACGAGCAGGCAGGCGGCTCTTCGCAGATGACGATGACGCTGGTCGCAGCTTCGCTTGCGGCCAGGCAGCGCGCAGCATCTTAAAAAGTGGGGCGTGCCACGTGACCTCCTTGACGCCGTGAACTACCAGGAAGCCTGGTTCCACCTGTTTGAGTCCGGTCGGGCAACGGGTCCGGTTTGAGTTCGTCGGGCAACGGCCACGGCCCCATATCTGGTGGTAGACGCCATGGCTCTGGAGCTTCAAGCTCCCCCAACACGCTACGTCGATGCCCATGGACCCAAGGCACTGTCCCGTTGCAAGGTCCTCGCCCGTTCCGCGCGTGCCACCCCAGCCGGAACGACGTATGGCGAAGTCAGGGCACTGGTTCATGCCTTTCGTGTAGTCATTGAGCGCGAGGCGGTTGAGGTACATGCCCGTCCCAGTGCCAACGTACTTTCTCGTCGACTGGTTGAGCCTGAAGCAGTCAATGCTTTCCCCACAGCCACGGGGCTTCGCATCTGGTTCAGGTGTCCCAACGCACTCAGGCCCGGTGTATACGCGACGGCTGTTCTTGTCGTCATTTCCATGCACGTCCGATGTCAAATTAAGCGCGCTGTTGAGCATCCTACAGAGACGCAGCACGTCCAGTACGGCGTCGCCATCGAGGCGCCCGAACCAAGTAACGCTCGCCGGCGCTCGTTGGAGAAGCACGTCCCAGGCCAACCGCGTCTTGTTGAAGAGCAGCTTCGAGCTGGCACGCAGCACTGGAAAGCGGCCATAGTGATCCTTCTCCTCGGAAACGATGACGAGCTGGCGTTCATCGGGCAGAAACCTCAGCCAGCCGTCGTAGGCCGCCGCTACGAGGTCGTGCTGTAGTGGGGAAGAGAGCACCTGCAGTGCGAGCGGCACGTCGGGAGGAGCCATGGTATCAAAACATCAAAAAACAAAAAAAGCGCGCCTTTGCGTGGGACCATGGACGGACGCGAGTCCTAGCCGTCCTTTGTTTGTATTAATAAATGGCGCTACGGAACGCCACTTACTCTCTCTAGGTGCGCCTTGCGGGCACATCCGCGGATCCCCTACGCACACGACGCACACACCCCGACAGGCACCTACAGCACAGACACCGAACGCATACCGACCATGCGTCGGCCGCGAAATCACGATGCAAGCGCGCAACATACAGCAAGGATGCGGGGTTTTTTGCATATGGGGTCTGCCCAGTGGGTGCCCCCGGTCATCTGCAGCCCCTCCCCAGCCCTGTGTCCCTCTGTCCGCGACGCTGGCGCCCAGCGGAAAATCGAGCAATACTGCCCGATATCGCGACGCGCCACCAAGCTCGGGCATGTGGTCGGCACAGGCTGAGCTGCTCGCGGTGCACAGGTCATGATGCGGACCGTGCACCGCGAGCAGCTCGAGGCGTGGCGAGCACCTGGCCGAGGACGGCGGCGTCCCCCATCGGGTTACATCGCGCGAATGACCTTTTTGTGACCCTTTTGTACGAACCGTTCACGGCACTAGCCCACCGGACGGTCTCACTCTCAGGCTGCGCCCCTGCGCGCACACATCCAACGAAGATCCATGCACCATGGGAACCACAGGTCACAGCATCACAGTCACAGGAGTGCACCTGCACAAACCAATTCAAAAAAACAATATCCGCGGAGACGGAAAAAACGAAAACGGTAGAAGAGAAGAGTCAAGAGATGCGTGCTACAAGCTTCGTGGCCGCACACCGCTCGCGGAGTTCACGCGGCACTTTCACAAACGAAAATCTCACACGCGTTGGTGAGCATCATACTGCTTTTCGAAGTCCTTCCTGCCCCACTTCTGAACGCCCTCCTCACTAATTCCACCATCATTCAGGCACGGCGGGTTGAAAATGCAGCGTACCACCCCGTGGCAGAGCGTCTGGCATGCCAGGAGTGCGGTGACGATGCCAACGCAACACTCGAAGCCCTCCAAGCCCGTCAGGCGCTGTGAGATCGAGAGATGTGGTGAAAGTGCTCAGAAGACACGGCGACGCGAACTCTGGCGGGCACAAGCGGCCGGGGATGGCCATGGGGCGCAAGGCGGCATGCCGAGACGAGCAGGTGGCAAGCGGATCTTATGGCGCGGCACCTGCTTGTCCCTTGCATCGGCTCCGTCGGCGCCCGCGTCGCTACGCTCCATGCTTTCGGCCTCGGGTGCGGCGGCCTGCCGTTTCTGCCGCTGCTCCTCAGCGAGTCTATCCTGGAAGTTGAACTGAGCGCCGCGCGCTTTGGGCTGCGAGCTGGCGCCTTTCTTGTTCGGATGCCCCGCCTGTCCCTGCACCCCACCCGAGAGTGGTTGCGTCGGCGGCTGCCCCTGTCCCTGGCCCACGTCGGCTTCCGCGGGCGCGGCTTCCCGTGACGGTGCCGCCCCGTGGTCCCGCCCGTGGTCCCGCCCGTGATCCCGCCCGTGGTCCCGCCCGTGCTTCTTCGACCGCTCCCGCTTCGCTGCCCGCTTCGCTGCGGCTCTCTTGTCTGCAGGCATCGCCGAGAGCGCCTGGTATGCGGAGGTCACGTCGGCAAACTTGCGCTCCGCCTCGGCGTTGCCTTGGTTCTTGTCGGGATGAAATTGACGCGCAAGCTGGTGGTATGCGCTCTTGAGGTCGCTATCAGATGCATCGACTTCAACACCGAGCTCGCGAGTGATTCTGAGATCAGGTTGGGCGACTGGCAGACATTTCAAAAATTTGGCGCCGCAGGCGCCCGCTGCGTGCCCACCATGGTTGGGCGCGCAGCGAAGAAAATTTTGCGCTCTCGACAGCCTTTTCTAATAGGAAAATGGCCTCTACTCGGCGCCATACCGCTTGTCGGCGCACAGCGGAGTTCGCAAGCCGGACCTGCTGCCTTCCCTTCTACGTACACTTTCAGAATGGAGGCTCAAACGCAGCGCAGGGCTCAGACCAAGTGCAAGTCGATTTGTACCACAAAGTTGGTAGACAGTGCCAAAACCGCGGAACCGAAAATGGCGTTTAATTTCGCGCACCTGCTGTCCGCCGCCTGTGGCGGCGCTCCGCACCGCTTGAGGCGCCTGCGGCGCCCCTGGCGGCGCGCTGTCCGCGCGCCCCTCTGTGGTTTTCGTGGGGGGCTCGGCTCTCGTAAGTGCTAAGTCTCGATTTGTACAGGATTTCGACGTTAGTGGCAAAACTGCGGAACCGAAAATGGCGTTTAATTTTGCGCACCTGCTGTCCGCCGCCTGCGGCGGCGCTCCGCGCCGCTTGGGGCGCCTGCGGCGACCCCCTGGCAGTGGCAGCAGTGTGTACGGCTGCGGGTGCGCCCGGTACACAAAACCGGCGCTCTATGGCGTGCTCCGGGGGAGCACGACTACGCAGTCGTGGCTTCCACACGCGAGAGAGTGGCTTCTATATTTACGAAAACATTGGGCGTCCCTAGTGCCGCATCCATAAGAAGTGACGTCACGGTTCCAGGAGCGCCTGGCGGCACAGCTTAGAGTGGCAGCCGAGCGCCGGCCACGACTATCGAGTCGCCGTCGCGGAGCTGAGGGCTGGCCGACGGGTGGCGCGGTCTTCCTCCCAGCGCCGCCCATCGGTCAGCCCTCAGATCGATCGATCGGCGCTCAAAGTCGCTTCAGATCCGAGAAAGCTGCTGGCGCCGCTGCCGATCCCAGCCGCGACGCCAGCAGCTTCCTCTGCTCTCCAATGCGCCGAGAAGCGACGCGGCGGTGCTCGGCTCGCCATGCACGATGACGGCTCCGCTGGGTGCTCGTCGGCCGGTCCGGTGGCACCCTATTCGCGCGTCACCTGCCGGCGTCCCGACGACAGCCTCGCGCCGCCGCTGATGGAGGGGCGGTCGGCGCCACTGCCGCCGCGCCGCCGGTGGGAGAGGCACTGGTGGTGGCCTGGGCGGCCCTCCGCCGCCGCTCGGCGCGCCCGGGCAGCGGTGGCAGCCTGCGCCGCCCCCGCTTCGAGCGGGCGCCCCCGCTTCGAGCGGGCGCCCCCCCGCTTCCAGCGGGCGCCCGGGACGGGTTCCCCGCTTCGAGCGGGGAGATGCGGCCTGGGATTCGCTTTCTGAAATGTCTGCCTCCAAAGGGGAAACGACTAACCTGATCTCAGAATCACTCTCGCGGCCTCTGGCTGGAACAGGATCGCAAGCGAGTCCCCCCGGCAGGCGCGCGTCTTCCGAGAGAGGAGCGGGAGCGAGGGACCTTCTTAGTTGTCCGGCATGCAGATGCATGCACGGCCGTTCAGAAACTTTCCCAGCCGTTGGAATGGCTGCTCTCCCGCCCCTCACCGGGCCGCGAACGGGTAGTAGACGTTGGCGCCGAAGAGGGAGGAGAGTCGCCGAAGGACGGGTAGTCGTCGGTCATGCGGGGGGAGGAGGAGTCGGCGAGCAGCAGGGGGGGAGAAATGCCTGAGAGGGTGGGGAGGGAGGCGTGAGGCGCGAGGTGAGGGGCGTGGGGGCGCGGGGCGCGGGGCGTGCGTGGGACGCGAGGCGTGAGGCGCAGGGCGTGGGGCGGGAGGGCGCGGGGCGCTCGAGGTTGGGGCAGGGGGTGTTTTGTGTGTCTGTATGTGTGTCTGTCTGTTTCTGTGTGTGTGTGCGTGTTGGTTTGTTTGTGCGAGGGCTGGGCGGGGCAGGGCAGGGCGGCGGCGAGCGGCGAGCGGCGTCGGCGAGATCGGCGACGTAGAGAGGCGATGGTGACGTACACGGCGGCAGTGTTCACGGCAGCAGCGCCGGTGGCGGCCCCGCGCAGCGGCGGCGGCGCCCTGAGTGAGGCAGACTGCCCTGCACAGCCTGCTGGGCACGCTCCCGACGAGCGGCGCGCCATGCGGGCCCGCCGCGGGCGACGCGGGCTGCGAGCCGACACGCGTGTCGCAGGCGTAGACAGCACTGGCGAAGCGAGGCGGCCGGCGCCGGCCCCGGAGGCGGCTGCAGTAAGAGCAGCGAGGCAGAAGTCACTGTCCAAGGCGTACTTAGCAGGCTGCCATCGAGCAGCGCGCCATGCGGGCCTGCCGCCGGCGCGACGAGATTGGAGAGCCGACAGGCATCGTTTCGAAGAGGTAGGTGTACTGAGGAGAGCCATCGCGCCCGAGGCGGTCCGCGCCGGCCCTGCAGGCCGTCTCAGAGAGCCTGGCGAGGCTGTACAGAATGCCAAGAGCATACTGGGCAGGCTGCCGTCGAGCGACGAGCCATGCTGTCGTCCTAAGTCCTATCCTCTGCGCTCTGGCCGGTACTGCCAGAGCAGACTCGCTCGGCACTCTCGCTGGGCGAGGGCATCGGTCTCAATGCTTGGTGCTGGAAAGAATTTCATCCCACTGGCGCGGGACGGGGGACGCACACAAGTAAAATCCCCAACAAGCATGTGTGCAGGGTGGCCTGACACGTGACACAGCTCACAGGCTCCCCGCCTGATTGATTTTTGGTTATCGAGAGAGACGAATTCCCGAGCGGTAAGTGTCACCCCGGCGGCGCAACCGACCCGCGCCTCTGCTCGCGCTGCGCAATTTTGGCGAGCCCCTCACGGTACGTCGGGTACCTTAGGCCGCCCGGCAGCAGCACGCGGCGCATCCGCGCGTTGTCTACGCGCTTGTGCTCTGCGGCGCGGCGGCGAGCGCGGCGGCTCGCGCCCGCGCCTAGGGTTCGGGGTCCGGGGGCCTTTACGTCAGGGGCGGGGACCTGGGGACCGGAGCCGGCGCATCGCGCGCCTGCTGCGTCTGCGTCGCCAGCTGCGGCTAGAGGCGCGCCGAGTAGTGCTGCGGCGTGCGCCATGACCTAAGGTATGGTGAGGTAAAGAGGCAAGGTGAGGTAAAGGCAAGGTGGGCTTCACTCACGCGAGGTGGTGGGGCAAGGCCAGGCAACCGTCGCAACTCCACGTCCAAAGGCAGGAGCCCAACGGCACCCAGAGAGCAAGGCCCAGCGCGCGTGGGTGAGTGGCCCATGAGTGAGATGTGTGTGTTTGTTGTGTGTGTGCGTGTGCCTCGCCGCGAGGCGCCGGCGCGTCGTCGGCGAGGTTGAAGATACCTGCAGGAGTGCTCCGAGGAGCGTCAGAGAGGCCGGGGGCGCCTGCCACGCGTCGCCGGTGCGAGGGGAAGAGAAGGCAGGGAAAGAAGGCAGCTCGCCGGAGCTGTCGGCTGCGCCTGCCGGCTGCACCATCGACGCGAGCAGCGCGGCGCAGATGTCCTCGACATGGATGCGGGAGACGTACCGCACAGGCGGCGGCGGCGGCGGTCCACCCTCCCCCCCCCCCTCCCCCGCGCCCTCGCCCGCGCCTTTGTCGGCCCGCACCGCCGCCGCTCGCGCCACCGTATCGAGTGCGGAGCGTCCGGGGCCGTAGATGCCGGCCAGGCGGAAGCAGCACGCGCGAGGCGGCGCGGCAGCTCGCTGGCCGACGTGCAGCCACTCACGCTCGGCGGCGAGACGGTGCGCGCCTGTGGGAGAAGGCTCCGAGAAGGTTCGCCGCGAGGGCTCCTCGACGGCGCCCTCCTGCGAGGCGGTGCGCGCTGGCGCTGCCGGGCGCGCAGCGTGTCTCGGCGAGCTCGCCGACCCACCCACCGTCGTGGTCGCCGTACACGCTCGTCGTCGAGAGGTAGCCCACCCACCGCAGCCTCCCGTCCGCGCCGCCGCACGCGCGCTCCACCTCCTCAGCGTGCAGCGCGAGGAGCGGGTCGCGGTCGAAGTCGGCGACCGGCGGCACGGTCGCGAGGAGGTGTGTCGCATCGGCGAGCTGGGCCAGGCCCGCCTCAGTCAGGCCCGCGTACTCCTCGTCCAGATCAAAGGCGTGCACAGACGTCAGCCCAGTCGCAGCTGCAATCTCGCTGGCGCGCGAGGCTGACCGGCAGGTGCCAGAGACGCGCCAGCCGAGGTCGCGGGCGTCGAGCGCGGCCTGCAGGCCGACGTAGCCAAGGCCGAAGACGAAGAGGTGCGGCTGCTGCAGAGCAGGCATTTGTCCCGAGGCGAGAAGAGTTCACAACCACACGTGAGACGGCGCGCGCGGAGCGCGTGGGGCGGCCCGCATTTTCTTTTTTTTCAAAAATCTTCCCTCTAGCTGAGTGGAGAAGATAAAAAAGAAACTCCGGGGCCAAAGGCGCCGCGCAGCTCGAGATGGAGGATACTGATCACTACTGATGGAGGATACTGAACGGCAGCGCACGGCGGTTGCCAGCTCGAGCGATCAAACGCTCGCCGAGCGCGTCGCCGCTGCCGTCCCGAGATGGACGAGCTTCTCGCTCGGCACGCAGATGCAGACGAGGAGGTGCCCATGATGTCGCGCGAGGAGCTCCAGGAGCTCATGCACAGCGTGCCAATCTCTTTATTTGCTGGCGTCCATAATGGCCCTGCTTGATGTCAAGCACCGCCAGGCGAGGCGCGTGTGCAGCACGTGGCATGCCGAGTGGTGGGCGACGGATACGGTACGTCGTGGGCTGCGGAGGTAGGTGAGCCCGCCCGTGCTGATGCCGCATGATACACACGTGAACGACATCATCGCTCTGGATGACGAGCGGCTCTGCCTTGCCTCCACAAGAGGGATGGGCGCTGGTGCTGGTGCTGACGGGATGCGCGTCATCGTCAACATGCACGCAATTCTCGACCCGAGCTCCGACTGCCAGCCGCTCACCCTGCACTGCAGTCACCAACCTTCGTGGCGCCTCGCAGCGGGCAACGGCCGCATCTTCAGCTGTGGCGGTGACATTCGATCGTATCGGGTGACGGACTACTCCATGGTAGCAGCGCGCGCTCCATCCGCGCCATTCTCGTTCTTCGGTCTCGCTCTCGCCCCTGTTGGTCCGCTCTCGCGGTGGAGAGGATGGAGGAAAGAGAGTGGATCGTCGCGCTGGACCCGGGCACGCTCGAGACGCGCTTGACGTTTGGCGACTTTCAGAGTGGTGCTCTGCATGGGATGGCTGTCGTTGGCAAGGAGCTGTATGTCGGCCACGAGCCGGACTGCAGCATACGCGTCTTTTCCTTCACCGGCGAGCCGCTGCGCCAGATCACGGGTGCGTTTCGAGTGCCGCACGTGCTCCGCTACTTCATGCGGCGCCTGTACCTGCTCGAGTACAACGACGAGCTTCCACATCTCGATGAGAACGGTCAGGTCGACGAGAGCGAGGAGGTGACCGCAGAGCGGTATCTGGCAGGGACGCGCGTCTTTGTGCTGACACCAGAGGGCGATCAGCTGCAGGTGTATGACTTACGACCACAGCTGCAGCGCCCAGGCGAATTCGTGTTTGCGATGAATGTTTTCGGCGGGCAGCTTCTCATCGCCACAAGCAGCCGCAGCTTGGACAATGTCAACAGCACCGTTGACTCGATGTTTGCACTGAGTGGCGTGTGAGACGCGTGCGCGGAGAAGCAGCAGGTGGCTGGAAGCCAGCACTCGCTGCAGCTGCTGCAGAGCCTCGCAACGCTCGACAATGCGAGGACCCAGCTCGGCCTCCTTAAACTTTGACTCCAGTGTGGGTGCGCGGCGAGCCAGTCTTGTGACACGCGCGCTGCTCACGCGTCTGGGCGACGGCATGGGCGCGCACCGAGGGCGGCGGCATGGGCTGAGCGCAAGATGTGCGTGTGTTCCGTGTGAGAGGGACCGCTTCTTTTGAGAGAGAGATTTGTAGCGATACCAAACAACTCTCTGTGCTCTTACCCACAGTGAGAGTGTAAAACTTTGTAAAATACTCTGACTACTGACAAATCACACACATTTTTGTGAGATTTGAATGAGCCTCCTTTGGGCGGGGTTTTTTCTTTGCGCGGGAGATGTATCTCGCCAAATCTGACCGTATCTCGTCATATCCCGCCATATCCCGCGCCGTATCCCGCCGTATATCGAAAGGTGCAAGATGGATGCTTTCGCTCCTCAACCCGAAGAGGGCCTCAAAGCCATCGCTCTCGTGAGCATGCTTCCCGCGAGGGATGTGAGCCCGGAGCGGGTAGAGACGCCTCGCCTCCGCCGCAGATAACCGGCGGGCGGACATCGCGAAGAATGAAGAAAAAACTCCGCAAATGGTCGCCTCTTCGCCAACGAGCAACGTGGCCAAGGCCGAAGAAAGGTGCCTGCTCGGGCATCTCTCTCTCTCTCTCTCTCTCTCTCTCTCTCTCTCTCTCTCTCTCTCTCTCTCTCTCTCTCTCTCTCTCTCTCTCTCTCTCGGGCGAGGCGAGAGCCCCGAAAACGAAGAGAGAGGGAGATTTGAAAACCAACAAGAAATAATGAGAGCGGAAGCACCGACTTGTGAATTTCATCCCCAAGGACGACTCGTCACGCACAGCCATCTCCTTCCGCCCAAGCATGCTCTCGATCATCGCCACGTACTCCGCCCCGGTCCCGCTCCACGGCCGCGAGCTCACCGCCGGGTGGCAAGCCTACATGAACCAGGGCCTTCAGACGGGCGCCGCCTACGCCGGCACCGGCGCTTCGGGCGAGGGCTCCTTTGACGACCTCAACGCTCAGACCGCGGACGCCTTCAGCGCGCTCAACCACCAGGGCGAGCCCGCCGCCGCCGCCGCCTCGCCGTCCGCCGCCTCAGCGTCCACCGCCGCCTCGCCGGCCTCCACCATCGGGACCGACGTCACCTCTGCCGTCGCCACGCCGATCGTCTCCTCGACCGACGCCTTCACCGCCGGCATCATCTCGGTCGTCGACTCGCTCACCGCGGCGCTCGGCTCGCCCGCCGCCTCGAGCGCCGCGCCCGCCTCCGCCGCCGCGCCCGCCTCGCCCTCCTCGTCCGGCGCCGCCTCGGCTCCCCACTTTGCGGGCTGGCAGGCGTACATGAACCAGGGCATCGCCACCGGCCTCCAGTACGCCAACGCGGGCGCCGGAGTCGCCGCCGGCACCACCGACCCGGCGACGGGCTTCAACGACCTCAATGCCGCGACGGCCGACAGCTTCGACGCCCTCAACCACGGCGCGCCGCTCGCCGAGCAGGACGGCGGGGAGCGGCGCAAGCTCGCCGCCGCCGCGCCGGAGGAGAAGGTGTGGACGGGCGCGTGGAGCGACCACCACGCGGAGGCGGGCGGCAAGGAGACCACCTCGCCGCTCGGCGCCGCCAACGTCGGCACCTCCTCCCTCGAGCACGCCGCCACGACCGGCTTCGCGCACGGCGCGTCCCACGTCATCGGCGCCAACACCCACGGCGCGACCGACGACCACGCCGCCAACTCGGACATCCTCTCGACCGACAAGTACCTGGGCACGCCGGGGCACCAGAACGACTGGACGCAGTACCTGCCGGTCGTGCCCGGCAACAACGACGGCGGCTACCTCGGCGGCGAGGTTGTGCAGGACGAGTCGCAGGTGTCGGGCTACGTCGGCGGCTCCTACTACCCGTACCCCGCCGCCCCCGCCGAGTACGCCACCGTCGGGCCGATCTACGCGGGCAAGTACACCGCGGCGGGCCTCGAGACGGTCGCGGGCTGGGCCACGGGCGCCGACTTCAACGAGGAGGGCATGCCGGAGGGGACGGCGAACCGGTTCCTCGAGCTCGACACGCAGCTGCTAGACGACTTTGACAAGCTGAACCGCGGCGGCTCGGTGCTCGGCCGCTGACCTGAGCCGGGGTGCTACCATCGATATGTGTACTACTCTAGGGAGCGGTCTAGTCCCGTGGTGGGTGCTCGATTCCTTTGTGTACAACGAACTATAAACACATGACCTCAAACGCGCCGCCCGCGCGCGACCCCTCTCGGCACACGGGTCACGGCAGCGCATCGGGCGCCGCGAGGTGGCAGCGGGGAGGGGTGAGGCGGCGGCGGTCGAGGCGGGCGAAAGTTGTCAGCGGTTCGGGCGGCCAGGGTGGCAGCAGCGGGCCTGTTCCCGAGGATGTCGGAGAGGCGGGCGGCGCAGGGGCGGTCTGCGATGCCCGGCGCCCTCGGGCAACGCCAACGGGGCAGCGGAGGCAGAGGCACCAGCTGCCGCGTCCTTTTCCGTCGGCGCGCGGAGAGCGGAACGGGCGAGGGAGCCATCCCCGACGAGGTCGTGGAGGCGGCTGTGCAAGGCGACGATGCGGTGCTGGTGTGGCTCGACGGCGGCGGGCGGGTGGACGCGACGTTCACTCATATGAGTGTGAGCGGCAATGCGGTACTGATACTTTCTCGCCGCCGCCTACGGCCACACGAGCGGCTGGCCGCGCAGCTGCTGCAGCGTGGCGCGTCGGTCGACCTTCAGAACAATGAGAATGGCACCGCGCTGATCCTAGCCGCAAGGAACGGCCACAAACAGGTGGCCGAGCTGCTGCTGCAGCACGGGGCAGAGATCAACTTGCAGGACTGCAAGGACCATACCGCGCTGATGCTCGCCGCCTTCAACAATTATCCCGCCGTCGTGCTCCGCTTGCTGCGGGCGGGCGCCGACGCGAAGCTGCGCTCGGTGTCTGGAGACACAGCGCTGGGGTTCGCCAAGAAGCAGGGCCACAGCGAGTGAGTGCGTGCCCTCGAGGGAGCCACCCCTTTGCCGCATGCTGCAGAGAGTGCATGCGGCGGCAAAGGGCGCGCCCGCGACGGCGGCAAAAGAAGCAGTGTGTGCTGAGGGGGCGGCAGCGAGGGAGGCGGAGCGGGCGGCGGCGGAGGCGGAGGCGGCACGGCATGCCGAGGAGCGCTGGCGGAGGTCGAGGCGGAGAAGCGCGCCAAGGGCAAGAAGGGCAAGAAGAAGAAGAAGGTAGGCGGGAGCGGCGGCGCTGGGCCGTCGCAGGAGCCCGAGGCGCTGGCGGAGGAGGAGGCAGCCGCAGCTGAGGCGGCGAAGAAGGCCGAGGAGGCGAGGCTTCTCCTGCTTCTCGAGACGCAGCTGGCGCGTGGAAGTGCTCCATCGACGAGGCGAAGGCGGAGAGGATGGAGCGGAGCCGGTTCGGGTTGGTCCACGAAAAGTCCGGGTGCTGGACGAGCGCCTGAGCTCGGGCAATCTCGGGTAATCTCGGAGCACCACGACAATCCCCGGATCTCGCACCATGTTGCATGTAGGATAATCTCGACTGCACCTCGACTGCACCTCGGCTGCACCTCGACTGCACCTCGACTGCACCTCGGCTGCACCCTCCTAGCCTCCTTCCCTTTTTTCTTTGTTTTTTCTTAGGCGACTCCGGATTCTCGCTCTGGATCTCCTTTTGAGGCTCAAGTCTCTTGACCGAAAGAAAGAATTCTACGTCAGGAAAAAGAATTTTCCCGCGGGAAAAGAAGGGGATGGGGATGCCGGGATGAAGACCGCTGCGAGAATTGGCGAGAGACTGCGAAGAGAGATAGGCAGAGGCAGATACCCAAGGGTGGGCGACGGCTAGCACCACCCTCCTCTCCTTAAAATCCCTGTGTGCAGAGCAAGTGCCTGCTCGCGTCCCTGCACGCTCCGTCTGCAAAACTGCAAGCAACGCCCGTAGAGGGTGCGTTGAGGGCACTCCCTCAAGGAAGCGCCGTTCGACTCTGCCATTTCCTTGGCCTTACGCGTTGCCTATTGGATTTGCGTGTTGGATTGAGTCGCTGTTGACCCACGTCGCATAAGTTCGAAGTCCGAGCTCGTCCGTCCCGAGAAGCACCCGCCTCTCGTCTCGAGCGCCCATCATGCTCTGCCACTCGCGACTCCTAATCGTCCTCGTGGCGACCGCCTGCGCGGCGCCCGTGCCCGTCGTCGACGTGCCAGACGGTCGCGCTAAGCAGTTCCCGGCGTCAGAGGGTGGTGTTGCTTTGCAAGTTCCCGCTCAAGGCATCGAGGAGCAGAACGGCGGCTTCGAGCCCAGCAACGGCGGCAACGGTGGCTCCTTCGGCGGCGACGAGGAGCAGGAGCAGAACGGCCGCTTCGAGCCAGGCAACGGCGGCAACGGTGGCTCCTTTGGTGGCGACGAGGAGCAGGAGCAGAACGGCGGCTTCGAGCCAGGCAACGGCGGCAATGGTGGCTCCTTTGGTGGCGACGAGGAGCAGGAGCAGAACGGCGGCTTCGAGCCAGGCAACGGCGGCAACGGTGGCTCCTTTGGTGGCGACGAGGAGCAGGAGCAGAACGGCGGCTTCGAGCCAGGCAACGGCGGCAATGGTGGCTCCTTTGGTGGCGACGAGGAGCAGGAGCAGAACGGCGGCTTCGAGCCCAGCAACAGCGGCAACGGTGGCTCCTTCGGCGGCGACGAGGAGCAGAACGGCGGCTTCGAGCCCAGCAACGGCGGCAACGGTGGCTCCTTCGGCGGCGACAAGGAGCAGCCGACCAGCCGTTCGCTCCCCACCGCAACTTTGCCTGGCTTCCACCCCAACGTCCCGGGCCTACGCCCGGTGCCACACGTGCCCACTAGCCCCGAACACGACGATGTTGCCAGCGCTCTCTTTGCGAGCGCGGCTCTCGTCTCGGGCCACAATGAGCTAGCGGGCGTCGCACTCGCTGCGCAGGGCCACCCGATGGCCGGCATGGCGGCAATGATGATGGGCAACGGTAACGAGGGCGAGCAGGCGGATGCGACTTCTCCGCCCTCCTCTCCTCGTGGCCTCGTCGCCGCCGCAGACGGCTTCGTGGCTGCCATCGACAGCCTCGTTGGCGCCGACACGGACGCGACTTCTCGCGGCTACGTACCCAAGATGACAAACACGAACCCCGGCTTCCACCTGAACGGGCCGAACGGCATCGAGCCCGGCTTCGCCTTCAACGGCGTCTGGCAGCCGTCGCAGCAGCAGAACGGCGCCAAGTGCCCCGACGTCCCCGCGTCGATGCACACGCTGCAGCTGGCGGAGGACAGCGCCTCGGCCTGCCAGCAGACGTGCCTCAGCTACGCGCAGTACCACAAGTTCTTCTTGGGCTATGCCGGCAAGGACTTTTGCTGCCAGTACAAGGAGGACGGCGCGCCCGGCGAGTGCCAGATCTCCCCGCCGATTACCGCCACGAACGTCCCCTACCTTCCGGACAGCGAGTACACCGCCTTCTTCTTCCACCCGACGGCGGCTGCCAACGGGGTCTAGCTTGTCGCCGTCACCACGCCTGCATGGGCTGTGCGGTCCGGCGTGTCGGCATGCACGCCTCTCTCCACCCTTGGCCCTGCTCAAATCTACTCAGAGCTCACTTCTCTACTCTCTCGTCGTCCCCCTCACCTCTCTCACTCTCCCTCGTACGGCTATGGGTGGTACTCTTGCTTATTATGATTGAGCACACGTACGATTCGGCTTGTCGCCTGAGACACGTTTCGAGACACTCGAGAACCCCTTGAGAAGACACCTTCTGCTGCACGTCTCGTCGCGGCTGTGTCGGCGCGAGCGGCGGCGGGGTGAGAGGCGCCTGTCATTCGTCGTGCCTGTAAGTCCAAGACTCCAAGTGTCATCTCAACGAGGAGAGGATTCGGTTCGGCATTATTTACGGTGGAGACGTCGGTCGAGGGGCTGGCGGAGGCGTGGGGAGAGGCGACGAGCGAGGCGAGCGAGGCGAGCGAGGAGGAGACCGCGGAGGCGGGCGAGGAGGCGGCAGCGGAGGCGGCAGCGGCAACAGAGGCGGCAGCGGAGGCGGAGGTGGAGGCTGCGGTTGTGGCAGCGGCAGAGGAGGAGGAGGCTGCCGCGCAGCGGAGGAGGACGAGGAGGCGGCCGAGGCGGCAGGCCCCGCGGCCCCGAGGCGGCATTTGAGGCGGCAGAGGCGGCGCTCCCTCGCCGCCGCCAAGGCGAGGCGCGCGTCACTTGCCGCTGCGAAGGCCAAGGCACGGGAGAGGCGGCTTAGCCCGCGTGCAAGCCACGTTGGCGCAGTGGCAACCTGCGACGGTGTATCAGTCGCCTTATGCCACCGTTGCATATCCTTACGACGGTGTATCAGTCGCCTTATGCCACCGTTGCATACCCTCAGTCGCCTTATGCCACCGTTGCATATCCGGATATGCAACGGTGGCATAAGGCGCGACTGATACACCGTCGCAAAACTGCACGTCGGGTCTCGAGTTCGAATCCCGCAGTTCGACTCGGCGCAAAAAAACCAGACGGGCGTTGTCACTGGTTCGAAACCCACCTTAGCGTTCACCTGCTATCCGCCGGTACCCAAACCGGATGCATCTCCGCACGACCCAGGAACATGTGCAGTTTTGCGACGGTGTATCAGTCGCGCCTTATGCCACCGTTGCATATCCGGATATGCAACGGTGGCATAAGGCGACTGATGCACCGTCGCACAACCACGGGGAGGGGTCTCTAGTACTCCGGGGTGCGCGTCCTCCGTTGAACGATGTCGTGACGAAGGAGTTTTGTGGCCGAGAGGGTCGCGCGCGGGCGGCGCGTTTGAGGTGCGTCATGTGTTTATAGTTCGTTGTACACAAAGGAATCGAGCACCCACCACGGGACTAGACCGCTCCCTAGAGTAGTACACATATCGATGGTAGCACCCCGGCTCAGGTCAGCGGCCGAGCACCGAGCCGCCGCGGTTCAGCTTGTCAAAGTCGTCTAGCAGCTGCGTGTCGAGCTCGAGGAACCGGTTCGCCGTCCCCTCCGGCATGCCCTCCTCGTTGAAGTCGGCGCCCGTGGCCCAGCCCGCGACCGTCTCGAGGCCCGCCGCGGTGTACTTGCCCGCGTAGATCGGCCCGACGGTGGCGTACTCGGCGGGGGCGGCGGGGTACGGGTAGTAGGAGCCGCCGACGTAGCCCGACACCTGCGACTCGTCCTGCACAACCTCGCCGCCGAGGTAGCCGCCGTCGTTGTTGCCGGGCACGACCGGCAGGTACTGCGTCCAGTCGTTCTGGTGCCCCGGCGTGCCCAGGTACTTGTCGGTCGAGAGGATGTCCGAGTTGGCGGCGTGGTCGTCGGTCGCGCCGTGGGTGTTGGCGCCGATGACGTGGGACGCGCCGTGCGCGAAGCCGGTCGTGGCGGCGTGCTCGAGGGAGGAGGTGCCGACGTTGGCGGCGCCGAGCGGCGAGGTGGTCTCCTTGCCGCCCGCCTCCGCGTGGTGGTCGCTCCACGCGCCCGTCCACACCTTCTCCTCCGGCGCGGCGGCGGCGAGCTTGCGCCGCTCCCCGCCGTCCTGCTCGGCGAGCGGCGCGCCGTGGTTGAGGGCGTCGAAGCTGTCGGCCGTCGCGGCGTTGAGGTCGTTGAAGCCCGTCGCCGGGTCGGTGGTGCCGGCGGCGACTCCGGCGCCCGCGTTGGCGTACTGGAGGCCGGTGGCGATGCCCTGGTTCATGTACGCCTGCCAGCCCGCAAAGTGGGGAGCCGAGGCGGCGCCGGACGAGGAGGGCGAGGCGGGCGCGGCGGCGGAGGCGGGCGCGGCGCTCGAGGCGGCGGGCGAGCCGAGCGCCGCGGTGAGCGAGTCGACGACCGAGATGATGCCGGCGGTGAAGGCGTCGGTCGAGGAGACGATCGGCGTGGCGACGGCAGAGGTGACGTCGGTCCCGATGGTGGAGGCCGGCGAGGCGGCGGTGGACGCTGAGGCGGCGGACGGCGAGGCGGCGGCGGCGGCGGGCTCGCCCTGGTGGTTGAGCGCGCTGAAGGCGTCCGCGGTCTGAGCGTTGAGGTCGTCAAAGGAGCCCTCGCCCGAAGCGCCGGTGCCGGCGTAGGCGGCGCCCGTCTGAAGGCCCTGGTTCATGTAGGCTTGCCACCCGGCGGTGAGCTCGCGTCCGTGGAGCGGGACCGGGGCGGAGTACGTGGCGATGATCGAGAGCATGCTTGGGCGGAAGGAGGTGGCTGTGCGTGACGAGTCGTCCTTGGGGATGATGCAGGGACGCGTCCACTTCCGTACTCGGTTGGCGGGACCGCCGAGGGCGCGCGCGCTTATTCTGCCATGCCGGTATCTGCGCCAAAAGAGCGACGTCGCGCACACACCATCATGATGTCGGCTTCCGCTCTCATTTCTTTTAGAGAGAGAGCCCGGGCGCTCTCGGCTACGGGACCGGCCCCAGCTTCGGCTGAGGGCTGACACGCTGCCGAGCCCAATTCACTGTGAGAGTCGTGATTTCTTGTTGGTTTTCAAATCTCTCTCTCTCTCTCTCTCTCTCTCTCTCTCTCTCTCTCTCTCTCTCTCTCTCTCTCTCTCTCTCTCTCTCACACACAGAGAGAGAGAGAGAGAGAGAGAGAGAGAGAGAGAGAGAGAGAGAGAGAGAGAGAGAGAGAGAGAGAGAGAGAGAGAGAGAGAGAGAGAGAGAGATGCCCGAGCAGGCACCTTTCTTCGGCCTTGGCCACGTTGCTCGTTGGCGAAGAGGCGACCATTTGCGGAGTTTTTTCTTCATTCTTCGCGATGTCCGCCCGCCGGTTATCTGCGGCGGAGGCGAGGCGTCTCTACCCGCTCCGGGCTCACATCCCTCGCGGGAAGCATGCTCACGAGAGCGATGGCCTTGCCAGCCACGCCGCGCACGCGCGGCGCATTTTACGGCGACCTCGAGGCGCCGGGAGCGCTGGAGAGGATGGTGAGAACGACCAGCCTTCGCGGCGAGCTGGTGCTCCTGCACGGCAACAGCAAGCGGCGCCGGCTGCTGCTCAACCTCATCGCGCAGCTCAACGGGCTCGACATTGACCACATCCTTCTCCTCGCCTTCACGCCAGACATGTGCGAGCGCCTCCGTCGGAATCGGAATGGCGCGGTTGGCTGTGCCCACTCGTCGCACCTCCTCCCGCCCTCCCCGCTCGCGGCGACCCGCCCAAACGCTACCAAGTCCGCCGCGATGGCCGCGGCGGCCGCCGCGTGGGGCATGGCGGACAGCAACTACCGCCACTGGCTCGCAAAGTGGCGGACGATGCGGCGGCTGCTCGAGGCATCGTTGTTTTCCGGTGCTCTAAGCGGTTCCTCGCCGATTCTTCCAATGAGACTTCCCCGGGCCTCCTCCACGTAGGCGCGCGTCAACGTGCTCGCCCTCGACTCGGATGTCGCCGTCTTCTCCTCGCCGTACCCCCACCTCCACGGCGCTTTCCGCCGCTTCGCCCTCGTCGCCGCGTTTGACACAAAGGGCGGCTTCGCAAACGTCAACGTCGGCATCGTCTACTTCAACAATGCGACCGCCGGCGGGCCGGTGCACTCGATCATGCTCGAGATGGAGCGGAGGGTCGAGGCTGCGCTCGCGATGCCTCCGCCACAGAAGGTGAGTCACTCGTGTTCTCGCCACGCCTCCTCCTCCCTCCTTTGGTACCCTCTCGGAGCCCTCTCGGAGCCTTTCTGCAGGTGCCGTACGGCTCGCTGCCCGGCCTCTTCTGGGACCAGAACCTCTTCAACAAGGCCCTCCTCTCCGCCATGGCGAACCACGCCCTCTCGCTGCCCGACCCCGCCGGCCGGTCCTTTCTCGGCGGCGGAGAGTGGTCGCGCACCCACGCGGCGGAGCTGCGCCGGCTCGGGGACGTCCTCAAGGAGTGGAGGCGGGGAGAGGCTGCGGCGCCGCCCGGCCTGTCCGTCCGCCCGCCGTGGTTCCCGCACCGTGCGGAGTACCGCTACTGGTCGCTCCGCCGTGCCGCTGTCGGCGCCGACGCGTCTCTCTGGCGGCCGGTGAGCGAGGGGGCGGCCGCTGTGAAGAGACCGCCGAGGAACCAGGCGCCATTCACGGCTGGTGGTGTGAGAGCAGGTGCCCGAGGAGCGGATCCTGCTTGCACCGCCGTGGCTCGTCTCTGCGGACAACGCCTTCGGCCACCGGTGCAAGACGTTTTTAGCCCGTGCAGCCCCTCTGCTCCTCTCGGCTCACCTCGGCTCCTCTCGGCTGCTCTCGGGTCGTCTCAGGCACAAGCACTGGCTATACGGCGCCTCGCACCACATCTCCCCATATCTCCCCACATCTCAGGTACAAGCACTGGCTATACGGCGCCTCGCACCACATCTCCCCATATCTCCCCACATCTCAGGTACAAGCACTGGCTATACGGCGCCTCGCACCACATCTCCCCATATCTCCCCACATCTCAGGTACAAGCACTGGCTATACGGCGCCTCGCCGCCGCCGTGCGTCCTCCTCCACTTCGTCTGTGTCGCGCCGGGACAGCGGTCGCGCATCCTCCCAATGCAGCTCTTCGGCGCGTGGAGCGCGGGCGCCGACGTCCTGTCCGGCAGGCGTGGCGAGGATGACGCCGACGCCGACGCCGATGAGATGTTGTCATCGTTGTACGTCTTGCCCGGCAGGCTGCGCACCGACGGCCGGCGGAGCCCGCCCCCAAACACCACCGCGGTGGTCGGCCGCCGGCTGCCCGCTCTCCTAGATGCGGAGTAGAGACCCGAGTGTTCAAGCCAGCGCTCGAAAGGAGACGTATTCGGGCACACCGGAGCAGCAGGCAGACACAAAGACACGTGGGGAGAGATGGGGAGAGATGGGGAGATGTCCGAGATGGCAGAGTACCTCTCACGTAGGCTCGCTCTCGCAGACGCGACGTACGAGTCGCCGCTCGCGCCGCGGCCGTGGCCTCAGCTCAACGCGCTGCACGCGGCGCTCGGAGGGCTGGCGGAGCTCGCCGGCCGCGTCGCGGTCCTGCCGGCGCTCGACTGCGGCGGAGTGCTGGACGGGTTCCTCGAGCCGGGCATGCTGCCCTCGCGGTAGATGCTCTATGGGACACATGTCGTCGACGTGTCCTCGACGTGTCCCACAGGCAGGCTGCCTTCGCGCTGCTTTTGGCACGTCCACGCGCGCCGCGCGCCGCACTGGCGGCGCGCCGCCCCCGGCGTGCGGTGCGTCCTCTCCCCGCGCAACCACGTGCCGAGATTGCAATCTCGGAGTCCTCGGGCGGACGATGCGCTGTGCATCAGTCCTTACCGCCACCCTCATTGCCACCCTCGCAGCCACCCTCCACCACCACCACCCTCCACCACCACCCTCACCGCCACCGCCCTCACCGCCACCACCGCACCGCCACCACCGCACCGCCACCGCCACCGCCGCCACCGCCACCGCCACCGCCCTCACCGCCACCGCCATCGCCGCCAGGTGCGTCTTCCGCGCCACGTGCGGCGAGGCTGTCGCGCCACCGTCGGAGCTCGAGGCGGCGCTGCAGGCAAACAGCGCGGCGGCGGCGCCAACCTTGAGGGTCGACCTCTCGCGCTTCGACGCCGGCGGCGACGCGGCGGCCGCGGCCGCCTCTTCCGCCGCCGAGGCTGTCCGATCGCTTCTCGACGAGCTGACCGGGGTCCCGGTCGTGCTGCTGCGCCTTACGCTGCCGGAGGCGCCAGCCGACGGGGCGCAGCCGCCGATCGACCCAGCAGTGCTGCGCCGTGCCCACCCCGGGCTCGAGCGCGCCGCGAGCCGGTTCCGCGATTCGTGCCCCGAGCTGCTGGATCGCTCCAAGACGCGCAGGAGAGAGTGCACCAACTTTTGCTGACACTGCCGTGACAGAGTGGCAGTTCGGCAGTACGTTAGAGTGAGACGAGAGAGGACGGGAGCGGCGTCATTGCGGCAAATGGCGTGCGCTCTACGGAACGGCATCGCCGACCTAAGTCGAGCGCGTCCGAAGAGGTGTTTCGACACCGAGTGCTTTGCCGTTACATGCAGCCAGTGTCGCATGGCAAATCCGCGCCCTCGCACACTGCCTCGCCTCCCGACGCGGGAGAAGAGGAGAAGCTCTGGTACGGGGTGTGGAGCTGGAGGCGGTGTGGGTGAGTTGACCAGGGGGTTGTGCGCCGGGCCCTCCTGCTCGGCTCCAGCCGGTAGACAAGTCTTGTCATCAACAGAGTAGATGGATCTGACCTCAGGGCCTCGGCGGCGCCCTCCTGTTCGGCCTCGAGCAGAACTGGCGGGGCGACGCGGCGAGCAACCGGCAGGTGCTCGCGAGCCTGGCGACGGCACAGCAGCTCGAGCAGTCCGCGCTCGCGGCCGGGCGGGGCGGCTGGCGGCTGCTGTCGCACGTGTACCGGGCGTACTTCGATGCCACGGTGCAAGCGCGCCTGCGCTTCGAGCAGGCGCGCGAGGCGCGGGCGTATGAGGCGATCGCCGTGGCGGCGGCGGACTAGGTCCAGCCCTGGGTGGCGCAAGATCTGACGTTCTGTGACAATCGTCAGATCCGTGTTTTTTTGGTCTTGCGGTACATCTCTCCGCTCGCCACCTCACGCTCCGCCGTCCGGCCATGGATGGTCCGATGGAGCTCGGCGAGCTCCATCGGACCATCCAACTCCGGTCACCGAGTCTGAACGCGCTCAGCCTCAGGAGGTACCAAACCGCGCGAATTCTGCACGCCTCGCTGCACCGCTGGCTTGACTGAATCAGGCAGCAGCAGGCTGCTGCTGCTGCCACAGCAGCAGTCTGCTGCGGCCCTAATACGCAAGTTGATGACTAGCAGCACTGCCGGGGGCATTCGAGCCGCCACAGCCGGTGTGCGGCTGTGCACTGCCACCTGCCCGCGGCTACGCACAATGTGCGCTCGCATTGGATGAGCCCTGCTGATGGACCTGCATCGCCTAGCTGCACGAGAGCAATGCCGCAGGCAGTGGCCGTGGCATACACTGCGAGCACACTTGGTGCAGCTGCGAGGTGCAGCAAGAGCACGTCGTTCCTGCCTCTGATGCCACTCTCGCGGCTTGCAGCGCGTCACTCGCGCATGCTCTCCAGGAGCTATGGCGGGCGCGTGTGTGGGGCTGTAGCCTGTGTTTGGCCGGTTCTGACCCGTTTACTATCAGTATCATGTCCGGGCCACAAAAAATCGCACACGGGTAGCGGCTCAGGGGCCCAGTAAGTCGCGGAATCGCCAAATGTCACAACCTGCGCCACCCAGGGCTGGACCTAGTCGGCGGCAACGAGCCCGTCGGTTGCGCAGGCGGAGGCCACGCTGCGCGAACCGTTTACCGACCCGCAGGCGCAGCGGTGGCGGGCGAAGCTGCGCGAGCTTGCGGCGGCGATCAACGCGAGCGCTTCCCTGTGCGGCGGGTGCGCGGCGGGCGGGATGGCGGTGCTGCAGAGCCAGATCCCAGACCTGTCTCTCGGCACGATCGACACGCCGCTCGCAGACCAGCAGTTCCTTCTTGCGCGGCTCGCACGCATCGGCGCCAGCAACGCGACCGCCGCGAGGGCAGAGCTACGCGACCTGCTGTCGTGGACGGCCCCCGCGCCTGGGGCGCTCTATGATCAGCTCGGCCTCTCGCCTCGCAACGCGCGGCTCGACACGGGCGCGGGGCCCGAGGCGGACCCGCAGTACGTCTGTACGTGTTCGCGCCGCTGATCCAGTTCGACGAGGACGAGACGCAGTGGCCGATCACGTGACTCGAGCCTCTTCCTCCTCTGCTCTCCTGCTGGCTTCTTTCTCCTTCTCATGCCCTCCCTCCTCCGGCCTCTGTCGTATGCTGTGCATGCTTCATGTCGGTTACAGGCCGCCTTGCGGCGAGTGCGGCGCCGGCGACGGCGACCCGCAGCGGCTGGCGTGGATGCGCTGGGCGCAGGTGTACGGAGACGCGCCGCTGACGCTGCGCTACGCCGACCTCTCATCAGACGCGCAGTACACTGTACACCTTCTACTAAACACACGCACTAAACACGCAACGTCAACCAGACGGACACACGTGACGACCAACTCGCCTGGACCTTTTGGAACATTTTTGGCTGACCCCAGGAAGCCGCGTGCCCACGCGGGGTGGGATCGAACGGACCGAACGCTAAGCAGTCCAGACTCAAAGGCCGCCAGGGAGGGGCACGTTCCCGGTGAACAGAATGGGCTGCCACTGGAAAGCACTGGCGTAGTCGCGACACCCTGAGAAGACCCTCTTGCCGTTCTCGTCTGGACCCGGGTTCGTCGGCGTGCCAGTGCCGACTCCATTCCCAGGAGCGTAGTCGATGTAGTATTGGTTTGCGGTCGTCTTGGGCATCACAACGCGACCCTTTCCAACCTCTCCATTCTTGCAGTCGAGGCTTTGACCGGTCCCCACTGCAATCAGGGTGCCGGCCTCCACCGTGCACACCACCAGGCGATCAATCGGGCTTGAGTAGTTCCCCGACGGGCAGATTGCTGTCTCCACTCGGTAGTCGCGCTCGCGGCCAATGAGGTGCCCCTGCGATTCGTGGGTGTCGAGGACCCACCAGTGGTGGAGTCTTGTGAAGGCCGCGGAGAAGCTGTCGTACGATCGCAGCATGGTGATCCCCTTCTGGAGGCGGTAGACCTTGGCCGGAGAAGCTGCTGAGCTGCAGATACCACCGGCCAAGGGCGGCTTGACAGCGTTGCTGAGCAGAAGCGCTGCGGTGTCCCAGTCGGGGTCGTTGTGGTCGAGTGGCGGCCCAAAGTTAGCCGGGTCGACCGGCTGCGTCGGGTGGCACTCCTTCAAGTCGTACGGGCCTGGCGGCAGTGCCTCGGACGCGACCGCGTTGGTGTCTCCGAGGTTGTCTGCGACGGGCTCCTTCACACACTCGCAGCCGCCGAGCGGTCCACCCTGAGGGTAGAAGCCAGGGCAGCAGTCGTCCTCCCGGCCATCGAACGCGCAAGTGCCCGCTTCGAGAGGGCTCGCGCAAGCGGGCGCGACTGCCTTCGCGACCGCGTTGGTGTCTCCGAGGTTGTCTGCGACGGGCTCCTTCACACACTCGCAGCCGCCGAGCGGTCCACCCTGAGGGTAGAAGCCAGGGCAGCAGTCGTCCTCCCGGCCATCGAACGCGCAAGTGCCCGCTTCGAGAGGGCTCGCGCAAGCGGGCGCGACTGCCTTCTCCTCTTTGTCCAGCGTGATCGGCAATGCGCGGGCGAGACCGACGGCGGCGAGAACGACCAGCTTCGAGAGCATTGTTGTTTTGTTCCTGTTGGGGTGGCGGAGCGAGTCTGAGGCGTAGAGGTTCTGGGGCTCGCTCAACGGGGCTGTAGCGTCGCGAAATGTGAGAGGCAAGTCGTGGGAGGCACGCACAGTTGTCACAGGTTCGCTCGGATGTCCTGACAGGAAGCGGAATTGAGGCGGGCGCCTTGCAGGACCATGAGCACCTTTTCTTTATTTTTCGCACAGCCCGGCACTAGCGGCTGTTCAGGAAGAAGATCGAGGCCTTGGCTGGGCGGCGCGTCGTCGCTGTGTCGGCTGCGTTCGTCCACAGTCTCGCCCTCACCGCCGACGGCACCGTTTTGCCTGGCTGGCTGGGGCAGGGGCGAGTGCGGCTGGCTGCCTACCTAGACTAGGCCACGGAGAGGACTTGTCGAATCAGCTGCTGCCCAAGAAGGTCGAGAAGCGCGGGGCAGGGTGGGGTGGGGTGGGTGGGTGGAGGGGGGGGGGGTTGAGAGGCGTTCGCGCGTGCCGAGTGCAGCCGGCGCTCGAGGTGGAGAGGCACACGGCGGGGCGCTGGCTGCTCTCTGCGCGAGAGGCTCACCCCGTGCTGCTCGCTCCAAAAGAAGAATTTTACAACATCAACAAAACTCCCTCCAAAAGAAGAAATCGGCGTGTCCCACCACTCGTTTGCCCCGCCCTTCTCTTTCTTTTCTTCAGACCCGACGCCACCACGCCACACAGGAATGTTTTGAGGAGAGGAGTTTGAGGTTGGCGCAGTGAACACTCTCACTCCTCGGCACTAAACAAACATCGGCACTAAACATATTGAACAAGAGGACACCTTCTACTAAACACACGCACTAAACACGCAACGTCAACCAGACGGACACACGTGACGACCAACTCGCCTGGACCTTTTGGAACATTTTTTGGCTGACCCCAGGAAGCCGCGTGCCCACGCGGGGTGGGATCGAACGGACCGAACGCTAAGCAGTCCAGACTCAAAGGCCGCCAGGGAGGGGCACGTTCCCGGTGAACAGAATGGGCTGCCACTGGAAAGCACTGGCGTAGTCGCGACACCCTGAGAAGACCCTCTTGCCGTTCTCGTCTGGACCCGGGTTCGTCGGCGTGCCAGTGCCGACTCCATTCCCAGGAGCGTAGTCGATGTAGTATTGGTTTGCGGTCGTCTTGGGCATCACAACGCGACCCTTTCCAACCTCTCCATTCTTGCAGTCGAGGCTTTGACCGGTCCCCACTGCAATCAGGGTGCCGGCCTCCACCGTGCACACCACCAGGCGATCAATCGGGCTTGAGTAGTTCCCCGACGGGCAGATTGCTGTCTCCACTCGGTAGTCGCGCTCGCGGCCAATGAGGTGCCCCTGCGATTCGTGGGTGTCGAGGACCCACCAGTGGTGGAGTCTTGTGAAGGCCGCGGAGAAGCTGTCGTACGATCGCAGCATGGTGATCCCCTTCTGGAGGCGGTAGACCTTGGCCGGAGAAGCTGCTGAGCTGCAGATACCACCGGCCAAGGGCGGCTTGACAGCGTTGCTGAGCAGAAGCGCTGCGGTGTCCCAGTCGGGGTCGTTGTGGTCGAGTGGCGGCCCAAAGTTAGCCGGGTCGACCGGCTGCGTCGGGTGGCACTCCTTCAAGTCGTACGGGCCTGGCGGCAGTGCCTCGGACGCGACCGCGTTGGTGTCTCCGAGGTTGTCTGCGACGGGCTCCTTCACACACTCGCAGCCGCCGAGCGGTCCACCCTGAGGGTAGAAGCCAGGGCAGCAGTCGTCCTCCCGGCCATCGAACGCGCAAGTGCCCGCTTCGAGAGGGCTCGCGCAAGCGGGCGCGACTGCCTTCGCGACCGCGTTGGTGTCTCCGAGGTTGTCTGCGACGGGCTCCTTCACACACTCGCAGCCGCCGAGCGGTCCACCCTGAGGTCCGCATCGTCTACGCGTACCAGGGGTGGAACGAGCGCCCTCTCGCGCGCCTCTCCGCGATCGGGCCCCCGGCGGCGCGTCGGCCATGCTGCACGACTACCTCCCGTCGCCCAAGCCGATGCGCCCGCTCGAGTTTGCGATCGCGCGGAACGTCAGCGCCGCGGGCCAGCTGGCGATCGAGTGCCGGCAGCCGCCTGGCGCCGCGCAGGTGGGCGGCACCGGCCGCGGCTGCCTCGTCTCGGAGATATGGCTGATCCCATCTACCTGACCCCTGGCGACACGCGCCTGACGACGTGCGCGAGGCGCCACACCGCATTTTTTTATTACACCTGTGTTCGAAGTTTCGTGGTTTTCTTTTGCAGTGTGCTCTACAGACATGCCCCCGATTTTTAGCCTAGAAATTTAGCTGTTACGACTTACGTGTTGGAGCTCGGCTAAGTGGACTACCGAGTAAGAAAGAGTTATGTGAAACCGAACAACCTAACAAAAGACGTTTCCGTCATCCGTCTTCTCTATCCGTCAAAACAAAACTCTCAACGTAATGACATGGTGGCCATCAAGAAAGATGGGTCCCACCAGTCCTGCTTCGCACCGAGCCGCACGGCGAGTTGCATGTGCTCCGGCTTGCGGAAACGGGACATGCATGCGACGCGACCAGCGCGACTGAGCTCTGGATCATGCGGATGCAAGCGCATCATCTGAATGATCGCCGGCAGCACTCCCGCGTCCACCGCTTGCTGCTGGGTCTCTTGGCTGTGAATCGTCACGTTGCACAGGCAGTGCATTGCCTGGACCTGCAAGTTCACGTGGTGGGGGAAAGCGACCATCGCTTCGACGAGCACCCCGAGCAGCCCCTCGCCGGCGACACGACGTCGAAGTGCTTGCGTGCGGGGTCTCGGCGTCTGGCCGCCGACGTAGTCGATGGTGAGACCAGACAGGACACAAAGGCCCTGTTCAAGGACCTTGTCGCACGCCTTGTGGGCAGCCATGGCACCGAGCACGTCGGAGACGACACCCGCAGCCATCGCCGCATCCTTCGCCGCGTCGATCTCGCGGCCCAGCTCCCCGACACCCGACGCGTCGTCGCAACACGCAAGCTCTGTGCCCGCGCCGAGAATGTTGCTGAGGCCGTAGCACGCGTACTGCACCGCACCGGCATGCGCCTTGTGCTGCCGCAGGCCGTGAAGCATCGACTTCGTCAGCTCGTGCGCCTCGGTAAGACGCCGCAATGCAGGCGCGTTGTTGGGGAACTCGGCGGTGACGCGATCCATCTGCGGGCTAAACCCTTTTCCAGCGCGTGCCGAGCGCCAAGAGCTGCTGTCAGCCGCAACCATCGTCCTTCCCAGCGCCTCGCACAATTCTCCGAACGCGACAGCATGCTCCTTTGTTGCAGCCCATGTCGCCGCGCGAGAGATGGCGCCACACAAGCTCGGCACCACCGCCAGGCCGACGTCAAACAGCACTGAAGGCGGCAGGCTCGCGGTGCATAGCGCGACCTCAGCGAGAGCTTCTGCGACGTCTGCGGTCGGGTCGTTGCTGGCGCTGTGCGAATCGATCAGCCAAGTGAAGACTCGCACGGCGTCCATCTCCGACAGCGCCGCCGCATCCGCCGCAGGCAACTCGTCCACGAGTTGCCCTTGCAAGAGCTTCTGTACTGCCGAGCACGCCGCCGCACACAGCAGGCCATCCGCCGCGCCATACTCCCGCAGAATGCGCAGCGGCGCGGCAAGCGTCATTTTCCCTGTCCCGCCAGCGGTGGCCGGCGTGGGCAGCGGCGCCGGGCAAGAGTGTTTGTGGCCCGCCTTCCACGCGGCCTTTTGGCAGGCAGCGTCGCAGTATCGCGCCTTGTGGCACTTTCCGCACGCCTTCATGCGCACGCCTGCCTGCCCAGACTTCCCGCAACGCACGCATTTGTATATCTTCAGCCCGCTCTCGTCGCGGTCGCCGCGCAGCGGGTTGAAGATGGGCACGGTCGACGGCGGATAGTAGATTTCCACGGGCTCGCCCGGTGCTCGCGCGTCAGCTCCATCGGGCAGGCGAATCTCCACAGTGCGGCCGTCGTCGGCGAGGAAGCGATAGAGGTCACCCGGGGATGCGTCAGCAGGCATCTCGATCACCTTCTTTAGCATGCTGTCCGGCCTTGCAAAGAGGGAGGCGACGAGCGCAGACGGACAGCACCCCAGGATGGCAAAAAGGAGAGGTGCCCGGGGGCCGGCAAAACTGTCAACACGAAACTTGGCTTGCTGTGAATGCGCTTGCGCTCGCGACGGATTCAGAACAGACGACGAGCGCAGCGCATGCTTCCGTCCTCATGAGCCAGCACCCTCACCTTGGCTCCGCACGCGGCGCAGACCGCGGCGATGACGGCGGCCGGCGGTCTCGGGAACCGTACCCATACTACTCAAAAGTATACAATATACTACCACAAAGCACCACTAGCGATTTCGCGCGGAGGGCGTAGTGAAGCACTGGGGCGCTGACTGTGTGTTATTCGGGTGGGGATCCATCAGTGGTAAGCGGCTTTAGTCACAGATCAAAGCTCAGACGCCACACCAACACCACAAACACGCTCACTTCGCCGCTGCTGTAGAGGGCCTACGGGGGCCCATACTACGTCGAAGTACGGACCCGATCTCGGCACTCACGGGCTGTCACGCGCCCGCGCGCGGCGCGGGCCGCACCGCCCATGCCCCCGGGTCACCGACCCCGCCTCTCGGCCCTCTCGGCCCTCAGGAGCGTGCGGGAGACCGGCGAGGGGCGCGCCGCGCGCCGCCTGCAGAGCCGCCAGAGGCATTGTCGCCTCCGCTGGCGGGGTTCCCGCGCGCCCGCCCGCGCCCGGACCCGCGCCCGCTGCGCCCGCGGGCTCCGGATGCGCCGCCCTCCGTCTCCTTCTTCTCGATGGCAGTCCGCACGTGCTTGTCGACGGGTCGGCGGCGTGGTCGAGGGGAAGGTCGCCGGCGGCCGCAACTCCGCCGCCGTCGCTCCGCCGGCTCTGATCGAGTATCGGGCGTTGAGGGCGGCGGCGCAAAGCGGGTCTGATGCATCCATCGCCACGAGCCTCGCGGCGGCGATCGTGGCACACCTGGCGGCGGCTCTCGGGGCCGTCTCTACGGCGCTCGACGCCGTGTGAGGTCGCCGGCGGCCGCAACTCTGCCGCCGTCGCTCCGCCGGCTCAACCGAGTATCGGGCGTTGAAATTGGCGGCGCAAAGTGGGTCTGGTGCGCCACACGGCCACAACCCTTGCCACCGCCCTTGCCGCCGCCCTTGCCACCCTTTGCCGCCTTGCCTACGCCGCGGGCGGCGGTGGGAGCGGCCTGCTGGGCTAGCATGTTGTCCTTGCTGGGGACGGGCACGTGGAACGCACGTTACATGTTCGAACGGCCTCCGGGATTCAAACAAAAAATAGCCAAGGCCCTCTCGCAACCCCTCCGACCCCCTGGGACCCGTGGGCGTCGAAGAGGCGCTCTCGGGGGGCCGTTCTGAGTTCATACTACCTCGAAGTACAATATACTGCGTCAAAGCACCGGCCCTGAGTCCGCCGGCGCTACGTACGTACGCCGCTCGATGACGGCACAAAACATGAGACCGCGCTCGACCCGGCGGTCGCGAAGTCGTTCGAGGCCGAGCGCGCTCGTACGCGCCGCGCGATGTGAGAGAAGGAGATAGAGCGTGCGCAAGACGACGTGCTCGAGTCGGCGCTCGCGGTCCACGACGAGGAAGATGCGGTGTTCCTCTACCGCTGCAACAAGCTCGCCGAGAAAAACCCGGACCTGCTGAACGCGATCGAGATGCGCCGGGCGACGATGGCCGACGACGCCCTCGCCGACCGCACGCGCGCCACCGATGTGACCAAGCGCTGGGAGCGTGGTTTGACCTCACACCCATGGTCTCACAGTGTGCCGGCAGTCGCCGAGCAGTGTCGCTCACACAAGCCGCAGCACAAAAGTGACTGAGGGCCAGTGAGGGCGAGCCCATCGCTGTCACAGCTGTAGCAGCCGCACAGTAGGCTGTGTCAACTGTGCAGAGTGTGTGAGCAGCAGAGGAGCTGCTCTCCAGGCTTCAGGCGCAAAGAGCTGCATGCCACCGAAGGCGCTGTCGAGGTTCGCCGAGCGCGGCGCAGGTTGGGGGAAGCCGCCACCGACGAGCGCGTTGGACTGTTCACTCCGGACAAAAAACGCTGCACAGCGGACGGTGCGGGGCGTGCCGCAAACTTAGCGGCGAGGCGCGGGACCGTCTGTGGCGAAGTGGGTCGCGTCCCCCGATTTCCGTCAACCCAGCGAGATCGCTTAGGCCTTAGCGTTCTCAGCATCCACACCCTTTTTATTTAACCGCGGGCAACTAAAATTGATGGCATACTTCGGAAATCGGGGCGGCAGGGGTGGACCACACTGCCGCCCACCCAGATGGCAAGAAGTGTGGACGAGCATCCTGGCGCATGCAGCCGAGGAACAGCCTGACCCTGAGGAAACGATGTTAGAAGAATCTAAGAACTACTTATGAGTGCTGGAAACCATTCACGACAATCGACATCGCTTGGCAGCGGGAGAAGAAGTTCGCAAGGAGCTGTGGCCAGGACACGCGAGTCCGCTCATCCTTGCCGCACTCACCAGCCACCGAGCCAGTCCCAAGATGTGCGAGTCCGCGTCATGAGAATGCTCGCCGCATCGTCGATCTCGTGCTTCCGACTCACTTTCCAGTCTGATTGGTGATTGGTGATTGGAGTGCATCCCGCGCCTTCCACCGTGCCGCCGCCCGCGCCGGCCGCCCGCGCGCCGCCAGCGCCGCCGCCCGCGCCGCCGCCTCCACATCGTCTCACGTGTTGCTTTTGGGGTTTTGTGGGGTAGATTACCGCAGTGCCAAGCATCTCCGATCCGCGGAGCGGCGTCTGTCAGCTCACGCGAGTCTGCCTGGCGCTGGCTCGTGGCAGCCCCCCCCGCCTCTACGTCAGCAAGCAGTGCAAGCCCCGTTCTCCCCTCTGCACGTGGGCGGCAGCGCCGCCCTCGCCCTTCTACCCTACTCAGCGCGCCCAACGCCCCCGGTGTGTCAAGCGCCCCGCTCCTCCCGCTGCGGCGCAACGCCGATGCGAGACAGCTCTGCGACTAGCTCCGCCACCGGCAACTCGATGCCGCGGTCCGCCAGCTTCTCTTCCTCGGACCGCTCGAGGCGGAGGTCCTAATCTCGGGTCGTCTCGGGTCATCAGGGTCATCTCGGACCGCTCGAGGCGGAGGCCCTGGGGAAGCTCTGCCCTTGGCCCAATCGCATCTCGGCGAATCTCGCACCTTGACGCGCACGCTGCCCTTGTCCCACTCGTCAGGCGCCACAAAGACCATCCGCCGGCCGGAGACGCGGTCGGCGTAGCTGAATGCCTTGTCGGCCCGCTTGTTTGCGAGCAGCACGTCGACGGCGTAGCCGGCGGCGCGCAGCGTCGCCGCCACCTGGACAGCGTGCAGGCGAAGATATGGGGAGAGATGGGGAGAGATGGGGAGAGATGGGGAGAGATTGGGAGAGATGGGGCGAGATGGGGAGAGATGGGGAGAGGTGGGGCGAGATGGGGCGAGATGGGGAGAGATGGGGAGAGATGGGGAGAGATGGGGAGAGGTGGGGAGAGATGGGGAGAGGTGGGGAGATGTGGGGAGATGTGGGGAGAGATGGGGAGAGATGGGGAGAGATGGGGGGAGATGGGGAGAGATGGGGAGAGATTGGGAGAGATGGGGAGAGATGGGGAGAGGTGGGGAGAGATGGGGAGATGTCCGCCACCTGGACAGCGTGCAGGCGCATCTCAGCGTTGAATGGGCAGACGACGAAGTCGACCTAGTCACAGCCGGAGAGCTGCGAGAAGGAAGGAGAGAGAGTGCTAGAGAGAGAGGGGGAGGGAGCTGTGCATTCGCACGAGGGCGGAGCCGATCTCGGCCCGATCTCGGTCGATCTCGATCTCGCACCTCCGGCTCGAGGTGCGGCAGCAAGCCCTTCTCCTGGAGGAGCTCCATGATGACGCAGTCGCCGAAGCCGAAGCCGCAGGCGGGGACGACCGTCGGCGAGCCATACAGCGAGAGGAGCTTGTCGTACCTGCGGAGGGAGAGACGGCAGGGAGAGACAGCAGGGATAGACAGCAGGCTCGAGCACGTCGAGAGGAGGGCTGGGGGTGAGTCAAGCTGGGGGAGGGGGGGGGGAGGGGAGGGGGGGAGGGAGGGAGGGGCGGGCAGGGCAGGGGGGAGGGGAGGGAAGGAGAGGAGGGGAGAGGAGGGGGAGGGGAGGTCGTCGTACCGCCCGCCGCCGCAGATGGCCCGCAGCTCGCCCTTGCGGTCGAAGCCCTCGAAGACGATGCCGGTGTAGTAGGCGAGCCCGCGCACCACCGACGCGTCGAACAGGATCCAGTCGCCTGCCCACACCCCGTTGCCGTGAAGAGGCGCTGCCACCTCGCGCCTCGCGCGAGTGCGACAGCGGGGTCGGGGCGCCGAAGCCGTACGCCTCCGCCAGCGCGAAGAGCTCCTTCATCTCGCGCATCGCGTCGGCGGCGACGGGGTGCTCTCCGACCAGCTCCTGCAGCTCCGAGATCACCCGAGATCACCCGAGATCACCCGAGATTACCCGAGATTACCCGAGAGATGGCGACGGGGGGTGCTCTCCGGCCAGCGCCTGCAGCTCGCCGATCGAGCGCAGCGAGAGCGAGGCGACGATCTTGCGGGCCGCCTCGTCCGACACCTGCGCAGCCGAGAGACAGCCGAGGTAGAGCGGGTCTAGCCGAGGTAGAGCCGAGAGACGGGCGAGCTCGGCCCGAGATGTAGTCGAGATCTAGTCGAGACAAGCCTGCGCGTCGCGCAGCAGCTGGACCGTCTCGTCGGGCCCGATCTTGTCGAGCTTGTCGACGATGACGCAGACGGCCTCGAACTTGTCATCGTCGATGCCGTACATCTTGAGGATCGCCGCGAGCACCTTGCGCGAGTACGTCGTGCGCTCACCTCTCGGCTCCTCCCGGCTCCTCTCGGCTCCTCTCGGCTCCTCTCGGCTCCTCTCGGCTCCTCTCGGCTCCTCTCGGCTCCTCTCGGCTGCTCTCGGCTGCTCTCGGCTCCTCTCGGCTCCTCTCGGCTGCTCTCGGAGCACCTTGCGCGAGTTGACCTTGATGCCGACGTCGGCGGAGGTGACGCCGACGCTCTTGAAGAATGACGTGACGCCGGCCAGCAGCTCGGCCTACTCTTGGCGGATCTCGGGCCATCTCGGGCCATCTCGGGCCATCTCGGGCCATCTCGGGCTAACCCTAACCCTAACCCTAACCCTAACCCTAATGCAAACCATCTCGGGAGGTGACGGCGGCGAGCTGCTCGCGCCTCTGCGGCGATCGACGCCTCGCCGACGATGTCCATGTTCCACTGGAAGTGCTCGCGCTTGCGCCCGCGCTGGACCGTCTCGAAGCGCCAGCACTGCGGTATGGAGAACCACTTGACGGGCAGCAGCACCTGCGAAGGAGGGGAGGGAAGGGGGCAGATCCAGAGGGGGGAGGCCGGGAGGGGGAGGGGCCGGGAGGGGGAGGGGCCGGGAGGGGGAGGGCCGGGAGGGGGAGGGGCCGGGAGGGGGGAGGGCCGGGAGGGGAAGGGCCGCGTGACAGGCAGGAGGGCCTTGCGGCCGGGCGAGAGGAGACGTGACCTCGGCGGATCTGGATCTCGGTGGATCTCGGCGGATCTTGGCGGATCTCGGCGGATCTATCGGCGGATCTCGGCGGATCTGGACGGATCTCGGCGGATCTCGGCGGATCTCGCGCGCCTTGCCGCCGAGCGAGAGGATCATGCGAGCGAGAGTCGGCGTCATCTCCGGCCGGAGGGAGACCGCCTTGCCGTCCTTGTCGGTGAAGTTGTACATCTGCTGCGTGATCTCCTCGCCGCCCTTGCGCACGTACAGCTGCTCCGCCTCGAGCACGGGCGCGTCGTACTCGACAAAGGCGAGCTGGCGCGCCTGCGGGGAGGGTGTGGGGAGGGTGTGGAGAGGGTGTGGGGAGGGTGCGGGGAAGGTGTGGGGAGGGTGTGGGGAGGGTGTGGGGAGGGTGTGGGGAGGGTGCGGGGAGGGTGTGGGGAGGGTGTGGGGAGGGTGTGGGGAGGGTGTGGGGAGGGTGTGGGGAGGGTGCGGGGAGGGTGTGGGGAGGGTGTGGGGAGGGTGCGGGGAGGGTGAGAAGTGAGGGTGGAGGAGGGAGAGCAGAGGAGCAGAGAGGAGCAGAGAGGGGCAGAGAGGGGCAGAGAGGAGCAGAGAGGAGCAGAGAGGAGGAGGAGCGGAGGAGCGGAGAGAGCAAGAGGAGTGCAGAGGCGCAGGGAGGAGCAGAGAGGAGCTGGCGCGCCGTCTCGCGGAACTTGGCGAAGAGCCAGTTGCGCGTCCGCATCTCGGCCGGGAAGAAGTCGCGCGTCCCCGAAGGCGGCTCGGTCGAGATGGCGGGGCCCGCGGGTGTCCCGCCCTTAGCCTCGGCCTTCTTTGCCGCCTTTGCCGCCTTTGCCGCCTCCTTTTTGAGCTGGCCCTTGGACTTGCCTCCGGCGGCCGCGGCGTCGCCGTCCGCGGAGGGCGCGCTCGCAGCCACGGAGCCCGACGCGGCGGCCGCGGCGCCGTTCGAGTCGGGCGGCGGCACCTCGTCCGCACCAAACCAGACGGCGATCTCGAGCGTCGCTGACGCCGCGCTCGGCGAGACGGAGAGGAGGTCGCTCCCGCCGGCGGCGCCGGCAATCTCGATGCCAGCGGCGATGGCCCCTGCGCCCTGCCACACCGTCGCGACGGCCGGCCCACTAGTGAGCTGCGCAACGGAGCCTGCCTTTGTGCAGTCGACGTGCGCCTGTGCCTGAGCGGTGGTGGCGCGCAGCATGCGGCAGGCGACCATCGTGAGGCCACGCTTCTCGAACTGTGAGGAGATCTCGAAGGTCACCCCGCGCGAGACGGCGTCGGGCGTGCACAACACCAGGGTCTGCTGCGCCATTTTTCGGCTGCCACGCACGAGCTGGCCACGACGCGGCTCGCCTGGGGTTCCGGGTCCTAGCCCAGATAGGTACCTATTTCGCAGCGAAGCGAAAAAAGAACAACTCACACCTACCTATTGCAGGGCCCTTTTGGGCGAAACAAGACCAACCTACCTACCTATCTGGCTTCTGGGAGGGGCCAGTCAGTGGCGACAGACCCCCTATCCGGCTAGGAGCCGGAACCCAGACTCACACCAGACTCACACATTCGGTTTTTTGCTCCCACGGCGCAGCTGCTGCCCAAGAAGATCGAGGCCTTTGCGGAGCGGCGCGTGATCTCTGTTCTGGCTGGAGCCGTCGGTATATAGCTTCGCTCGAGAGCTTCGCCTCCTACTGCCGACGGCGCCGTCTGGAGCTGGGGCGATGGATACCAAGGCCGGTTGGGTAACGGCAACCAGCAGAACCAGCTTCTACCGAAGAAGATCGAGGCCTTCTTGGCGCGGCGCGTCGTCGCTGTGTCTACCGGATCCGTGCACAGCCTCTCGCCTTCACTGCCACCGGCGCCGTTTTTGCCTGGGGCCAAGGCGAGACCGGCTGCCTGGGCCACGGAGAGGACCTGTCGAACCAGCTGCTGCCCAAGGAGATCGAGGGGTGGGCGTCGGGGCGGTGAGAAGAGAGAGAGGGCGTCGAGTCGAACCACACCACCCCAGGTTGCAGGTGTACCGCGCGGCTGCTTCTGTGAGACGATCGATCGAGCTTCAAATGACAATCGGCCGTCGATCCCGAAGGGTCGTCGGTTGAGCTAGGGAGCCTGGCGATGGACGCCACCGCGACCCCTCGTGGCATCTCTCTCGCCGCCGGCGAGCTGGGGGCTCGCGGACGGCAAAACAATTAGATAACAGTGTACAGCCGTGAGAATTAGTTCAACTGTGAACGGGGACATGTGCGGGACGTGTCAGGGCCGGCTTGCCTTCTGCCCTGGTTGTCGGCCATTGCGAGAGACGCCCGCGTCCCACGGCTCTTGTTTCCCCACCCTCCCTCCCTATGTGTGCGCTGTCGCGTTTGTGCGCTGTCGCGTTTGGGGGTTGGTCCTGCAACGGTGTCTCGTGCGGAGCAGTGGTTGGTTGGTGTGCTGTCGCGCGAGTGGGTTGCAGGCGGGGGTCGAGGGACCTTTCCCCCCTTTGCAATTAACAATGCTTTGGAATCTATGTGTGGACATGACCTCGAGTGGAGCCCCAGTCCTCGACAGGCTCGGCGTGGGCGCGCCCACCGTGGGGAAGCACGCACGGACGCACGACGATGTTGCGACGCACGACGCACGACGTCCCTTGTTCCAGAGCATGGTCGCTGGCCCTTATGCCACTGCGGATCAGGCCAAGTCATATGCAGGGCGTGCACTTGGTACGGGCTCTGTGCGCCGTGCCTATGAGCATCTCGAGGAGGAGCTTGAGCGCAGGCTACGTGACGGGGCGCCCAAAGTGCAGGTCGTGGACGTGGGTTGCGGCGATGGCAAGCTGACTGCCGCCCTCGCTACACGATTCCCGAGTTGCAACTTTGTGGGCGTGGATCGAGCGGAGGCTATGATCACGCACGCGTGCGAGGTGCATCGACTACCTAATATCGCCTTCCGCACAGAGGATATGACGTTGCTGCATGGCTTGGCCGATGCCTCGTGTGACATCGTGTATTCCGTGTCTGCCACACACTATGCCGTGGATCAGGCGGCGGTTTTCGGCGCCCTTGTCCGCGTCCTCCGTAGTGATGGCTTGCTCTGGCTGTCGACGTATCCTTCCAACCCATCCGAGTTCGCGCCAGTTCTCTTGCTAATCCACAGCGACTCCGACGTCCACAAGTGCTTCTTTGACGAAGACACTGGCACCCCGCTCCCGTTTGCACATATCGACGCGTTTCCTCTGGATGCACCATTAGGGCATCTGGAGCACTGGTACGATCCCGACTCCTCGGCGGTGGAAACGTACCTCAGCGCACTCGGCCTGGTGGTGCACGAGTGTCGGCGAGAACGGCGCTCGTACCGCCTGCTCGGTGGCGTCGAGGACTATGCCAAGATGCTTGCGCCGTGGCACCCGTGGATTGCGTGCGTGCGCGAGAGAGGTGGTGAAGCGCTCCTCCACCGGTTCCTCGCCCAGCTGTCGGATTCGTACCGCGAGTGGCTCCGCGCGTGCGGTGATTCGAGCGGTGCAGCCGATGCACAGCCGCCTTTCGTCTTCGACACCGTCTATGTCAGCGCGCGGAAGACGTGCGTGGCCGCCACTGGCACAACGGTGCCACCGCAGTGTCCGCCGCCGTCTGGCAGGTTGCAGATGATCTCGCCGGACTTTTCTGGCTCGCACTTTACCGTGGAGCATGTCGACTTTTATGACCCCGACGAGGACGAGCACATGACGCCGGTCCGCCTGCCCATCGCTTCCTTCGAGACGGCTTGCGCCGCCGCCGGCATCCGACGCACCGACGCCTTTGACCACTTTGGGTTCGAGCCGATTGCGCTGACACCGTCGGAGATGGCGGCGCTGCAGCTCGCGCGCGGCATCGCCCTAAAGGATTTGAGCACACGCACACTCGACGAGCGCATGTACATGGAGAACAATCTTGGCTTGCCCGGGGAGTTTCCTCGGGAGGCTCTCTCGTCCATCGAGATCCAATCGCAGCTGAGCAGCTATTTGGGCGTCCGCAAGCGCCACGGCGCCGCACAGTTGCTCGAGCATATCGTGCGCCGGTGGGCCGAGAGCAGGTTGGCGGCCCAAGGGGGGCAGCTTCGGACGCTCGCCAGCCATTCGGTCAAGATCCGTGAGAGCTTACGATACGCGTCGTCGTCGCGCGCCACCGCCGCCGGTGGCGGCGTAGACCCTCCCGCCACCGCTCTCGGCACAGGCGCAGCGCACGTGCGGCCACAGCCTCATGTGCATGTCGACTACACGACTCGTGCCGCCGCGCTCCGCCGCCTCGCGAGGCCTCCCGAGTGGTCGACGCGCGCAGCCACCGACGTACCGCCGGAAGAGGAGTTGTGGCAGGTCGTCAACATTTGGCTGCCGATGCACGCGCTGGGTGAGGCGGTGGACGACGGCTTTGGCTTCGTGGTCGGCGGCGAGAGCGAGGTCATCCCCGTGTACGTACACGGCGCCGAGTTTGCGGCCAATGTGAGGCTGCGGCGGTCCGCGGAGGCGACGCTCGTCGAGGAGCCGTGCATGGGGTGGGGGCGCGCGTGGATCTTCAAGTCGGTCTTGGAGCTCGGCGCACCGCCTCACTCGGCATTTGCACGCGAGTGCAACGAATCCGATGTGGATCGTCTTGCAGCGGTCGCAGCTCCGCGGGTCGTCGGCCGCAAGAGTCTCGATGTGCGTGTGGCTGTGTACTATAAGTAGTCCAGTCCCTGACGAGTTACAGTATAGACGTCGGTTCCCCCCACCAGCAACCAGGTTGCTCACCCACGACACCGGGCCGGTGCTTGCACTTTGAATGCCGTGGGGCCCCTGCCCGAGTCCGGGGCGTGGAGCCCCCCCTTGCCCCACCACTTTGTGTGTGTGGAGACGTCTATTACCTCTTATTACCTTACCTTACCAGCAACCAGGAAGGTGACTTCGATCGGCGCGCTGCTATCTATGGATGGTGGGTGGTGTTGGCAAAACAAGACACAGAGCTCACACAGAATCACAGCGGGAGGAAAGCGGCGAGTCGCAATTCCTGGGGTCCTTGTGGCGGGCCACCCTGTCCAGAGAGGCATGGATGCCAATCTGGGGTCTTTCGACCGAGTCTATGAGCCCTGGCCGCTCCCGGTTGTGGCAGAGGCGTCACGATGCCTTACCCAAGCTACAAGAGCACACATACAAGCACAACGACCTGTTGAACGTGCGCGTGCGGCTGTCGCGCGTACGGTACTCAACCGAGAGTCTCTGTGGGCTCTCTGTGGGTCAGGGTCCGCGCCCCGCGTTCCACAAACGCAGGAAGGGCATGCGCACTCGCTCCCACGCCCCCTGCAGGTCGTCGGCGGCGGGCCGCGCGTCGATGTGCATCGCGACCTGTTCACAGCGGCGTGGCTGTGAAGAGACGGGAAGCCGGTCGCGCCCTGCTGCATCTCGGCTGTCTCTCGGCTGTCTCTCGGCTGTGTCTCTCGGCTGTGTCTCTCGGCTGTGTTCTCGGCTGCAACTCGGCTGCAACTCGGCTGTGTCTCGGCTGTGTCTCGGCTGTGTCTCTCGGCTGTCTCTCGGCTGTCTCTCGGCTGTGTCTCTCGGCTGTATTCTCGGCTGCATTCTCGGCTGCATCTCGGCTGCATCTCGGCTGTGTCTCGGCTGTGGCTCGGCTATCTCGGACTAGCGGCGACCGGCTTGCCGGCGATGGGCCTCGCGTTGTAGTAGTCGATGAGGTAGCGGACCTAAGGTAATTAGTGATCAATTAATCAACTCATTAATTCACGCGTTGAGTAGTCGATGAGGTAGCGGGCCAGGCTAGCCCTCGCGACTCCACGTCTAGACGACAGGAGCTAGCACGGCATTCAGAGTGCAAGGGTCCGGTCGGACCTCCTTGCCGCACCGCGAGACGACCCATATCTCCCCCTATCTCCCCCTATCTCCCCCTATCTCCCGGTCGGACCTCCCTGCCGCACCGCGAGACGACCCAGTCATGCCGGTCGAACGGGGGCTTGTAGCCGACGGCGGTAAACAGGCGCGCCTTTGGAGTCGGCTCGTCGGGCACGCCGCCGAACCGCACCAGCTTGAGGTCGTCGACGCACTCGGGGTAGTGGCGCTCCCAGAGCAAGATCTCGCGCCTACACAGGGCATTGCGGTAATCTCGGGCAATCTCCGGGTACTCTCGGGGTGATCTCGGGGTGATCTCGCGCCACGTGCGCTCGTTGACAGTGTTGTGGATGGCGACGACGGTGCGCATGTCCTCCTCTTGCGGCTCGAAGCCCTTCCGGCGCATCGCGTTGTAAAACATCTGCGCCGACGGGTACACCCAGTGGCCCCCCTCCGCACCTGCCTGCGGGATCGTCGACTCCACCCTCTCCTTTGACAGCGGCAGCCGCTGCCCAGCCGCGGGAAGCTGGTTCGCCACCGCCGGCATCGCGTTGTCGGGGTTGAGCCGCTCGCCCGCCGGCGAGCCTCTCGCGTGCACCGGGCAGCCGCTCGTGCTCGCCGAGCCCGCCGCCGCCGCCGCAGAGTCGCCGCCGGACGTCTGGGCGGCCGCGGCGGCGGAGGCGGTCTCGGCGGCGGCCGGCGAGTGGATCACGGGGCAGCCCATCTCGGAGGCGCGGGTCCTGCGCGTGCGTCGGAGGGCGCGGGCGTTCGATCCTCTACGCTCGAGCCGGCTGCTGGGATGTGCGCGTGCGTGTGAGTTTCCGTCATCGGGTCCAACGGTGACCGACGCGGGGTCAGTCGATGCGCAGACCCGGAGATCAGTCATGTGGCCATGCTCGCTGGGAGCGTTGCTCGTACGTGAGGGCGAGCGCGCTACGGAGAAGGAGTGGCGGCGGGCGCGGGGTCGAGGCACGCGGAGGCGGCGGGCATACGTGCTCGGACTCGGGGAGGAGGGGCACCTGCGATGTACACTGCGCGAGCGCTTGTCCCTCGCGACTTGTGCTGTGGTCGCAAGCAAACGGCACCTCAAGTGATGGGGGGCGGCGGAGGCGGCGGCGACGCTTGCTGCTGCTGCATCTCGAGCAGGCTCTTGCGTCTCCGCTCCTCGCTCTCCGCCGCGCGCAGACTCCGGGCCTTCTCCCTCTCGTCACGCTCACTCTCATTCCGCCTCCTCTCGTCGCTGTGTCCGAGTCGGAGGCGCCTCTTCTCGCGGTCGGCCTTCTTTTGTGGACCTCGCGCGTGTCTGCGTCGAGGGCGGCCTGGCGATCGCTCTTGCGCTCCCCGTTGCGCCAGCATTGGGGTGGAATATCTGGCGAAAGGCACGCAAAAAAAGAATTGATGCGCCAGCTATTTTACTGAAGCACTTGAGCACTGGCCGACACTTCTCGAGGGACGAGGCTACTACTATCGGAAACAACCGTGCCAGGCGGCAATTCAGTCAGGGTTCAGCTCTCCCGGCCCTCGCAGATGTCCACTACCGCTCGCAATGAAACGAAGAGAGTCAAACGAGAGCTGCGTCTGCTGCGCGTGCTGCGCCTGCGCTTGCTGCGCCAATATCGCCTGGGCCTGAGCCTGCCGCTGCGCCATCAGCAGCTGTGCTGCTGCTTGTTGGTGTGCCGCCTGGGCTGCGGCCTGCTGCTGCGCCTATGGATGAGTTGTGGAGTTAGTCCGAGACGATGAACCATCAGAACTAGCCCCGCCCCACCTGCTGCGCCTGCGCCTGCGCCTGGCCCTGCTGCGTCAGCATCGCCTGCGCCTCCTGCGCCTCCTGCTCTGCCTGCGCCTGCTGCGCTGCCTGCGCCTGCTGCGCTGCCTGCGCCTGCTGTGGTGTGGTCGGCATCTGCTGGCCGGTCGCCATCTGCGGCCACTGCCGCGGCGAGGGGGCGTGCTGCCCGAGCGGCGAGCCAGAGTAGGAGCTCTGCGCCTGCTGCATCGCCTGCAGGTGCGCCATCATCTGCAGCATCGCCACCGGCTGCGGTGGCTGGCTGGCGGCGGAGAGGGCGACGAGCTGCGCTTGCTGCAACGCCGAGAGCGGCACGGGCATCGACGGGACGCCGGGGAAGCCGCCCGGGCGGGAGCCGAGCGAGTCCTGGCTGCCGACCAACATGCCCGATTGCTGCCGCTCCAGCGCCAGGGCGACGGCACGCTCCCGTGCCTCGCGCTCCTCGCGGAGCGGAGGGCCGCGCTTCCGCCCGACGCGGGGGATGCACGGGATGTTGCGGGCGACGCAGTTGGAGCACCTGCCGCAGCGGAGCATCACGCAGCGGATGCGCTTCTGGCAGCAGGCGACGCACGCCGAAGCGCACCGCTTCCGCTCGCCTGAAGCGCACGGCGAGGGGTTGGGACGGGAGGCGTTGGCGGCGAGAGATGGCTGGGCAACACGAGTGCACCGCCGGATCCGTTTGGGCAGAAGGAACCCATCGGCTGCATGAGATCTTCGAGCAACACACTCGACGCTCCCGCTTGCGCCCCCATCGACAGCTGGAGGGGCGCGCTCCCCGCGCCCGGTGGGACGATTGCGGGTCTGCCCGTTTCCATCTGTGTCGAAGCGTCCACACCCCTCTCGACGCTTCCGCACGCGCTCGAGCCCGGCTGAGCCGTGGGTGCCGGGGTGATGGTCGCCGGGGGGGGGCCAGGTGCCTCTGACATGCCGGAAGTGACTCGCTTTGACTCGGACCGTGGCAAAATCATCACCGTCTTCGAAGGCTAAACATTCCCGCGATCTCCGAAGCAGGAGTTTCGCCGAAGCGCAGTGATGAGCATGCAGCATGGGACGCCCGTCACCCACCTCGGGACCTGAGCAACGACATGACAGGGCGGGATATGCTCGCAGTGGGAGTCAGAAATGTGGTCCTTGCGCGAGGAATGCTCGATAAACTCGAGGGACCAAAATACGCGGAGAGGAGAGCGGAGTTACGCAGAAAGGCGAGAGAAGCAGCGAGAGCAAGGCAGACGGCAGCGGCGTCTCAGAACGAGGCCGAGGAGAGCGATGCGTCAGGGGAAGAGACAGCAGGAGAGAGAACGACGAGAGTGGGAAGAACGCGAGGTGGTGGCACATGAAGGTCGCTGCGAGAATTGGTGAGAAACTGCGGAGAGAGATAGGAAGTGGTAGACGCCCGAGGGTGGGCGACGGCTAGCACCACACTCCTCTCCTTAAAATCCCTGTGTGGTGGCGGCGTGCCGTCCTCCCATCCCTCCCTTGGGGTTTCTGTTTTCTTTCTTTCTTTTACCCAGAGAGAGTTGTTTTGTTTAAATTCTTTTACCCACCTCGGGGAATTTTATAATGGTATCCGTCCCCTACCTCTCAAAGCTAGCCACGCATGGCTTGTGCCGTGTTCATTGGGGGGGATCACAGGGTCATACAAAACAAGTAAAGCTCCGACAGCGACACCGCAAAAGCCCAACAACACAAACTCCCAAAAGCCCCCGCGGCGCGGGAAAGCGTCTGAGGCTCCGCCAATGCCCAGTGTGGCGCAATGTCGACTGTCCCCGCATGCCGGCCGAAGGCCAAGGCGGAAGGGCGAAGGCGCGCAAGGCATTGAAAACGACTTCATACGTCCGTTTCCTTCAAGTTCGCTCTAAAGTCTAGAGGAGGACGGCACGCCGCCACCACACAAGGATTTTAAAGAGGAGTGTGGTGGTGCTAGCCGCCCTTGGGCGTGTCAAATTTCTCGTCGCGGCTTGCGGCGCGCGCTTGCAATCTCGACGCCCCCGTCCTGTTGCACCTTGCGGCGCGACGAGCCCGCGCCTTCTTCGGCGGGCACGCACTGGGTCCATTGCCGCACCGCCGTCTCATACGGCATGAAGATGGGGTTCTGGTAAGCTTCACCCGTGGAGGGGCCCGCGCTCTGAGTGCAAGCACGAAGATCATCTTTCTCTTTCTGCTTACACTGATCGGGCTCGAGATCGCGGGACTGACGCGCACTGAACACTCTCACAGTCACACGCACAGGGTCACACATCCACTCTCTCACGAGACAGTGCAGACATGAACACCGGGAAGGGCGCGAAGGGGAGAGCGGGGGCGCGGGCGGGGGTGGGGGCGGGGGCGGCGGCGCGCGGCGCACGCGTGCGCGCGGCTGAGGGCAGGGGTGGGATTCCCGCCGTGCACACACTGCGCGCGCACACACCACATACCCTCATGAGACACACTGAGGGAAGGACGGAGCGGCGGCAGCGGCGGCGGCAGCGGCGGCAGTGCGCGCGCGGCGCGCGCGACGGAGGGGCGGAGCAGCGACCGAGAGCGACCGGTGCGCGGTCGCTGCTCTGCCTGTCCCGGAGCGCCGTCTGCGCGGGGTGCGTGTCAGGAGAGGGGGCAAGCGTGGCGGCGCGGGGACACGCGGCGGCGGCGGCGAGCAGGGGAGCGATCCGTGCGCGGTGAGGCGGCCGGCGAGAGGGCGGCGGGTGCGGGGCAAGGAAGCAGCCCACACCCGACGCGTCGCTCGAATGAATTCGACGCCTGCGCAGGGGCCGCAGGGGGCGGTCAGTGGCGAGGCGGAGCCGGCCGCGGGCCGGGTGCCAAGGCGTTGTGAATGCCAAGGCCGGGACGGAGGGGGCGCGCGGCGGGGGGCGGGGGGGGGGGCTCACCCAGTCCGGCGCCGTATAGCTTGGGTCTCTGGCATAGCGAAGATGCGCCGCGTGCAGGTGACCCCTGGAGGTGGCAACTCTTCGGAGCTTCCGGGGTAACATCTAGGGATCCCGGTCGTTTCCGCAGGCGAAAGGACAAGACGATTTTTAAAAGAATTGATTTACCCCCCATCCGGCCCGCTGGGTGTGTTTCTTAGCCCCCCGGCCCTGGAGTGCGGTTAATGACTGCACTCCAAGTGCTCCAAGTGCCCCCCCCCCCTATTTTACTGAAGCACTTGAGCACTGGATAGGGTCCTAAAGGTTATCGCCGCGAATTTAAAAGTGTTGCGTCCCAACCGAAAGAAAAGAAAGAAACCCTGCGGACCCAAGGGAGGGATGGGAGGACGGCACGCCGCCACCACGCAGGGATTTTAACTGCGTCGCAAGACATAAACAAAGGGTGGGTTGGGCTCTGCACGCAAGGTGCCCGCGTCGCAGACGCGGTACCATTGACAAATCTGAGATATACCCCCACACGAGCAAATAGGAAAGTTCGAAAAAAGAAAAGAAAGAAAGAAAACAGACAAACCCAGACGAGGGATGGGGGAGGAGGACAGGGTCCCCACCTAGGAAAATTCGAATACCGTGGCGAAACGGCGCACGGTTTCTTCATTTTTGTGCCGTTGCTATGACCTATTGAGAGAGATTTTTAAAGACCAACAAGAAATCACGACTCTCACAGTGATTTGGGCTCGGCAGCTTGTTAGCCCTCAGCCGAAGCTGGGGCCGGTCCCGTAGCCGAGAGAGCCCGCGCCGATGAGTTCGACGCGGTCGGGGGGGCCTGCGGAGAGGTCTTCTTGACCTATTGCACGCCGTTGTGTAGTACAGTGCTCATTGGGAGTGAGAGCGACGCACGTACATCAGTCAGATGTGTGTGCGACGCTGCGTGCAAGCAAGCAAGCACTTGGTTGGAGCACTTGGCGTGCAGTTGGTCGGGCCGCCTCACTCACATCCTAGCTCACATCCATCCAGGGCCGGGGAGGAGCTAAGAAACGCACCCAGCGGGACGGATGATCGGCCTCGGGCGCTACGAGCAAAAGAGCCCTGACCCTAAGCGGTACAAGCACTCGCCGCTAAAACGGAGCTCAGATCGGAGGAAGCTCTGGAGCTCAGCCAAGAATATACCTTTCTTTTCTTTAAATTCTTGGACGACGCCAGGAAGAGGTGTGCGCCCGCCGGCTCGCGTGCGCGCCATCGCCCCGCCCTCCGGTCCCTGGGCGGCGGCTCGCGCTTGGACGGTCCCCTGGCAGGGGCCGCAGCAGCCGGAAAAGGCATGTTGCTTCGGTGTGTCGGCCTCGCGCTGCTGTTCGCCGGCCCGGCGGCTGCGTATCAGCCTGCGTGCGATGGCAGGCTGCCGCTCCTGCGCCGCGCTCCGCTGGTCGCGAGCAGCAGCGCGGTCGCTGCGCCTCAGAGCCGCGCTTCCGACCGGCAGCTCTACCTCCTCTTTGGCTCGCGGTTCGTGCAGTCCATCATGCGGCTAGCGATGGGGCCGCTGGTGGTGTACGTGTGTGGCGACATGGCGTGCGATGCCTCCTCGCGCGGCCAGCTGCTCTCATCCTACTCGCTCGGCTACCTCTCCTCGCAGATCGCCGGCGGTGCTCTCGCCGACCGCATCGGGCCGCGGCTGGTGATCCTGTGCGCGTCGGCCCTGGGCGGGGCGTGCACCTTGGCTTCTGCGAGCGCGCGCTCGGTCCGCGCCCTCTGCCTCGCGCAGGTCCTGCTCGGGGTCTCCCAGGGCCCCCTCTACCCCACCTCGATCGCCTACCTCGGTGCCGTCGGCGCTAGATGCAAGCACAGACGCGGAGCACAAGTCCGTGTGTCGCACGGCGGCGGGCCCACACGCACTCACACGCGGGCCCTTTGTCGCCGGGGGTGCCGCACTAGACGTGCACGCGACACACTCACACCTTGGACTCTCTCTGGCCCTCGGCCCTCTTAGACTCTGGGCCTCTTCCCCACTCTCGCCTGGGCTTTGTCTCTCTCCTCCCTTCTGGCTCTCTTGTTCACAGCACGTGGCTTTGGCTCTCTTCTCCACAGCACGCCGTGGCTGTCTCTCCTCCCACACCCTGACCCAGTCTCTCAAGCTCACCAGGCCCGGCGCTGCCTCCGAGCAAGCGCGCGCACGCGTCCACCGTCCTCGACCTCGGCATCACCCTCGCCACCCTACTCGCCCTCCCCTTCTCTGGCGCCATCGCCGCCGCGGTCGGCTGGCGCGCACGCACACTCCGCATCCCGCCACCACCGCTACCCTCGCCTCCGCCGCCGTCGCCGCCGCCACCCAACCCGCCGCCACCCTCGCCGCCGCCGCCCTCACCGCCGCCGCCCAGCCCGCCGCCCTCGCCGTCTCCGCCCTCGCCGCCTCCGCCCTCGCCGCCTCCACCCTCCCTCCACCACCGCCCGTCCGGCGATCCGCCTCTCGTCACGCGTGCCGCTGTTGACCAGGCGCGGCGCCTTCCGCCTCTACGGCGTGCTCGGCCTCGCCTTCACCGCCCTCTGGGCGTCTCTCTCTCTCGACCTCCCGTCACACGACCCGCCGCCCACGCCCGCACCCGCCGCACCCGCCGCTCCCGCCGCTACTCCCGCCGCCACTCCCACCGCCGCCGCCGCAGCCGTCTCCTCCGCCGCCTCCGCCATCGCCGCGGCGCGGGAGGCGCGCGTGGGCGGCGGGGTGGGCGGCGAGGGAGGGAGGGGCGGGCGCGGCGTGCCGCCGCTGCTGCTCGGGAGCCGGGGGGTGCGGCTGCTGCTGTCGTCGGGCGCCGTGTGGGTCATCTTCTTCTCGCACATGGCGTTCAACCTCTGCATCTACTTCATGACGAGCTGGGCGCCGACCTTCTACTCGGAGTCGTTTGGTCTGCTGCCCGAGAAGGCAGAGCTCGAGGGGCGGGACGAGCTGGTTCAGATGTCCACTCAGTTCACACTAGTCTCGGACTGCCGCCCGAGCAGGCCAAGCTCGCCCTCGCCCTGCCGCCGCTGGTCGACCTCGCCGTCAAGGCGCTGCTCGCGCGGCCGCTCGAGGCTGCGCTGCGAGGCCCGTCCCTCGGCTTCTCCGCCCTCGGCTGAAGAAGAGACCCCGCCGGCAGAGACGAGATGCGAACGAGTGTTCCTTCTCTAGGCCTCTCCACCCTCGGCTGCCGCCGCTTCTTCAGCGGAGTCGGGTTTGTGGGCTCGGCGCTCGCCATGCTGGCGACGCCTGCCGCGGCGAGCCGCTTCGGCGCCGTCGGTGCCACTTGCTGCTTCTCGCTCGCGAGGAACAAGTAGTAGTAGTACGTATCAGTGATTCATGGTCAGGTGCCACTTGCTGCTTCTCGCTCGCCAACGGCTTCGCGGCGCTGCACCCGTCCGGTTTCAAGGCGAGCTACATGGACGTCACCCGCTCGGCGACCGGCGTCGTCACCGGCGTCGGCAACACGCTCGCCTCGCTCGCAGCCTTCGTCGGCCCCGTGGTCGTCGGGCTCCTGCTGCAGCGGCTCGGCTCGTGGGCACCCTCCTTCTGCGCCATCGCCACGCTCCAGCTCCTCGCCGCCCTCGCCTTCGCGCGCTTCTCGACCGCTACGCCGGTGGACGAGGAGAAGCCGTCCGCAGACCTTGCGCGGTGAGGCCCGACGTGCACGTGGCCCGCCGCCGCCGCGCGACGCGAGAGGCGCGTTGCCGTTCCTCTCGCGACAAGCACTGCAGAGCCGTAGCCCGTACAGCTACACGAGTGATTCTGAGATCAGGTTAGTCGTTTCCCCTTTGGAGGCAGACATTTCAGAAAGCGAATCCCAGGCCGCATCTCCCCGCTCGAAGCGGGGAACCCGTCCCGGGCGCCCGCTGGAAGCGGGGGGGCGCCCGCTCGAAGCGGGGGCGCCCGCTCGAAGCGGGGGCGGCGCAGGCTGCCACCGCTGCCCGGGCGCGCCGAGCGGCGGCGGAGGGCCGCCCAGGCCACCACCAGTGCCTCTCCCACCGGCGGCGCGGCGGCAGTGGCGCCGACCGCCCCTCCATCAGCGGCGGCGCGAGGCTGTCGTCGGGACGCCGGCAGGTGACGCGCAAATAGGGTGCCACCGGACCGGCCGACGAGCACCCAGCGGAGCCGTCATCGTGCATGGCGAGCCGAGCACCGCCGCGTCGCTTCTCGGCGCATTGGAGAGCAGAGGAAGCTGCTGGCGTCGCGGCTGGGATCGGCAGCGGCGCCAGCAGCTTTCTCGGATCTGAAGCGACTTTGAGCGCCGATCGATCGATCTGAGGGCTGACCGATGGGCGGCGCTGGGAGGAAGACCGCGCCACCCGTCGGCCAGCCCTCAGCTCCGCGACGGCGACTCGATAGTCGTGGCCGGCGCTCGGCTGCCACTCTAAGCTGTGCCGCCAGGCGCTCCTGGAACCGTGACGTCACTTCTTATGGATGCGGCACTAGGGACGCCCAATGTTTTCGTAAATATAGAAGCCACTCTCTCGCGTGTGGAAGCCACGACTGCGTAGTCGTGCTCCCCCGGAGCACGCCATAGAGCGCCGGTTTTGTGTACCGGGCGCACCCGCAGCCGTACACACTGCTGCCACTGCCAGGGGGTCGCCGCAGGCGCCCCAAGCGGCGCGGAGCGCCGCCGCAGGCGGCGGACAGCAGGTGCGCAAAATTAAACGCCATTTTCGGTTCCGCAGTTTTGCCACTAACGTCGAAATCCTGTACAAATCGAGACTTAGCACTTACGAGAGCCGAGCCCCCCACGAAAACCACAGAGGGGCGCGCGGACAGCGCGCCGCCAGGGGCGCCGCAGGCGCCTCAAGCGGTGCGGAGCGCCGCCACAGGCGGCGGACAGCAGGTGCGCGAAATTAAACGCCATTTTCGGTTCCGCGGTTTTGGCACTGTCTACCAACTTTGTGGTACAAATCGACTTGCACTTGGTCTGAGCCCTGCGCTGCGTTTGAGCCTCCATTCTGAAAGTGTACGTAGAAGGGAAGGCAGCAGGTCCGGCTTGCGAACTCCGCTGTGCGCCGACAAGCGGTATGGCGCCGAGTAGAGGCCATTTTCCTATTAGAAAAGGCTGTCGAGAGCGCAAAATTTTCTTCGCTGCGCGCCCAACCATGGTGGGCACGCAGCGGGCGCCTGCGGCGCCAAATTTTTGAAATGTCTGCCAGTCGCCCAACCTGATCTCAGAATCACTCACACGGGAGAGTTTGCTTCGTCGCTCCGAACTCGACGGTGGTGACGTGTCGCGTTGGTTTGCCTGCGGTGTGGGGCTCTGGTGGGGCCGCTACCCGCGCTGCCCACGCCGTCATCTGACATCTGTGTTCGTCGCCTGTTGTGGCTGGCCATTGGCGTTGCCCGAAGGAGGTCCCGCCGAAAAAATCGCCCAGAGGACACTATGGAGCTGCCCTCTCCCGCTCTCGCGCCACGCGCCTCTCCAGGTCTCCATCACGCATCAGACTTCAGACGACCGCACACAGCTGGCTCCAGCTTTTCGGCTCCACATGGACATGTGCACAACGCGCCCGCGTTTTCCACAATACCTCCGAGGGAGTCTACACCAGATCCCTTGGCCTTGCCCGCTGCGGCCGCCGATCACGAGCAGGCGCGGCCTAAGGAGCAGAATTTACCACACAAAACAGGACTAAGGAGCAGAAAGTGAGAGGGTGGAATCTTTTTCAAAATAGTTGAGAGGGAGTTGAGATTTTATCGCCTCTGTCGGCCCATTTGTGTGAAATACACATTGTTAATTAGTTGTAATAGATTCGATCTTCTGTTTACAAGTTTAGAGACGATCTGGGAACGAACCGTCCCCCCTGGGTGTAAAGCCGTAGAACCATGTAATCTTGATGCATGTGTCGCTCTCTGAGAACTCTTGTAGCTCGATCGGTCACACCGCCATCGCCGCCGACGTCTCCCAGGGAGATGATGGAGAGGGGGGACGACACTGCTCGATCTACCCTCTCTCTGGGGTCCCTCAGCTCAGCGTGCACCTCGATCCTGTATACCGTGTTTGCGGTTAGTTAGGACCCCCCCCCAAGGAACACACCAGTGAGGGAGGGCGAGACGATCGAGGGGTCCCGTACCATGCGGAATCGACCCTATCCAGTGCTCAAGTGCTCAAGGTTTTGTAACGCGAGCCGCTGTGTGCCATCGCACAGAGAGTGAAATGGAACTACCAACAAAAGCTTTACGAACTAGCCCTTCTCTTGAGGAGATGAGGTCTCTTGCGTATCTTGGCCACTCGCACAGAGTGAGAGAGAGAGGCTGCCGCGACAGTGTATGTGTGGCAGCTCCCTTGTGTTTATCACGAGACAGTCTTAGACGGCCACGCGCCTCCACGACGCGCCCGCGTCTTCCACAATACCTCGGGGAGTCTACACCAGATCCCTTGCCCGCCGCGACCCCGCCCAGTCTTCGCACGCCTTTCCCTCGCAGCGCTCGCCCTCGAGGTTGCGGCGGCTGCGCCACCGTTTGCAGAGCTCCGTGTCGCGGAAGCGGCCGGTCTCGCGCCGGCTCGCGCCGACGGCCGCCGCGGCGGTGGGCTGAGGCTCGCACACCGCCCGGAGCGCCGCGTGCGGCAGGAGCAGGGCGGTGCCGTGCTTGTAGCCGGCGGGGGCCTCGACGCTGCCGCTGATGTCGCGCCAGCGCGAGGCGCCGTCCCCCTCGAGCGCGCCGAAGCCCTTGTGGGAGGGCTTGAAGGCGCAGCCGCGCCGCTCGCCCTCGGGCAGCACCTGCGATCACCCGAGATCGCGCGAGCTCAGCCCGAGATCGCCCGAGACGGCCGCGCCGCTCGCCCTCGGCTCGACTTCGAGTATACCTCGGCGACATCTCGGCGACATCTCGAAGAAAACTCTCGGTGATATCCTTGGCTACATCTCGAGTGATTCTCGGGTATATCTCGGGCACATCTCGGGTGCATCTCGGCGATGTCTCGGCGCCCGCGTCAGCCCGACGTCGGAGGGCGCCTCACCGGCGACGCGGTCGCACGGCGCGGGCGAGTGGAGGCGGCAGTCGTCGCGGTACACGTCGAAGAGGAGGAGGAGCCGCCTAATCAACGAACGGTTCGACCAGTCAATGAACAAGTCAGCCTATTGACCACACTCCGAGGGGGAGGAGAAGTCGCCCGTCTGGCCTCACCACCTGCTCACGGCCAGAGGCGTGAAGAGACGCCCCTTCACACCTCGATCCGCCCCGTCCGGCTTTGCCACCGCCGCAGGCCCCTCGCAACAAGGCCGCGAGATCGCGTCGAGAAAGAAAGGCCCCGAGGCGGTGGCCGCGGCCCACGGGCCCGTCACGCGGCGCGCGGTGGCGTGCCGGATCGCAAGGGTGCAGTTCTGGCCGCGGAGCAGCGCGCCTGCAGCGTGCCGTGGAGGTGCCGTGGACGTGCCGTGGACGTGGCGTGGGCGTGGACGCGCCGAGCTTGTAGTCACGCCTCTATATCTCCCCATATCTCCCCATATCTCAGGCGCGCCGAGCTCGTAGTCACGCCTCTCGCACCGGTTGTCCTCCAGCTTGTAGAAGAGCGCGTGCGGCGCGCCTGTGCACAGAGAGGCTGTCAAGAGACGCTGTTCACAGCCCTTTCAAGAGCGCGTGCGGAGTGGAGTGTGCCCGCCGCGCCGAGCAGCAGGAACAGGTCGATGACCGAACGACCAGCGTCCTCGGGCGGCAGCTCGAGCGGCAGGGGCGGCGACCACGCCTGTGGACAGCTAGAGGCGTGAGCAGCGCCTCCTCACAGCGTCCTTAGAGCGGAGCTCGGGCGGCAGGGGCGGCGACCGCGCCTCGAAGTCGCGCGTCATCATGTAGTACGGCTCGTGCGTCGACGCGGCCATGGTGGGCGGACACTCGCCTGCTCGCAGCTAGAGGCGTGAACAGCGCCTCGTGCGTCGACGCGGCCATGGTGGGCGGGGCACTCGCCCGCGTGTCGCGTCGCCGAGAAGAGAAGGACGAAGCCGCCGCCCTCCGCCTATCCGCTGCAACCGTCTCATCCCCCTCGTGGCCCGACGGGGCGCCGCAGGGGGCCGCTCCCCTGGCGCCTCGGGCAGAGCCGCAAGCTCTGGCGCCCACAGCGAGCACGCGTCCGGCAACGGCACCTGTTCACGGCCAGAGCTGTGAAGAGACGCCGTTCACAGCGAGCACGCGTCCGGCAACGGCACCTCGACCAGCCTCACGCCCGTCCAGGAGAGCAAGTCGCGAGACCGCGCGTAGCCGAAGCGCGGGCTGCGCCGCCGCCCGCCGCCCTCCGCCGCGTCCGGGTCGGAGGGGTGGCACCGCCACTTGCCGGCCACCTAAACAGACAACGGAGAGCTCTCAACCCTTCGCGCGGAGGGATGTGCGTCTAATGTTTGTTTCTTTCCTGGTGCACGCACAGCTCGGCCGTGAAGACGAGGTGGAAGAGGCCGCGGTCCCAGACCATCGACGGGTCTCGAAACACGCTGGCGCCCTCCACCTCGGTCCACGCCAGCACCGGCTTGCCGCTCGGAGGCAACGCCTCCCACCGCAGCGCGTCCTGCGAGTGCAGCAGCCGGAGGCCGTCACCCATCGCCTTGCCTTGCTTGAACGAGGCCATCACGTATCCACCGGCCTCGCCGTCGTCCGCCTCACGGCTGTCGGAATCCTCCCCAGCCTCTCCAGCCGTCTCGGGCGCCACCTGCCACTGCACCGGCTCGGCAGCCACACGCTCGGCTGCCATCGCTGCCACTGGTGTCCCTGGTGGCGAAGCTGTGCCCTCGTAGAGCGCGAGCGCGATGATGGACAGCGCGGCGGCGACGACTATCAGGCACAGCAGCAGGATCATGCTCGAGCGAGGCCGCCGTCGGCGCCTGGACCTGCCGTCTGACACGACACGCATTCCAACGTCCGACACGGCAGTGTTTATTGCGGCGCCGCGGTGCGGCTGCGCGAATTTTTCTTTTTGAATAAACAAATAAGTCTCTCGTGTCCGCGCCGACGCTCTTTTAACGTAGAACGTCCCAGCTACACCGCCCGCCGACGATCGATCAGTCCACAATCGTCGGCCCGCAGCGACCCGCAGCGAAGGATGCCGCCGCCCCCCCGGCCACTGCGGCCGACGCGCCGATGCACGACCGGCCTCCGTCGGATAGCTCTCCGGCCTCTCCGGCCGCTGACGCGGCCGCCCATGCTGCTGCCGATCCGGTCCCTCTCACGCTCAGCGATATCCGCACAAGCTAACGACAACTTTGAGGTCGCCGGCTTTGGCCAGGTGCAGCCACCACCTGCTTGCCTCCATCCGCCGTCTGACCTTAGGTGAGGGGCACGAGTGGATTGCGGCGCGACGTATTTTCTTTGCTAGATTAAGCGCACGCCTTTGGAAGGTCGGGAGATGCCGTGTCTCGGATAACTCGTTCCTTGGTTTTGCTCGCTTGTTTGGAAGCCTTTCAGATGGTGCCCAACGAGGTCGTGGCCGCGACTAAGCGTGACGATGAGGCGGCGGTGGAGGCATGGCTTGACGGCGGCGGGCGGGTCACCGCGGGCTGTGCGAGTGGCGCTACGCTGCTAGGAGTCGCCGCCGGGAACGGGTGCGAGCGGGTGGTTGGCCTCCTGCTGCAGCGCGGCGCGGATGTGAACCTGCAGGACGCCCTCGGCGCCACCCCGCTGATGATTGCCGCCAGTCAGGGCCGCCACGCAGTCGTGCTCCGTCTTCTGCGGGCGGGCGCAGACATGAGGGTGCGCTCTTCGTATGGCAGGACGGCGCTGCAGATGGCCAAGGCGAATGGTCACGCCAAGTGCGTCGAGGCCGTCAGGACATACCTCGGGGAGGTGGCGGGTCGGAGCAAGGCGCCACCAGCAGTCGGCGAGCGGGCGGACGCAACCTCTGCCTCGAGCGGCGAGGGCGGCGCGGAGGCCGAGCCGAACAGCGGCGGGGCGGTGCCTGAGGAGGCGCGGCACGCCAAGGAGCTGCTGGCGGAGGTCGAGGCGGAGAAGCGCGCCAAGGCCAAGAAGAAGAAGAAGAAGAAGGGCGGGGGGGCGGGCATGGCTGGGCCGTCGCAAGAGCACGAGCCGCCGTCGCAGGAGCCCGAGGCGCCAACGGAGGGCACCGAGGCGCCGCCGGAGGCAGCCGCAGCTGAGGCGGCGAAGAAGGCCGAGGAGGCGAGGCTTCTCCAGCTTCTCGCGACGCTCACCGAGGAGAGGATCCGATTCGGCATCACGGCGGAGAGCCAGGCGGCGGCGTCGGCAGAGGTGGCTAAGGCTGTGCGCTTGGACGCTGAGGCGGACGAGGCGGAGGAGGAGGCAGATGCAGACGAGGAGGAAGAGGCGGCTGCCGAGGCGGCGCTGGCGGAAGTCGAGGTTGCGCGGGCGGAGGCCCGGGCGGCGCGTGCAGAGGCCAAGGCGGCGCTGGACAAGGCGCAGGCGGCGCTGGAGGGGATTGAGACAGCGCTCGAGGAGGCGGCGGCGGCTGCCGACGCGAGGCGTGCCGCTGCGGCCGCTTCGAGGGCAAGGGCGGCTGCCGCGAGGAGGGCAGCGGATGCGGCACAGCCGCATAGAGATGCATAGCGAGCGGTGACGACATCGCCGACATCGCCGATACGTACTGCTGCAGCGATAACGACGTGAGGAGCTCGCTTTCGTTCCGCGTCTCGTGGCGTTGGCGAGGATGATAAGCCCGCCACCTCCCATGTGTGTATCTCTATCTCTGAATCTCTCTGCCTGCGGCGTGCGGGGCGGACGTACCAGTAACCAGAGATTGTTCGCTGCGCGGTTGTACTCATTGCCGTACGAGGTACGTCTGTTTTTATAGTAGGGGGAGGGCTCCCAGGGCTTGGAGGTCTTTTCAGTTGCAACGATGATGATAGGCAAGGCGTTCAGGGTAGTGAAGAAATAACAAGAAAAGGACATGGCCGAGCGTTTTTGATCTCTCGGTAAGTGGGCGCCCGCCCGCCGCCTCTGAGGGGGTCGGGCCCCCTAGACTGAAAACAAAAACAAGCTCGAAAACAGCCAAAATCAGCCTGCGAGAGAGGCACTGCGCGCCGCTGACCTCATGTGGGGATGTGTGCCGACACCAATACTGATCTAAAACCTGGAAACCCTTGTTCAAATCCGACCCTAAGCGCCATCCTTCCTGCTCTCACCTGATGCTGCTTCCCCGCGCCGCCTCCTTGGCCCCCCTGGGCGTATTTTCTACTCCCAGTGGGGGGCCTGGGCCCCCGGGCCCCCTCTTGTTTTCTGTTTTCTGTTTTTCAACACGCCCGCCCGCCCGCCACCCCGAGGCGGCTCGGCCCCCCACTTACCGAGAGATCAAAAACGCTCGGCCCATGGTTCGACCTCGCGCGCCGAGGCGCCGTCTGTGCGCAGCTCGACGCGGTCAGGTGCAAAGGGAAGCGTGGCGGCGCGGGGAAACGCGGCGGCGGTGGTGGCGGCGGCGGCGGCAGCGGCACGCGCGGGCGGACGGATTCGGACGGGGCGGAACAGCGACCGCCTGGGCGGCCGCTGCTCTGTCTGCCAGAGCGCGGCGACCGCCTGGGCGGCCGCTGCTCTGTCTGCCAGAGCGCGCCGTCTGTGCGCAGCTCGACGCGGTCAGGTGCATTCCACGTGTTGTCCACTTGGATGCGAGTATTTTCTTTTCGAGCACGCCTTTGGTTGGCCGCTTTGTGTATCTCGAGACCTCGAGAGAAGGCCGCCCGCAGGCGGCCGGGCGCAGGTTCGACAAAAAGGGCCCCTCCGCGAGGGCCTATGCGCGCTCGCGCTCAGTGCTCCAGCTTTGCAGGAAGGGGCGCCGCAATCGGCGCGGCCCGTCCCCGGGCTGTGTGGGCATCTGCCGGCGTCGGTCACCGGCCGAGAGGCGCCGCGGGTGAGGCGGCGCGGCTGCATTTCGAACGCGCCACACTGACCCCGTCGAGAGGCGGCGGCCAGCACCGCTCTTCGGCCGCCACAACCAAGCTGGTCGGCATCTTAGTTGAGGCATGCATCAAGCTGCATGTGGGTGCATCGGCTGCGGACCACTCAACAGGTCGATCAGGCCGCTGCTGGATCTCACAGACGGCGTGCTGCTGGGGGCGGGTCGAGACGGCTGGAAAAGAGCCGAGTGAAGTGGCGAGCCAGAGGCTGCCTGGGTCGTCAAGTGGGTCCATGGCCATAAAGAAAGAAAGAAAACACACAACCCAAGGGAGGGATGGGAGAACGGCACGCCGCCACCACACAGGGATTTTAAGGAGAGGAGGGTGTGATGCGCTAGCCGTCGCCCACCCTGGGGGGTCTGCCTCCTCGTATCTCTTTTCGCAGTCTCTCGCCGCTTCTCGCTGCAACCTTCATGCCACCTCGCGGCTGTCCCACTCTCGTCGTTCTCTCCCTTGTCACTTCCCCCTCTGTCGCGTCGTTCTCTTCTGCCTCGTCCTGCGACGCCGCCGCCTGCCGGTCCCTTGTTCTCGCGGCTTCTTTCGCCTCTCGGCGCAACTCCGTCCTCCTTGCGGCGTATCCTGGCCCCTCGAGTCTATCGAGCTCCCCTCGCGCAAGGACCACATTTCTGACTCCCACTCCGATCATTTGCCTCCAAGTCATGTTGTTGCTCAGGTCCACTCTCTCTTCGAACACTCGTGCCTCTACGGATGATGCCGGCGCTGGGGTCCCCTTCGGATGCATCGTGACATCTGACAACTGAATTTCCACTGGTTCGTCCTCCTCTGAGTCATCTTCCCCGTCCTCCTTCCGCTCGGCTCTTCGCTCGGTACGTTCGGTGTGGCTCACCCTCATGGCCATGTCCTTCTGGATTGCGGCGCGGCGCGATTTTTTGGCGATTATGCCTTGCTTTTTGGTGTCTGCACTTGGTGCCTTTCTGAGGTCGGGAGATGCCGTGTCTCGGATAAACCTGATCGACCAGCTCCTCGCAGTGGCTTTTCGAGAGACCCAAAAACACGCTTCGGCGGGGCGGAAAGTCGGAGGCGCCGCCGCCGGCGGCTCGTTCCTTGGTTTTGCTCGCTTGGAAGCGCGCGAGGTGGTGCCCAACGAGGTCTTTCAGATGGTGCCCAACGAGGTCGTGGCCGCGACTAAGCGTGACGATGAGGCGGCGGTGGAGGCATGGCTTGACGGCGGCGGGCGGGCCACCGCGGGCTGTGCGAGTGGCGCTACGCTGCTAGGAGTCGCCGCCGGGAACGGGTGCGAGCGGGTGGTTGGCCTCCTGCTGCAGCGCGGCGCGGATGTGAACCTGCAGGACGCCCTCGGCGCCACCCCGCTGATGATTGCCGCCAGTCAGGGCCGCCACGCAGTCGTGCTCCGTCTTCTGCGGGCGGGCGCAGACATGAGGGTGCGCTCTTCGTATGGCAGGACGGCGCTGCAGATGGCCAAGGCGAATGGTCACGCCAAGTGCGTCGAGGCCGTCAGGACATACCTCGGGGAGGTGGCGGGTCGGAGCAAGGCGCCACCAGCAGTCGGCGAGCGGGCGGACGCAACCTCTGCCTCGAGCGGCGAGGGCGGCGCGGAGGCCGAGCCGAACAGCGGCGGGGCGGTGCCTGAGGAGGTCGTGCTAGTGGCAGAGCGAGGCGAAGAGGCGGCGGTGCTGGAGTGGCTCGACGGCGGCGGGCGGGTCGACGCGACGTTCGAGTACACCTTTGAAGACGGCTCTCGTGTGAGCGGCATGACGCTGCTGGTGCTCGCAATGGCCAAGGGCCACCTTGGGCTGGCCGAGGCGCTTCTGCGGCACGGTGCGGATATCTCGTCGCAGGCCAGCAACGGTGGCACCGCGCTGATCTACGCCGACGTGGAGATCGATCATCGAAACCAGTTTGACAGCACAGCGCTGACGGACGCCGCCTTCAGAGGCCACGAGCGGGTGGTCGACCTTCTGATTCGGCACGGTGCGGAGATAAACCTGCAGACGAGCAAGGGCGACACCGCGCTGATAATCGCCGCCGTCAGGGGATACCCCGCCGTCGTGCTCCGCTTGCTGCGGGCGGGCGCCGACACGAAGCTGCGCACGGCGGCTGGCTCCACGGCGATGCAGCTTGCCAAGAAGGCGGGCAACGCCGAGTGCGTGTGCGCCCTCGAGGAGCATGCGGCGGCCGAGGCGGCGGCGAAGGAGGCGGCGCGGGCTGCGGAGGCGGCGGAGAGGGCGGCGGCGGAGGAGGAGGACCGGCACGCCAAGGAGCTGCTGGCGGAGGTCGAGGCGGAGAAGCGCGCCAAGGACAAGAAGAAGAAGAAGAAGAAGAAGAAGGGCGGCGGGGCGGGCATGGCTGGGCCGTCGCAAGAGCACGAGCCGCCGTCGCAGGAGCCCGAGGCGCCAACGGAGGGCACCGAGGCGCCGGCAGCCGCAGCCGAGGCGGCGAAGAAGGCCGAGGAGGCGAGGCTTCTCCAGCTTCTCGCGACGCTCACCGAGGAGAGGATCCGATTCGGCATCACGGCGGAGAGCCAGGCGGCGGCGTCGGCAGAGGTGGCTAAGGCTGTGCGCTTGGACGCTGAGGCGGACGAGGCGGAGGAGGAGGCAGATGCAGACGAGGAGGAAGAGGCGGCTGCCGAGGCGGCGCTGGCGGAAGTCGAGGTTGCGCGGGCGGAGGCCCGGGCGGCGCGTGCAGAGGCCAAGGCGGCGCTGGACAAGGCGCAGGCGGCGCTGGAGGGGATTGAGACAGCGCTCGAGGAGGCGGCGGCGGCTGCCGACGCGAGGCGTGCCGCTGCGGCCGCTTCGAGGGCAAGGGCGGCTGCCGCGAGGAGGGCAGCGGATGCGGCACAGCCGCATAGAGATGCATAGCGAGCGGTGACGACATCGCCGACATCGCCGATACGTACTGCTGCAGCGATAACGACGTGAGGAGCTCGCTTTCGTTCCGCGTCTCGTGGCGTTGGCGAGGATGATAAGCCCGCCACCTCCCATGTGTGCATCTCTATCTCTGAATCTCTCTGCCTGCGGCGTGCGGGGCGGACGTACCAGTAACCAGAGATTGTTCGCTGCGCGGTTGTACTCATTGCCGTACGAGGTACGTCTGTTTTATTTTTAAGAGGTGTGGTCTCATGCCGTACGCAGTGCGACGCAAATTTGCGTTTTTTTCTCCAACCTGCTCTGGGGGGAGGCGAGGGCCCTAGAGGGTATCCATGCGGCCGATTTGGGGGATTTTTTTTGCGCGATTTTTCACTTTCACACTTGTTTTCAATTTCATGGGAATTCGGCGTACTTGCGGCCATCGTGCTATCACGCCTTGCGACGACAGCCTGTCGGCGCTGCTGACCGTGCCATATGCTGCACAATTGATCACCCGCATAGCTCGCGGCCTTAGTCTTCAGCATTCAGTGACGACCTGATCGTACGGCCAGTAGCCGAAGGTGTCCTTCCAGCGCGTGCACGCTTCTGACACAATGCGCGTCACAAACTGCCTCGGGTTGGCTGCTGGCACTCTCGAGGCTATGCCTACACAGCCTCGCGCGCATGGGCAGTCAAGAGGGACCACGCACCTTCTCCGGACAGCGCCGGTGCCTCTCTCTTGGACCGGCAAACGTGTGGTGGTCTCGTGTCACCAATGTGGGACCAGTGCGGCATCGCGCCATCGACAGCTCTGAACTGCGCCTCACCACTGACTGGGAAGGCCGCCAAGTGGGTCAGCACCGGTCGCACATTGTGGCAGCAGTCAGCAGTGCATGTCTGATAGCTGTTATGACCCCCCCCAATGAACACGCCAGAGAGGGAGGGCGAGACGATCGAGGGGTCCCGTACCACGCGGAATCGACCCTATCCAGTGCTCAAGTGCTCAAGAGCAGCAGCATCAGGGTCGCAGGCAGGGTCGGATCGTGTCAAGCCTCTCGCCCGGCCGGCCGCGTGCAGACGTCGGCCTGTCTGCTGTCTGGAGTGATCTGTCGGCGGTCAGTACGACCGATCAGGTTGGAGTTTTTTGATAGTTGGAGGGTCTATCTGTATGTACTCCTCGAGATCTCTCCAAATCTGCCCTCTGTTAGACCAGGATCCAGGTTAGATCGGGAAGTCGGTGCTAGTAGAGACTAGTAGAGCCGGAGCCCCGTTTCCGCACTGCTGCGCGGCGCACGGTGCCTCCGCCCGCCCCCCCCCCCCCCAGAGCTCCAATGTCGCCCGATCGGTGGTTCACTCTGGCATCGCACTCCAGCCGTGAACGCGGCCGGTGTGTCGGAGAGAGGGCCTGGAATGATGCGCCTGGCATGATCGGTCTGCTCCTACTCCTCACCAGTGCCGACGCAACCTCTAATGCGACGGACGCGCACCACAACCACGTCCTCCGCTCGCTGCTGCAGGAGATGTCGGCCGGCGCCTCGCAGCACGCCTCTATCCCGATCCACGCCGCTGCGGTCAGGGGCGACGTGCTGGCTCTCACCAGACTCCTGGAGGCCGATGTCGATCCCAACTCAATCGAGGGCGAGAGTGGCTTCGCTCCGCTCCACTCAGCAGCCTTCGCCGGCCACGTCGAGGTCAGCAGGGTGCTTCTCAAATACGGGGCTGAGGTCAATGCCGCGACGGAAATGCTGGTGACGCCCTTGCAGGTGGCCTCCGTTCACGGCCACGCCGAGCTCGTCCAATTTTTCCTCGACAGTCGAGCCGACGCCGACCGCCAGGACCTCAACGGCGCGACGGCCTTGCACAGCGCTTCGCTGAGAGGCCACGCTCAAGTGGCGAAGCTGCTCCTCGCCCGCAGTGCCTCCGTCGGTGTCGCCACCGCCTCTGATGGTTGCACGGCGCTGCACTACGCGGCCCAAGGCGGGCACGTTTCTACGGCAGAGGTGCTGCTGCGCCATGGGGCGGAGCCGGACACGCACAACCTCGTCGGCGCCACGCCTCTGCATCTGGCCGCGGCGGCCGGACATGCGCCGACGGTGCTCGTCCTTCTCGAGCATGGCGCCTCATCCGACGGGCGCGACAGCCTAGGTGCGACGCCGCTGCACAACGCCGCGCTCGCCGGCCACCGCGATGTGGCGAGGCGCCTCCTCGAGTTCGGCGCGTCGGTGAGCGCCGAAAATGTGCAGGCGGCGACGCCGCTCCACGCCGCCGTCCTCCAAGGCCACCCCTCCCTCTTGACCTTGCTATGCGAGCACGGCGCGAGCCTGGAGAGCCTCTGGCGCTCCTCGGACCAGCAGACCGCCGCAGGGGTGGAGCCGGTCACCGCATCCACGCCGCTCATGCTGGCTGCGAGGCGCGGCGACGTGGAGCTGGCGTCCCTGCTCCTCCAATGCGGAGCACGAGTGGGCTCGGCGGGAGGCCACGGAGTGACGGCGCTGCACCTCGCCGCCAACGGTGGGGAGACGAACATCGCCTCGGTCCTGGCGGCGCAGCTGGACGACCCGGACTTGCGCACCTCCAACGGGCAGACGCCGCTGCACTTTGCGGCTTCGGCCGGGAGGGTGGAGGTGAGCTGGCTGCTGCTGCATCGTGGCGCGGATGCGGCGGCGCGCGACGCGTCCGGGAGGACGCCGCGCATGCTCTCCGAGGAGGCGGGGCAGCGCGGCTGGGAGGCAGCATTTGAACCCTAGTTTCTCTCTTATCCACACTGTCCGGCCCTGAGCTTGACTCGGAGGTCGCACGCAGGTGGCGATGCTGGAGGCGGAGGCGAGTGCGCGAGTGCCGCTCGGGGTGCAGGCTGCGCACGACCCGTGCTTGCTCCGACGCCGACGTCGGGCGATCGAGCTGCTCGGCGAGGTAGCGGCTGGTGCCGGGGGCGCGCAGGCCGACGGCGGGGCTGGCACGGAGGAGGTCGCGGCGTTGCGGAGGAGCTCGCTCGCTCGGATCGAGAGCGCGAGGCGGCTCAGTCCGGCTCTGCTGCAGCTGCTCATGGAGTGCGGCGCGTGCGAGCAGGCGCTGTCTTTCGTCGAGAATGATGTGCTCGACGTGCAGACGCTGCGGCTGCTGGAGTTGCGCGCGCTGCTCGACGTGGGGGTCAGGCTCGGGCAGGCGGCACGGCTGCTTGCCGCCGCGGCCACAGCGCCGCACCCGCACCCAGCAGATGCCCCACACCGAGCCGCCTCCCCCTATCGCGCAGCGGGGAAGGAGGAGGTGTAGTGGCTGCGCTGGTGGTGGTCTTGTGAAGGCGTTCAATGCCGGGGCTATTTGCGCTTAGTTAATGAAAGTGCCCGAGATCACGTCGAAAGTGCCTTAGAAGAGGTTTCAGTATCTCCCGGTCCCAGCTCCGCTCAGTATCGTCGGGAGACGGGAGCTAGAACTTGGCCCAAATCACCGCGGGGACGCACGACTCAATTACGGTAGCCCGGTGGGATGGGGCCGCCGGGCGCCGGGCTCGAAACCTGCGTCCAGCGCTGCCTCAGCGTGTGCGCGCGTGCAGCGCCGCCGACAGCATCCGTCGGGACGAGCCCTCGCACCGAGCTCAGCCATGACCCTGCGGTTAGCATCAAAGCGGTGTCTTTCCTCGTTAAGCTCAAGGCTCTGCCCATGTTGAACCTGCAGGTCCGAGGCCAATCTCGGGCAAAATCGGGCAATCCCGAATGACTGATTTCGGGTGATGCCCCTCGACCCCTTGCACCACAGGCTTTCATGGGGGAGCCTGGCCAGCGCTTCAAGATGTGGAGAGAGCTGGAGCGCTCGCGCGTGCAGGAGCCACTACTTGCGCATTGCTCCCGATACACGGGCTTCTAGCACACTTACAGCGCACCCCTGCGCACCGCCCGCAGGATAAGGCGCTCCGGCACGGTGGCCTTTTGCACCTCCGCAGAGGCTTCGAGTTGCCCCGTCAATTGACTCTGGAGGAGGACTCGCTGAGCTACGTCCACGTATCCGATGGTGGTGGGGTGGAAAAGGAGGGGGTGGTACCCAGCGTGATCCACTTTGACGACGTCCACCGCGTCGCAGCGATGCCTCCGGAGCCCATCATGCACATCGACGGTCGCACTGGCGAGCGGCGTGTGATTGGCAAAAAGCCGTCGAAGCGATGGAAGATCATGATGAAGGACGCGTCGGAGCCGGCATACGAGTTTGTGGCTTCCACGACGGAGGCGCGCGACGCATGGGTCTACTGCGTGCGAACCAATTTAAACGCGCACAACCGGCGCGCGCTGTCCACTGCCCTCGCACGCTAGACGGGTCTGTCGTCTCACCGCGCGGGTTGTCTAGGCGGCACGGGCTGGACATGATGCTAACCTCCCCCGCTCTCCGTGAGCTTGAGAGCAAGTTCGTGCTATCCGACCTCGCTGACGATGCGACGCTCATCCCCCTCCATACGCTCGACAAAGTGAACGAGGAATCTGAGTATGACGAGGCCGAGGGAGCATGAAGCAGCCAGGCGCGGGAGGCGAGCCGCTCGCCCGACGCGACACGCGCGCTCCGGCTCGGCGTGCTGCCCTGTGGAAGCCGTGTGCGCGTACCCGCTTTTCATGGACGCTTTGATTGATACTCTAGTTTGTTTGTTGTTTGTGCCTGTCGTGGCCGTACTCATGAGGGTCCCCTATCGTTAACACCGTGTCGCTGCGCACACGTCTGTCTGCATGTACTCGCTGGTGTCATTGGCTGATGTGGAGCTGCGCTCTGTTTGTCCCAACCGGTTCGTTTTGGCCTTTCTTTGCCCTCCGACGTTTCCGTTGCCAGTGAGTTGGAGCACTTGGAGCACTTGGAGTGCAGTCATTAACCTCACGCCCAGGACCGGGAATGGTTGGGTAGTAGGGCTAGAGGGTCGCTCTACACTTAGCCTCTGCAGCGAGCGAGCGCTCAACTTAGCCCCCGCACGGAGCCGGGCTCAGACTTAGACGCTGGAAGGCCGGGGGCCATGAACTTAGACGACACGAGGCCAACTCCGGGTAAAACCTGGGTATACCTGCAAAAGTCCAGGTTTACCCGAAAAATACCTGGACGCGGTCCCGACCAGCGTATGCCGCGCACGACGCCATATCACCGTCTCCCAGGGCCAGTGCGCTACTTGCGGCGCGCAACGCCTGCTCAAGTACGCGCACCGTACCATGTGCTGCCGCTAACCTATGCGTGCCTTAAGGCGGCTGCGGCGAAGCGGCGGGCGCGGCATGCCGATGGCAGTGCGGACGATGCGGTTGCGATGTGTTCTGCTTCAAGATCGTGGCGGTGCTTGGCATGCACTTCTGCGATCCCAATCAGCTCATCGCAACGAAGCAGCGCAACAAGCTGGCTGCTGCCAACAAGGCCCTATGCTACCTCACGCGCGGATCGTTCAAAGAGGACCAGCATACACAGGCTTCTCTGACATGCGTTTGTTTGAGCTTGAGGCTATTTGTGAGAACTATTTGGCTAGATGTCGCCGAAGTGCGCTCAAGAAGCAGCAACGAGAATCGGAAGAGGAGGATGCTGAGGCGGCGATTGCTGAGCATGAGGAGGATCGATCGCCCGCCGCGCAGGCGAAGAAAATTTGGGCGCGAGCGCCGTATATCGCGTGCCATGGCCGACTTAGCCGGTGTAAGAGGCTCCCGCTGATCTTAGACCGCGTAAGCACTCCAGTGTGGCTAGCCACACTTAGACCCGTTAAGCCGCGAGGCTCAGAACTTAGACTACTACCCAACCAGTGGACCGGGGAGCTGAGAAGCGCACCCAGTGTGTGGAGAAGTTTACCTTCCCTTGCCTTACCTAGGTCGCGCCGACGACGCCGCTGCTGCACGTCTACTCGGAGCAGCTCACCGCCCCGCGCGCCTCGTGCGAGGATGCGATGCGCCGCCTCTTCGCCTTCCTGGGCGTGCCGCCTCTGCCAGCGGTGTGCGACCGTGCGGGCGCTCCCGCGCCAGAGAGGCGGAGTGGCGAGTGCCGCGGCGGGGACGGGCTCTGCAGCGTTGAGAAGCTGCGAGCCCCGCGCCGCGCATGGCTATACCATCGACGAGTTGCTGACGAGCTGACACTCGGTTTGAGTGAGGCTGAGGCCTCCATAGAGCCGCGTACGCGATCGTCCGGCTGACGGCGCTTTAGAGATCTAGAGCCGTAGATGTCTGTCTGTGTCTGACCGATCGGACCTATCTTTGGATTTGTGCGCGTTGCGGCCGACACCCCACATCCACAGACTCGGCACTGCACGCACAGAATCTCAACACCGCGCCGGTACTGCTACAGCAGCCGCCTCAGGCTAGCCTCCATCGCCTGCCTCGGCACGTTGCCGATCAGCGTCTGCAGCAGCTTCCGCTCGGCCGAGATGAAGCCGAAGTGCGGCACGCCGTCGACGCTGAAGAGGGAGACGAGCTGCTCGTTCTTCGGGTCGGCGCCGTCGACGAGCACGAAGTTGACGCGCCCCGCGTACTCCTTCTCCAGCCGGTACATCATCGGCGCCATCTCGCGGCACTCGGCACACCACGGCGCGTAAAACTCGACCAGCGTGCCGCGGCCAGAGGCGAGGGCCTGCGCCGGGGCAGAGCGCCAAGGGGCAGAGCACGCCGAGATGCCGCCGAGGTTCGGCCGAGAGGTAGAGCCGGTACGTCGCCGAGAGAGAGGCTGCCGAGAGGTGGTCGAGAGGCAGCCGAGAGGTGGCCGAGAGGCAGCCGAGAGAGAGGCAGCCGAGAGGTGGCCGAGAGGTGGCCGAGAGGTGGCCGAGAGGCAGCCGCGGCCGGCAGCGCGCGCCTGCGGCAGCGGCGGCGACTCCGCCTCGAGCTTGCGAAGCAGCGTGACCGGGTCGAGCGGGTCGAAACGCTGGTACGCGTAGAGCGAGGCCGCGGCCAGAGCCGACCCAGCCGCGAGCGCTACATTCCGCCGCGGCACGGGCGTGCGCGCCGTGGCCTGCAGCGCCGCGGCGTCGGCCGGGAGCGATCCAGAGTCGAGCAGCTGCTGCAGCGCGCCGCTGCGAAGGAGAGGCATCGCCCCCATCCACGGCTCGGGACCGTCGTTGCACCCTCCCACGAACCGCTCGCCCACAAAGACGTACGGCACCGTCCGCTGGCCCGTCCTCTGCCGCAGCGCCTCCCGGCCGCTCGCATCGAGCATGTGCACCTCCGGCTCCAGCCCGGCGGAGGCGAGCTCGCGGCGCAACTCGAGGCAATACGGGCACGCCTCCGCCGCGAATACCAGCAGCGGCGCACCGCCAATGAGCTCGTCCGGCGTCGCAGCCTCCCCGCCGCCGCCGCCGGCGCTCATACCAACGACAGGGCTGCAGCGCGGCCGAGCAGGCGCAAGCGGCGGCTGCCAGGCGGCGAGGGATAGGCTGGCGAGAAGCATATCTGGGCGAAGAGAGCGCGCGACAGCACCGAGAGCGAGGCGATCGCCAAAAACAAGAAAACCCGCAGCAATAGTACACCAGAAGAAAAACCGGGAAACAATTCAAACAGCGCCTGAACGCATGGCGTTCAGGCGGCACTTCTCTCGCGTCGGCTCCGCCGAGCGCTGCACAGAGACCATCTTCACTGACCACCAACGACAGGTGTGCGACTACGCGCTCGTCTACGCGGAGAAGAAGAACGACGGCGAAGCGCCGTACTCGGTCTCCTTCACCGCGACGCAGAGCGGCGACGTCATCGTACAGCTGCACCCGCACTCGCAGCTCGAGCGCGCTGTGCGCCAGGAGCGGCAGGCGCAGGCCACGGAGCCGCCTGCGAGCGCGAGCCCTGCGGCGCCGCCCGCCCCTGCCGCCGCGCCGCCAGCCGCGGAGCCGGCGCCCAAGACGTACGCCGCCGCAGCCGCATCGCAGCCGCAGGGTGCCACCGCGGGTGGCCAGCCCGCCGCGCCTGCGGGCCCGGCCGCCGCCGCGCGCGTGCCGCCGCCGCCCAGCGGCGGCGGAGTGCGCGGCTGCTCCTTCACTGTCCCTAACCCGGGCAGGAAGCGTGGGCAGCAGCAGCGCGGCAAGGGCCGCGGTGCCAGGGGCCGTGCCGATGCTGGACCCCGTCTCGTTGACAAGAACGCGCTGTCCGCGCGCGGCAGCGGGCCCTCGCGCCAGTCGCGCTCGCCGTCGCCCGACTCTCCGCCCGCCAAGCGGGCCGCCTCCGCTGACTCGTCCGGCTATGAAACCGATACGCCGGACGAGGTGCAGCAGGAGGCGGTCCGCAGGGTATGCGGCGCGCTCGGCATGAGGGAGCAGTTCGAGGCGGCGATGGCGGCGGGCGAGCTGCTCGAGATGCTCGAGAGCTTGCCGCGAGGGGCGGTCGAGGCCTCTGTCCGACAGATGCGGGGTTACAACCGCACGGGCGAGTGGCCAGAGCCCATTCTCACCAGCCCTGCCCCGCAGCGCGGCCGCTCGCCAAGCCCCGTCGATGAGTGGTCAGATGGTTAGTGCCCGAGAGCGAGGGGTCCGGGGGGGAGCACAAACATAGGACGCCCAGCCTTGCCCTCGTGCCGCCGAGTGCATATCCTATGCGAGAGAGATCCCCTGTGCCCTGTGCCCAGCCCTCTCCGCGCGGCGATGCGCCCTCCCCCCTCGCTTTTGCAAAATCCTGCAAAGGTGGGGACGTGTCTGTCCTCGACCCAGCCCTAGCTTGGGATGTCCGTTGTATTTATTTATTTATGAAAAACCGGTACGCTCGCCTGTGGGAATGGCGGCGTCCTGCTCCCGAGGGCCGCGGGGTCCAGAGCAGAAGCTGACATTTGTGAAGGACGCACGTTCACTGCGACGGGCACTCGCATATCGGTCGGTTGCGACTTCTCCGCTGAGGAGAGCCTGCGCTCTCGCGCCGCCGATACTGGCACCTGCCTGAGCATGCCGACACCCGTCACTGGCAAAGCACGAGCAAAACGCAGCCGAAAGCCACAGAGAGATGGCACGCCGTACCGCTCCGCCGCCGCCTCCGCCGCCGCCTCCTCCACCGCCGCCGTCACTACCACCAACATCGCCGTCACAGCTGCGCTAGAGGAGGCGGAACCCCCCGACTCGAGCGTGGCGGCCTCGGACACACTCCTTGGAGAGGGCGGCGCGGCGGCTGGCGGCAAGCCAGGGCGGGAAAGCCGCAAGCTCAAGCAGCCGAACGGCAAGGTGGCACCCGCCAGGCAAGGGGGCGGCGGCGGCACCAACTGCCGCGCCCTTTTCTGGCGGCGTGGAGAGCGGAACGGACGAGGACGCCGTCCCCGAGGAGATCGTGGAGGCGGCTTGGCAAGACGACGAGGCGGTGCTGACATGGCTCGACGGCGGCGGGCGGGTGGACGCGACATTCACTCATGAGGGTCTGAGCGGCTTTACGCTGCTGATGGTCGCCGCCCTCTGCGGCTACGAGCGGCTGGCCGTGGCGTTGCTGCAGCGTGGCGCTTCGGTCGACCTTCAGAACAGCAAGGGTGGCACCGCGCTGATGCTTGCCGCCCTCAACGGCCACAAGCGGGTGGTCAAGCTGCTGCTGCATCACGGGGCGGAGGTCAACCTGCAGAACAGCGTCGGCAGCACCGCGCTGATGTGGGCCGCCCAGGAAGGCCACGAGCGGGTGGTCGAGCTGCTGCTGCAGCATGGCGCGGACATCAACCAGCAACACAATGCCGGCGTCACCGCGCTGATGCGCGCCGCCCTCCAGAACTAGCCCGCGGCCGTACTCTGCCTGCTGCGGGCGGGCGCCGACACGGAACTGCGCACGGCGGCTGGACTCACGGCGCTGTGGATCGCCAAGAAGGAGGGCAACGACGAGTGCGTGCGCGCCCTCGAGGAGCATGCGGCGGCCAAGGCGGCGGCCGAGAAGGCGGCGAAAGAGGCGGCGTGGGCTGCGGGGGCGGCGGAGAGGGCGGCGGAGCGGGCGGCGGCGGAGGCGGAGGCGGCGCGGCATGCCGAGGAGCTGCTGGCGGAGGTCGAGGCGGAGAAGCGCGGCAAGGGCAAGAAGGGCAAGAAGAAGAAGAAGGGCGGCGGGGGCGGCGGCGCTGGGCCGTCGCAGGATCCCGAGGCGGCGCCAGAGGCAGCTGCAGCCAAGCCCGCGAAGCTGGACAGGGAGGGGTTGATCAGGCTTCTCGAGACGCTCCACGAGGAGCGGATTCGGTACGGCATCACGGCGGAGACGTCGGTCGCGGGGCTGGCGGAGGCGTTGGGAGAGGAGGCCGAGGCGGCTGGCGAAGCGAGCGAGGAGGAGACGGCAGAGGCGGGTGAGGAGGCAGCAATGGTGGCAGCGGAGGCGCGCCGGGAGGCTGAAGCCGAGGCGGACGCTCTGGCAGCGGCAGAGGAGGAGGCGGCCGCCGCGGCAGCGGCTGCTGCGGCGGCTGCGGCGGCGGTGGCTGCGGCTGCGGCGGCAGAGGTGGCGGAGGCAGCAGAGGCGGCACTGGCTGCCGCCAAGGCGAGGCGTGCGTCAGCGGCCGCCGCGAGGGCCAAGGGGGATGCCGACTAGCCGCGCGCAAGGACAACATCCAAGTACAGTACTGCTACTGGCGCCGGCGTACGGATCGTGGTTGAAGTATGAAGAGGCATGTGCTGGGTGAAGAAGGTGGGTGCAGGGAGGAGGGGGTGGGGGGTGAGCTCGCTGTCCCGTGGGTCTTGTCTCTCTGTTCATGGGGGCTCCGCGATCGTCACCGCTGAAAAGGGGAAGAGTGAGAGGACGCTTTTGTGGGAGAGGGAGGGGTGGAGCTCGCTGCACAGTCCCTAGCTTGATTGTACGAAACGTACACCGGACACCGGGCGGAACCGGAAGGCCGGAACGGCAAAACACGCTTTGGCAATCCCTTTGGAAACGTGCGGCACTACGATCTACGTCTCCTTTTCGCAGCAGTAGTACGTCACCCCCACATTGTCCGCCCAACTCATGCCGACTGGCCGCTCCTCGACGGCCGCCAGCGAGCAGGCGGCCGCGTCGTCGGGCCACGCCTCCTCGAGCGGCAGCCTGCGCAGCGTCGCCACGCAGCGCAGCGTCGGCAGCGCGGCGAGCGCCGCCACCATCGCCACGTTGAGCTCGTCCGGGAAGCACAAGTTCGCCATGTAGACGTGCGTCGCGCCCTGCAGCACCCCCGGCGCCGTGCCGTCGGCGTGGAGCAGCTCGACGCGCGCCGCCTCGTCGGCGGTCAGGAAGCCGTCGCGCGCCGCCGCCGCCAGGGCCCGCTCCGCGAGGGCGGCGCGCGCCTCGACGTACTCGACGCCTCGCCCGCGCGACTGCGTGAGCAGCGCGGCCGCGAAGAGCAGCTTGCCTGCGGGGAGAGCTCCGAGAAGGCTCGCGGACGGTTCCCCTCTGCCGCGCCGCCGCGCGAGGAGCAGCTTGCCGACGCCGCTTCCGACGTCGACGAGCAGGGAGGCTGCGCCGAGGGGGAAGGGGTCCGGCCATCCGGTCAACAGCTGCACCATCCCCTCGGCGGAGAGCTCTCCGTACGTCGCCTCCTTGCCGCGGGACGCCGCCCCCTCCTCCTCCTCTCCGCTCGCAGAGAAGCCGGAGGTGCGCGACGCGTCGAGCGACGCGAGCAGCGCCTCGAGCCGCGCGGCGCCGCGCCCGCTCACCGCCGCGTCTCGACAGAGCGCCGGCGTGGGAAGGAAGGCCTGAGGTTTGGGGAAGGCTCGGAGGGGTTCCGAGAAGATTCCGAGAAGGCATGGGCTATCCACCGGCATCTCCACGTCCAAAGGCAGGAGCCCCACGGCAAAGCAAGTGCAAAACCCGGTGCGCGCGCGCGCGCGCGCGCGCGCGCGCGTGTGTGTGTGTGTGTGTGTGTGTGTGTGTGTGCGTGTTTGCGTGTGTACGTGTGCGCGTGTGTGCCTGTGTGCGTGTGTGCCTGTGTGCGTGCGTGCGTGCGTGCGTGCGTGCGTGCGTGCGTGTGTGCGTGTGTGCGTGTGTGCGTGTGTGCGTGCGAGCGTGTGTGCGTGTGTGCGTGTGTGCGTGTGTGCGTGCGTGCGTGCGTGCGTGTGTGCGTGTGTGCGTGCGTGCGTGCGTGCGTGTGTGCGTGTGTGCGTGCGTGCGTGTGTGCGTGTGTGCGTGTGTGCGTGCGTGCGTGTGTGCGTGTGTGCGTGTGTGCGTGTGTGCGTGTGTGCGTGTGTGCGTGCGTGCGTGTGTGCGTGTGTGCGTGTGTGCGTGCGTGCGTGCGTGCGTGCGTGTGTGCGTGTGTGCGTGTGCTGGTCTCAACGCCTCGAGCTGGCAGCGCAGCGGATCCGACTGCTCAAACAGCCGGCGCGAGGCGCTCGTGGAGAGCGGCGCGGTGTCGAGGAAGGCTGACGAGGCGCGTCCGCGCGGGGCAGCGCCCGCCGTCGTCCGCGCGCCGTGCATCACGCCCGCGAGATGGAGGCCGCCGCCTCCAGCTCCGCCGACACCACCGCCACCGCCACCACCGCTACCGCCGCCTGCTCCT